ATTACCTGCTTGAAGTAGGTATTGGATAAGATAGTGGCTTGTGAACCAGTATCTATTAACCCTTTAAAAGGCTGGGGTAGCGAATCCTGTATTTCTACAGACATGTAGTACCTTCCTTCATGTTCTTCTAATTCACATAAGAATTTAGAATGTGTCAACATATTACTTGTTTTCCATACATTACCGGTCACAGCAGTAGTTTCTACCTGTACTGAGGAATGCTCAGTCTTACCACAGGCCCATCCTTTTTAGGAATAACTTGAACTGTCAAGTGGGAACTAGTGGTCGGCATCTCATCAGTTAACCCTTTCAGGTCTGGATTCTGGAAACTTGTGGCTGCTGGGGCTATTTTAGCCTTTGGCTGAAATGAAAAAACAGAGGAACACGTTGCGCCTCCTTCACCCGGAAGTGAAGTGACGGTATAGGCAATAGGTTTTCTAACACAACTATTGTTTGTCTGACTATGAGTACCTGGAAAGGAAACAGGGTTAGGCATTACATCTACTGATAACCTAGCCTGTTTAGTCACAGTGGCTATTATTGCTGCGGCACCTGTTGTTGTTGCTGCGGTTGCACAGGTAGTTCTGCAATTGGAGCTATCCCTAAAAAAGGATTTAGAGCAAAGACTTGGTTGATCTTTGTCATTTCCTCCATTAATTTGCCCATCTGGTCTGTCAATTGACCAACCTGACGACGCAAATTATTTCCCCCATTGCCGTTTTGTCTTTGCCCATTAGAATTTGGCTGGGATGGCTGAGACTGTTGGGAGTTATTGGAAGCAGATTGGTTGTTTCTGTTTCCATATCTCCTATTTCCCTGAGGATTCCTTCTCCATTGGGAATTGCCTTGGTTTTTATTAACCCAGGGGCGTTTATTCCCATTGGCATTGGACTTTTCAGAGTTATTAGAGGAATTTGCAGAATTGCTTCCGGCATTTTCCTGTTTCTGAGGTTTTGGAGTTTTCAACACCTCGGAATAGGTCCTCTTTTTCTGTTGGGTTTCTAAACCTAACTGAATTTTAGTCTCTGACACCATTTTATCACCAGGTTTCTTAACCTTTGGCTGATTTTCGTCATGTGCATGGTGTATAGTGTACAACTTCATGCACTGACTGACTAGCCATTCTAATGGTAACTTACAATCGTAATCTCTTGCGAGATTCATTTGTATGTTTACTGGCATGGCATGAAAATACAGATCTTTGAAGTCTGTGCTTTCATACCTGGGTTTTCTTTGGGCCACGGAGTATGCATTTTTAAGAATTATTAAAAATTCTCTGGGGCTTTGATCTGGACGGCACTTTAAGTTATAAAGCGCCTTCTTTGCAGAGGCAATGGTTTTATACTTACCATATTCCATGATTATTTCATATTTCATCTTGGACCAGGACATTAACTGTATAGCTTGAAGACTTTCTAGATAAACACGACACATTGAATCAAAGGTCCATGTAATGAACCATTTCTTATGAATGTCATCATACATGCCCAATGAATTCATTGCTCTATCATAATTTTCCAGATGTTCAGATATGTTTCCTGAACCTCTAGAAAATTGTGGGACAGTCTCTCTAAGGAATTTGATGACCTTTGGTGTTTCATAAACAGGCATCGTTGATTTACGACCTCTGTTTCTGTGTTTGGGTAAACGTCTATGCGATCTGTCTGCTGAAGAGGAATTAGACCCGTACAACAGTGCAGATGGCATATCAGTTACATGGCCTTCAGAGTGGACAGTGCAATCACTTTCACTCCCATCACTCTGAGCTTCTTGTTCACTGTCACAATTCTGATCTGCATCAGAATCCTGCCAGTGTACAGAACCATGTCTGTTTTCATTCCTATCACCTTGAATCTGATTCCTTCTGTCAAGCTTGGCCAGGACAGTCTTTTCAAACTGTTCTGCCCAAGATTGCCAAGAATCTACAGGTGTTTTCTCAGAATTACTCACATCTTTTCTTAGAGACTGTTTTATGAAAACCTGGTCTGGTGTGTGAATATCAGGAAATTGAAAAGAATCACTTGGGTCTTTTCCCAGTAATCCTTCACTTCCCTTTTGATATTCATCTAGCTGCATCTGTATCTGTTTTATCTGTTGATCATAATCATCCACCATTTTGTTCATTCTTTCCAGTTTATTCAAAAGGTCAGAGTTTAGAACCTGAAGGAGATTATTTTCATCAGACAAAGTTTTGAACCTTCCTTGTTCGAGCACCAGGTCTTTCTGACACTCGTCCAATTTACGTTCTATCTCATTATGCTTTTTTAACATAATAGAATAACCCAATATGAAAAACGGGCATGAGTTGGTAACAGATCGCATTGTAGACTCTTCATCTATATGGCTAAGATATTTAACCATAGGTGAATCAGCCGATCTATCATGAATCGAATCATCAACCTGTTTTTTTATTTGGAGTATCCACTCTGGATAATCAACTTTAATATTTAGATACTGATATATGATGCTTAAGGGAAAACCTTGCATTTCCGCTAACTTCTTCCCATTCTCTGATTGAGATGAAGCGCTAGATTCAGCCATATTTCTATACAGTGATTTAATCTCAATACAAAACTCTTTTCTATATCAAGATTAAATTGCATGAATTACACCAATATTATTATATATGAAATACAATTTCAACTTAAACGATCTCAGCACCGTGCCTCCAATATGTGGGGATATTTATGGGATAATAATAGTAACAGTGAGAATTGCCCACTAATTCAATTCTCAGATCCCAAAGAACGTTTATCGTAAGTGAAATGTATTTCATATAATTAATATCACAATGTATAAAAATAGATTTTTATTTATAATAACCAATAATTAACAAATAATATTATGTAACATGCATGACAATAATCAATGAATATCCAGTATAAAATGATATGCAATACAAAGGAATGGGTATTACGTTTCAATGGCTAAACAGCATTTCCTGTCAAGAATTATTTATGACTATCTTTAACACAGGCTGAAAGTGAAACTTTTCACAGCGAAGAACAGAATTCCTCAGAGTGCAGCGTAAGGTCGTAAAGTTTAGCAGACAGTTAGAATAACCCTTTCAATGCTGGCTAGATCTCCTAGGTAGTTAAGATCTATTCTGATGTAATTTTAAATAAAATGACATTTAAACCAGTTCACTAGTCATTTCCTGAAAACATCCAATAAGAGAATTTACCATTATATAAGCAGATTTTTAATTTGTCTAAAAGATATCTATCTTAATTTAGAGCAAATCAATACACCTGGATAAAAACAGCGGTATGCTAACACGTGATAATATCACATCAATATATAATTATTCTTAATTCCACCTGCAGAATGGAATATTTATAACTATATATTCTTAGTTAACTAAGATTTCTTAATATGGAAATCTGACCGTGCTTTATCCAGTCATATATAATGCTATTAATACATTTTGCTATACATTCCTTAGCTCTGGCAAAGAGGCCAGTCTTACAGAAAGAAATCCTGTGTCTCTTTGTCTTTGTTAACTTGGAATAACAAAATGGAGTCTGGTCTGTTCAGAGTGACTCAGAATATACACTTTTAGTTTCTATCATAGCACAAAATGTCTGCCGATATAAATACTCTGACATGTGGGTCCTCAAAAAGTTGCAACCCTACTTATACGGACAACCCTTTACTTTACTCACAGATCACAACCCGTTGGTGTGGCTGAACAGGGTGTCAGGAGACAATGCCAGGCTGCTGCGCTGGAGTTTGGCGCTGCAGCCTTTTGACTTTACAATCCACTACCGCCCTGGGAAGCAAAATGGCAACGCCGACAGGTTGTCTAGACAAACAGACTTGGAGCCGTGATCCGTGAGTACTCCTCCGGACATCCCCAAGCCGATCCGTTGGGATCAGACTGTGTATGCCGGCTTGGTTCTGGGGGAGCATTGTGGCAAACCTAGCCACTTGGGCATTATTTCTGTACTGCCTCTTTAAGGATTGCCGGTATGGGGTTCCTATTGTGTGTTCCAGCATGTACTGTAATGCAATGTTAATAATGTATTGCCTGCCTGGGCTATCTGCCGAACGCAGATAAGCTGATTCTATTCGTTTCACGAACGGCACCTTTGTGGGCCGTTCGGGAACCGAACAAAATATCATTTAATAGCCCACACACTTAGAGGCGTGTGGCGCCTATTAACCGATTGCAACAATGTTGCAATCGGTAATTAGAGGCTCTCCTGGGTGGACGTTGTTCGACTACCGACCATGCGGCGGTTGGCCATCTTGGATCCTTTGTTCCCTCAGCGGTGTTTGGTCGTCGAGCGCGTGGTACTAAAAACGGCTACTCGACGGCGCGAACACCGCTGAGCCTCCAGACCGTTCGGAAGGTCCGGGACATTCGGTATTTTGTTCCCTTATAGGTAATCGGTATTTTAAGGCTATGCGTTAGTGAATGTGTTTTTCGTACAGCGTTCGGTTGTTTTAGCTGGGATCTGAGCGGTAGTCTCCCGAATGAGGCGCTCAGACCCCAGCTATCTACCGAACGTCCATTCGTTTAAATAAACCAGATATTCATGGAGTTATTGAATTTAATGTGAATTGTGAGTTCTGCTGCACGGAGGGATAATCCACTTAACGGTATATTCCAGTGGGAGGATCCCTCTCGTGCAGCAGTGCCTGATGGGAGAAATGTCCTGTATTGTAAGTCCCCCATGTAGTCCCCTCTGGGAATGCCCCTGGGACTCAGGAAACCCCTTGTTACACCTAAGGGTCGAGTTTGGTTACTCAAGATATTCATCTTACCCTGAGGTTAACATCGACATGTAAGAAAATGGTGAGCAAGCCCTCTTGGGCCCTTTGTGGCGTTGTCATTTGCAAAGTTGGTCTGGTATCTGTAGGAGTGTCTGGTGGGTGTCTCGGGTGTGTGTGCAGTTATTAAAATGCTTCGCTCGTCTGCTACCACCTTTATCGTAAGTGTGATGGGAAATATAGCCATTATATATATATATATATATATATATTTTTAAATGTTTTTAATTGTGTATGATGAGCCTGTGGGTCTGATACGTGACTGCAGGTATGAGTGTGAGGTGTGTGGGGGGTATGGCAGAGAGGGGGGTAGAGCATACTGATACCAGATGGAAAAGTCCAGTGAATTGCTTTTCCAGGGCTTGAACGTGGTCTGCCAGATCATTGTGGGCATCTGCATATTCATCCATGCGGTGCTCCACATGTGCTGTTCTTTCGCCCAGCTCCTGGATGTTTTTGCTGAGCGTAGTAACTGAGGCTTGAATCTTATTCAGCAATTTGTCGGACATTTCATCCAGACATGCCCTCAGGATATCCTGTGTAACAGGAAGATTCCGCGGATCGGGTGAGTTTTGCAGGGGGAGAGTGTCGCCCTTGCCGCCAACTTGGTTTGTCTCGTGGAGGCTTTGGGTTTTGTTCAGCACCGATCGCGCTGCGAAAAAGCTGGACTTGTCCCCCCGGTCAGGGTTTTTCTTACCCTTTTGTTGTGCCATGTCTGTGGGGAGAGTGGAGGTAGGTTTTTATTCACTTTTGCTGTTTTTTGTCTCTTTGTGGGCTAATCTCGGAGCGGAGCGCTAGTGCAGTGTGATCATCCGTTTCAGCGTCCAGGCCACGCCCCAATTCATGTCTATTTAAAGAGCTGCTTCCAGCACTGAAAACAGTTCAACAGTTCACAGCACACTAAGGGAAGCCCCATGTATCCATTGATATCTGGGAAAAGTGGTATGAGCAGGGATTTAATCCTGCTCACACCAAATCTGCAAGGCCTTCTATGCCACTCTACAGTCTTTTAAGCCCACATAGAACATCATAACATTCTTAAGGGGTTAATGCTAAACAAGAGTCCCCAAGCAACCTTTCACTTTGTGCTGCTTGGGTGTTGAGGAACCATACATTTGAGCAGAAATGAATGACAGTGATTGGTTGAGTCAGCTGACTTCTTTCAGCCTATTACAGCTGGAATTGTCGGCATGCGTCATCATGGGTCATCATGGCTAGATGGAAGTGTTTAATCTATGGCTATGCCTTAGCCATACTTCCAGTAGAAGCAAGGGATCCTCATTCATTGTCAAACTGCTCGAAAATATTTTAACACTGAATGGAGGGACGGCGGGTACTTCAGGCACAATAACCAATTCAATAAGATGAAATAGTTATAATGGTTAGGCTAGAGTCTCCCTTTAACAAGGTGCCATCCATCGAGACATTATATTTGGGCACCATAACATATTGTATGCTAATGCAGAAACAAAATACTAATTAACATAAGCACTAATACATCTTATGGGATCACCCATTAGCTTAGTTCAGAAGGAATGTCACAGGCAAAGCAAGGATACATGGCGGAACATTCACATCCTAGTATCCTCCAAGGATAGAATTACAATTCCCAAAGATATGAAACAATTAGAACATCATGCTCTGACCACAGTGATCTGACAATAATTGCATTATGCGCTCGAGTGTCTGTGATGTGAACATCTGGAAGACTGTTTCCAAACCAACAACATTTTACTCTAAAGAAACACTGTTACAAAGATCTATCTTTGAATGATTCAAGCAGAAAGAAAGGATATCAAAATCCATCATGAAACATACTGGCATTTCCCTTCTAAGTGAACAGAAAATAAAGAAGCAGTTAAGTTAGTCCTTAAAGGACCACTATAGGCACCCAGACCACTTCAGCTTAATGAAGTGGTCTGGGTGCCAGGTCCACCTAGGATTAACCCTTTCTGCTGTAAACATAGCAGTTTCATGGAAACTGCTATGTTTACCTATGGGTTAATCCAGCCTCTAGTGGAAGTCTCACTGACAGCCGCTAGAGGCGCTTCCGCGCTTCTCATTGTGATTTTCACAGTGAGAAGACGCCAGCATCCATAGGAAAGCAGTGAGAATGCTTTCCTATGGACTGGCTGAATGCGCGCGTGGCTCTTGCTGCGCATGCACATTCAGCCGATGATGGGAAAACGAGGAGGAGAGTCTCCAGCACCGAGGGAGCCCGGCGCTGGAGATAAGTTAAGTGATTACCCCTTCCTCTCCATCCAGCACGGCGGGAGTGGGACCCTGAGGGTGGGGGCACCCTCAGGGCACTATAGTGGTCCTTTAAATGAACAGCCTCCCCAAGTTTATAATAAAATATTACACAATCATATGACCCTTTCTCTTTGCAAATTAATATAATTCTCTCTTAATACGATCTATTCTAGAGCATCAGCCAAATCAAATTTGAATAATCGAGAGTCGCATATATTTCCTGCTCTTGCTGTAACATGTAATCCTTTTATAGTTCTGGTTTAAAGGGACACTCTGGATCCCTAAAGCACTTTAGGTTGCAGATTTTTTTGTTTTTGTTTGGAGTGTGTGACCATTTTCATTTTACAAAAAGTGCAGATTTCAATAGAAATTGACACTGATAAATTAATCTGGTTACGTCCCCCTGGCTGTCAATCAGACAACAGGTCCTGTTACTTCCTGGTTTGGTTAGCTCAGTGGAGCTAAACTCAAGAGGCAGCAATTTCCTAAAGCAGGGGTAGGCAACCTTATAGCAATACTGTGCCAAAACTAAATCTTGAAGTCCCTTTGTGTGCCAGTCCTATTTTTTTTTTTTTTTTTTACATTTTTTTGAAATTGATGTGTGTATGTTGCTCTATTATTATGGGTGCTGTAGTTACTTTGTAACATTGTATTTGTGCGTATGTGGCCTTGTAATAACATATTGTATACCTTCATGATTAGTTTGTGGTATTGTGTATGATATCTCTGAATGTGGGCTTTGTATGGGGGCTGCTTGTGGAATTGTGTGTATGGATATGTCACATTGCGTTTGGTGGGGCTTCTTGTGGTAATGCCAGTGAAAGGATGTTTGTGCGGTTGCGTGTGTGTATTTGGATTGCCAGTGATGCTGTGTTTGTGAGGACTGTGTTTGTATCATTTTATGTGAGAAGGTGGCTTCTTTTGCAGCTCTGTGTATTTCTAGGAGTGTGTTTGGCTTCCCTGGGGTCCAGTGGGGCCGGGCTGGCCAGGTACGGATCAAGGGCAGGAGCTGCACTCCAGCGCGGGTTCCCATTCACATATACTAGGAGGAAGTTAGATCACTTCTTCTAAGTGCTGCAATATGTACATTGAGGATTGACCCTCACCACCTGTAATTACAGCTTGGTTGGACTTGCGAATATCTAAAGTCCCACTGGGACTCCTTATAAGCCAGAGCCTGTTGAGTGCCGTGCAAAGACACCTTGAGTGCCATGGGTTGCTGACTCCTGACGTGAAGCACCTGCCTTACAAAGACTTCTCATTGATCTGCAACATGAAGCCTATGAAAGTCTGAGCTGGGTTAGAAGGGGAGAGCTTGCAAAGGTTGCAGACAAGAGATATGTAGCTTTTGCAGCTGTTTTTAGATATATCTTAATGAAAATATATAATTAAATATATTTATTTATAAAATATTTGACCAGTTTTCAAGTATGATTTGGGTCTACAAAACGTTGCATTGTTTCAATAGGATACAATATTACAAAAAAATACAATATACAAACAATATATATATATTTATAAATACACACATATATAAATTTAACACATACTAAATAAGTTGTGGTGGGGAAAAAAGTGTGTACCTGAAATAGGTAGATAGTTAATGCAATGTTAAACACAAATACACACACCAGGCAAGCCATTAACCTACCTCATGCTGATGAGTTGAAATAAATAACGAAACAGCTGTCCATGAGTGGTTCACTGGCTTTGCTCCTCTTCCTGAGTTGTGTTTCAAAGCTGTTGTATGCAGCAGACACATACTCCAAGGAATCCATGTATAAAGTAGAATTATGAGGCAAAAACGTGGTTCTTTGTTGAGATCATTTGCATATGCCTACCCAGAATCCCTTGCAGTAGTGAGAGCACTGAGGTAAAAGCAAGTCTTATGGCTTGCATGGTGTGTGTATTTGTGTTTAACATTGCATTAACTATGCACTTATTTCAGGTGGAAGTAGTGGTGTATTTTGGGTCTTTGCTGCCCTAGGCATGACAGAACTCAGGCACCACCGAATTTAAATTTGCCACACCTCTTCCTGTTAAAGACTAACACACACTTTGACTGACAAACACACACTGATTTGACGCAATCTGACAAGACAAACGCACACACTGACATACACACCCAATGACGCAGACACACACCCACTCACACTTACAGACACACCCAATCACTCAGACATACAGGCTTCCTCAAAGAAACACACTGACAGACACAATCACTCAAACACACAGGCTCCCTCACAGACAGACCCTGACAGACATACACACACACACACACAATCACTCAGACACACTGACAAACATACACAGACAGATATACACACAGACTCACAGACAGACAGACATCCCGCCTCTCCAGCCACACCCCACCAAAAACTCTCCCTCATGATGCTGTCTGACTTCCCTCTACCACAGGTCTGTCAGCTATCAGCCATCCCTCTGACCATTGGTATTGAAGGTCTCCCATGGTCCCCCTTACTTGGGCAATCAACTTGTCCATTAAATAATTATCTATACGTTTAAGAGGCTTTAGAGTTTACCGTGTCCATAGGAGGTACTTTGGATTGTGGCCAAAGCTGCATGAGTGCCCGAATGTCTGCCAGAGTAACTTTGTTGAGGAGTCTTTTTTCAGTATTTGTCCACCTATCAAACGGTTTGGACAGAAAAAATAAGCACCCTTTTTGAAATATGTTTGTTAATAGCTCGCTGACCTTTCCCCAGAATGATTGTACCTGGGGGCACTCCCACCAAAAATTTCCATAGGTGCCCCTTAGTCCACATAGCCTCTAGCACTGATCAGTTGGGGTTTAGTGCATATGATCTAATTCGACAGAGGTTGTATACCCCCGGGACATCATCTTCAACAATTGTTTTTGCATAGTTCCACAAATTGAAATTTATTTTTATATTTGCCTCACAGAAAATTGATAGTTTAAAATAAATAAATAAATAAATAAATGAATATTAAGCTAATTTTCAAAGCTGAAGCAGTTTTTTTTTTTTTTAGTCAGGAGACTTCAGAATTAGATGGATATACTTCTAAATAAAATACACGGATTCCTTCCTCCAAAAATAGGCACAGAGCGCAAGCTCTTACCTGAAAGACACAAAACATTTTGTTAGGGGATTGAATTGCATAGCTTGGAGGGAAGAGTGTGTGTGTGTGGGCCCTGCTGCATGTTGCTTCTTTGTTTGCAGTCAAGCATGATTTGGGCCTCCGGGTGGTTCAATTTGCCTCAGAGGAGCACATTATGTTGTGTGACCCCTCTTTTTGGTAAATTTCAGAATTCAATGTGTATTATCTTGGCATTTGGGTTTTTTGATTTCAACAGGGATTTCTTTTTTGCAGCTTGGGGGTGCCGCCATGGGTTCGCCACAATTTGTGTGAATGGTTTTGTGGACTTTTGGGAAGAGGAGGTTGTTCACCTGATTTTGAGACCTTCTACTGCCTCCACTGGAGTTGCTCCCTTCCCGATAAACAGCAAAAGTCCATGGAGCAGACTAGTGGTAAGAAATGCCTGTATCATGTAGTTTCTTAGGAATAGGTTACATGGATTTCTTCCATAGGAATGTGGAATAATGTAAGTCACGAAGGAACAGGAGATGGTGCAATTCAAACTCATGGGGCACCTTCTCCTGAAATGACCTCACTTGGAGTACTGTTCGCAGTACTAGAGACCGTATCTCCAGAAGGATATTGATACTTTAGAGAGAGTTCAGAGAAGGGCTACTAAACTGGTTCATGGATTGCAGGATAAAACTTACCAGGAAAGGTTAAAGGATCTTAACATGTATAGTTTGGAGGAAAGACGAGAAAGGGGGGATATGATAGAAACATTTAAATATATAAAGGGAATTAACACAGTAAAGGAGGAGACCATATTTAAAAGAAGAAAAACTACCACAACAAGAGGACATAGTCTTAAATTAGAGGGACAACGGTTTAAAAATAATATCAGGAAGTATTACTTTACTGAGAGGGTAGTGGATGCATGGAATAGCCTTTCAGCTGAAGTGGTAGAGGTTAACACAGTAAAGGAGTTTAAGCATGCATGGTATAGGCATAAGGCTATCCTAACTATAAGATAAGGCCAGGGTCTAATGAAAGTATTTAGAAAATTGGGCAGACTTTTTTTTTCCCCAATACCAGAAATTGGTATCACTGAATTAACCCATAAATTAGTATGATTTCTGACGAACGCAAACTCCTCAGGTAAACCAAGTTTGATTTTTATAGGAGTAATATTACCTTATGTGTATAATACTCAACTTGCATCTCCAAATAAGCTCTGGCTACCAGTGATGAATCTGCATTTCACATTAATACCAGAATATCCTCCTGTAAATGTTGAACACCGCCTCTTTTATTGAACCCTCTGTTCACCATATTTTCAATGTTTGATTTAAACATATCGGAATTTGTAATCCTTTTCTCGCTATTAACTCTACAGTTTCCAAATTATTATTGTTTGAATATCCATAGAATATCTAATAGAAGTCTTTGAACTTGGACCATTGTACCTAACCCAGCCATAATTCCTGCTACAAAACCTCTTTTTCCTGTTTTGACACTTTCTTTTCTCCAAACCAGTGTTCTAATCCTAGTTCCATTTTTAATAAGTGTTCCTTACATTGAGGACATTTAGTTGTGATTTTAATGTTTCTCATGGAAAATTCTAAATACTTGTTGCAAATTTCCCATCTAATAAAAGTTTTGACTGAGAAAGATTCAATTGAAAGGGACATGATAATTTAAAAACTTTATTTCTGTATTCTACCTTTGCTGGAAAAAGACATTTACCTTGACATCACTACATCTTTCGTGAGGATTTGTTAACATTATGCAACACTGAGTTTCTACCATCCCTGTAGGTAGGATTATCAAGCATTTTGCTCCAACCAGCCCACCTTTCCTAGCACACCTCTGTGAATTACTTTGGATATTGTATGTGACATGCTACCCAAAAACTATCCTTCCTTATTCCACGTCATTTCAGACTCCGAAGGGAACATTAAATTGGTACAAGTTAATCTAAATCTATATTTTTCAATCTCTACAAGTATAGGCTTTACTAAAAACATCTGACATAACATAATTAGCTACACGAAACAACATACTAACTCTCACTGTCAACGATTCCCTAAATGAGGCATAGGCAACCTTCAGCATTCTAGGTGTTTTGGACTACTGCTTGCTCCCATGATGCTTTGCAAGCATTATGGGGGGATGTAGTCCACAACATCTGAAGTGCCAAAGGTTGCCTACCTCTTTTTTTCCCATATCCATGGTATACCTTAAGCATGATTTAGTAATTATTCTGGCTTTAAAAGTCTAAGCCAACATTAGTCAGTATAAATTATCACATCATCTCATCCTCTTCTTGTTACTAAAGTTTGTGGAATGCTTACATACACATTACCGGACCAATTTACCATTTCATCTCCATTAACAATCATGATTATATGCATTTTGTAGTATGTAGAGTTTCTATGATCCCATATTATCATCCTGGATAAATAAACCTTTTGACCAACTAAAAAAAAAAATCTTTAGGATCTATTGTAATGTTTCAATTAATAAAACTTTCCTGTGGAATTAATTGCATAGTTGTAGATAACCATCTTTTGTCCCAAAATAAATAAGACTATTTAGTAACCGTTCATTGTCTTTCCCCCCCCTAACATTTCCCAAGAAATCATTGAATTTCTAATTAAATATCTTTTTTGTTCATCTTAAATGTAACCACTGCAACTACTATAGCCATCAACAGTAGAAAAAGTATTCTCAAAAACAACCGTGTAGAAAGAAATTATTACTTTTACTGGCCAACTTTCTTCTGTAGGTCTTTTACAAATTAAAATGAAAACAATGCAGCATCAATATATTTTCAAGTATGTTTTAGATTTATAAAATTCACACTAATCTGCATGAAGACAAAAAAAAAATTGCTGCCTCAGTTTGTTTTGTGAACCATCAAGAAGTCTTTGTACTTGGACCATATTTCATCCCATAGGATCAGCTATTTTATAAGGACTGTCCCAATTTGCTTCCAAAGGTATGGTTTTAATAAGTTATCATGACCATATCCCCTTTTAAAAACTTTGAAAATCAGGAGGTACCATTTTGCACATATGAGTTGCTGCATGTGGAAGTATTTGGTCCAAATTTTATTTCAGCATTTGTAACCATTAATTTTTTTGATATTGCATCTTTCTGTGGTTCAATGGGAAAGGTCAACTGCATGTTCTTGCCTTTCCTCAATTCAAATTGGAGTATATTGTGTAGCTGAAGACACCATGGCTCTTATACCCATAAGTACAGCAAGAATGGTTGTATCTAGATGTTACCTTCCCCTCCCCAGAGTAAACATTTTTGTAATTCTTGATTTCAATGTTTCGATGCATATTTTTTACCATCCCAGATTGTAGAGGATATGGAAACCTTTATTTTATTCCTAGAGAAGCATGCAGTGCCTTGCATGACTTTCCCTGTGAAACGGGTACCTCTGTCTGATTCAAGAAGTCTAGGAAATCCCTATCTTGAGGAAATGTGTGTGTCCATAATGATCTGGCTGTATATTGTCAATCATTTTATGTTAGTGGAATAACTTCCAACCATTTTGAGAATAAATCTACAACTACCAGCGCATACTTTAATCCATTCACATCTGTTGGTAGTGGTCCAATGAAATAAAATTGCAGGGTAGACCAAGGGCCGCCTCTACGTTGAATAGGTGGTTTTTGTCCTTTAGAACTGGAATTTATTTGTGCACATATACATGATTGCACTACATGTTGTACAGGGTCTTCGATTTTATCCTAATAAAAACTTATCTTTGAGTACCTCAAACAGTTTCTGCTGCCCAATACTACCTAAAACGTTCATGATTATATTGTGTAAATAAATAAATAAACCACGTATAATGTTCTGGTATGACTGGAAGCAGTTCTCCATTTTTGTCATGACACAAAACCCGTTCTCATGAACAAATGGAGGTTTGGATCAACTTGAGAAGCTGCAAGAGATTGATCTTTTGCCTGTTCTTCTGCAAAAGATGGAGGCTTTCTGACCACTGCTACTAACTGCATTGAATTTTCACCTGTTAAAGCGGTTCTTTTTTGCAAATTTATTATCCATTTCCTTCTCACTAAGTACATCTTTACCTTTTTGGTGTGCTGAACTTTAACTGTAGCATACAAACATGGCAACTGAGACAAGTTCAAATACAGTCTCTGGTTTCTCTGTGTTCCAACACGTTAAGGCATCCACAAAACGTCAGCCTAGCAAGTTACCATCGTTTTTTTTTTTTGTAAATATATTTTTTATTGTTTTATCATCATTATTATTTTCATATACTCAAGATGAAAAGGAGATACAGATGGTGTATTACAGGACACGCAGGTCCCTTGTTTACTGAAAAGGAGAGGGTGCAATAGTCATAAATAATCACAGCATTATGTGGGCACGCAGGTCCCGAGCATCTGAGGGCTCGCAGGTCCCTTATTGATTCACAATATAATTATGGCAATTTATTGTTTGTTTGTTAATTTGCAGTTCGCCAGTTACTACTGGGTTGTAGCCCGGGACTGCGGATGAGTGTCAGTATGGGGTCCAGTGGCCAATGTCAGAACTGGCCCTGGTCACATGAAGTGGGCATATGGTAGGGCTTGTCTGCCCCGTTAGTAATGGGCTTGTAGGTCTTTTACAAATTAAAATGAAAACAATGCAGTATCAATATATTTTCAAGTATGTTTTAGATTTATAAAATTTACACTAATCTGCATGAAGACAAAAAAAAATTTCACCTTATGATGCTCTGCTAGGGTTGTTAGGCTTGTTTCAGTTCACCTGGTCTCTGCGTTATAAATCTCCTGAACTACCGCACCGAGAGAGTCCTCCCAGCGGGTCCTTGTTGCCCTGTCAGGGCCGTGGTCTGCGGGTGGGGGTATTATAGAAAAGGGGGGGAAACAGGGAGTTGGGATGGGTACAGTGGCGTCAGGGAATCGACGGTGTCTGGCGTCTTTGTCGTAGTGAAGTCCGAGATCTGTCCATGTAATTCAGTACCGGAGTTTGTCAGCAAAATCTGGTTTCGTCGTAGTCTGCAGCCATTGAGTCCATATGTTTAAGTAAGACTGGTGTGAAGATCCTCCAGGCATCTTAGCTCCCCCATTTGAGAGAACCATGACCTTAGTGGGGGAGTGACTGGTTGTTTCCAGTGTTGCGGAATTACCAATTTAGCTATGTTCAGAATGCGTATCGTAAGATTTCTTATAGAGGGTTTTTGGTATGATGCTGATATGATGTTTATTCCTGCAGGATTGAAAGGGGGTGGGCTTTCCGTTAATAGCTCTAGCATTGTATATATCCCCTTCCAGAACGGGAGGATCTTCTTGCATTCATACCAGATGTGGAGGAGTGTGCCTCTCTCTTCACATATCCAGCATAATGGGGAGTGATCCGGTATGATCTTGTGTAGTGTTGAGTGGGTGCGATACCAGAGTGTTAGTACCATCTGTTCTTTTTAACCCATCTGGCATCCATACCGAATAAGTAATATTCTAAGGCAGTGACAGTTTCCATTTAAATTCGGTTTTAGTTCCCTGCAAGTCACACTTCCGAATAAACTTGAATGTAACAGAGTTCTTAGTTGTTGCAGTAACAAATCTCATTTTATGGGAGATTCTCATTTTCAAGATTTCATTTTTGCTCTCATTCATATAATTTCTCCACCCCCACTATATCCCATTGAAGGGTATTCTGGAAGAATGCTAGCTTGCTAAAAACAAGGTAATTAAAAGTCTGATCTAGTTTGCCATCCATGAATAGTTTGATCCAAACAAAAGGGTCTCCATGGGGACAGGACAACGGATTGCCGATTTGTTAGAAAACATGGGGATATAAAATGAGCAGCAGCTCCAGTATGTCACACAGCAATGTTCATTATCCTTGACGTGTTTGGTCATCTGCTGGTGTATCTGGTTTCTCTTTCTTGAAAAAATGAAAAAAAAATAAAAAATTATTCACTAAAGTGAAAACGGTTTTGAAGTGAATTTCGCATATAAGGCAAAACTAGCCAAACTGGGAATATTCTCTGAGGCAGCTATGTCCGTTTGGCTATTCTGGACTAGAGAGTTTGAAATTCACTTTGAATTCCTGAAAATTCTCTTTAGAGAACAGTGCTGCACATTTTCATTTTAGGAAGAAAAAAAAAACCCCAAAAAACTACAATCTGCTAATTTGTATAGACAACAAATCACTAGTGGTGTTATTTATCAGTGTGAATTATTGAAAATGCTAATTCAATTTTTTTTATGCCAAATCAGATGTACTGGATTAATTAAACTATGCATTATTTTACCCTTAAATGTGACATGTAAGTCTTTGTAAATAGTTGCCACTGGAGCAGGGGTTTTCAACCAGTCCAGGATTTAGGGATCACCCAGTTGTGTCTAAAGTGTTTTTTACCTTTTTTTTCTAAAAACACCATAGACACCATGATAATCCCTAAATCCTGGACTGGTAGGGGATACTTGAGGACTGGGTTGGGGTCCCCTTCACTAGAGCACTGTTTGACTTAATTGTTGGGAATGCAAAGGAAACTGGAGGGGAACATAAATAAGGTCAAATCTGCATTAAATCCAAGAATATCTACCCTGATCACAAGCTACACATACAGATCAAATGTATGAGCCGACCTTAAAACAAGAGAAGGTTCGTGGGATACAACTGGTCTAGAACAGGGGTTCAAAAAGCATTGTAAAGAATTATTCCATCATGGATATCACTTGCTTAAGGACCTATGATGGAATAATTTCATCATGCATTATTTTACCACAGGGACTGCCTGAGGTTCTCCTCTATCAGTGTGTGCCCACTAATTTTGGCTCCAGCTGACAGAGGACATGGCTGTGGTGCTCAAAGTGAGCACTGAATACGGCTCTATAAATGGGGATTAAATATTCCGCTGCTACAACTTTGTGTTAGCAGGGTTTAGTTCCTGCTTACAGCAGGGAAACGCATGTAATCGATACCCGGGGCTCCTCACCATCAGCTGGGGCCATATTCAAGGTCTCCAAACTGACAAATGAGCTGTATGGAGCGCCTTTAAATCAGTTGAGAGCACTGTTGCTGAGCGATCAGGAACAGCCACGGTGATTCTGAGTGCAGCTTGTCGGAGGGAAATCCCTAGGGTCTGAATAGACTCAGACAGGGTCTTTCTGCATGCACCCATGCCATTTTGATCAATATGGGGCTTTGCCAGTTGCCCAGCACCAATCACAGTGTAATAGCAACGCAGTGTTTTCAGCACCCACATTATCCTACAACTTCAAACCCCTATACTCAGACTTATCTGGTGGATCAAGAAACGTGTGAGAATCAAACTGAGAAACACCCCATAAATACGGAAATGATCCACACAGTTATAATCCACCCCATTAAATCACTTATTTTGGTGCCAAACGACACTAAAATGGACAGAACAGAAATAGCACAGGTTTAAATACCCATTCTCCCTATATTGTTATATTTTGGTGGCATATGCCTAGTGTGGTCAGGTTTATCAAGGTCTTGACAACAACACTGACCAAACATATGGGATCGGGTTGTAGGTACTGGGAGAGGCACATATTTGGTAAAAACCCTTCAAACGCCATTCAACAAAAAACCAAGAGGATGGAGCAAACTGGCTTAGACATTACTGTGGACCTTTTTACATTGTTTAATAAACTGCACTACTAGTAATGCCTTCAGGGTCTTTACAAATACCTAGAAACAAGGTTTTAGACCATTTTTATTGATATATTTTTTGTTTGCGCACCTACTGTATGGATTGCATTTTTGTTTTTATTTGAACATATAAAGGATAAAGGAGACTGTACACGGTCTATAGAAATATTTTGGAAGTTAAAAACTTTAAAGGCTGAAAAAATACATACAAAAATACAAATTGTGTAAATGGACATACTTTTTAATTTTAAAGTTTGTCTGCAAAGCAATATACACACAAAATTGCTGTGTGTATGATATGCTTATACGCCAGCTATGCATCCCTTGCTTCAATAGTATGCTAATATTTTTCCAATCAAAACGTCCATGGTAGTGAAGGAGTTACTTTGTATAACACATTTTCTGCAGAAGTCATTGTTCTGTTCTCCACTTCAGAGCTATAGAAAGCGGATAAACTTAACTACAACTCCCAGAAACCTCTGCTGCTCTCATTTAGTGTTTGAGAATTTATGGGTATGATCAGCACTATAATAGTTTTTGGCAAAATTACGTTTTACTGATACACTCCTTGCAGAACAAGCAAATCCTGCTATGTGACAAATGCAGAAACCTCAATTTTTTTTTTTTATTATACACATATATCGATCTATAAAAAAAAAAATTATATATATCAACATCTATCTAAACATACACACTGATCAGCCACAAAACAGACAGGTAAAGTGAATTACATTGATCATATGGTTACAATGGCACCTGTCAAGGGGTAGGATATATTAGGCAGCAAGTCTGTGGGCAAGCGAAGTTCTGAGGGATTTTCCCAAGAGCAAAATGGTGGTGGCTAGACGAATGGGTCAGAGCATCCTACAAGACATGCAGTTTTGGAGGTGTTCCTGGTATGCAGATGTTAGTAGCTGCCGAAAGTGGAGAAATGAAAGAAAACTGATGTAGCGGCATCAGGCTCACTGATTCACGTGGGGAGTGAAGGCTAGCCCATCCGGTCTGATCACAAAGCGCTACTGCAGCTCAAATTGCTGAAAAACTTTATGCTAACTATGATGGAAAGTTGTCAGAACACAAAGTGCATTGCAGTTTGTCCAATCTGAGTATGTAGCTTTGTACGCAGTAGAGTGCCCGTGATGATCACTATCCACTGCCGAACGCGCCTTCAATGGCAACGTGAACTGGACCATGGACCAATGGAAGAAGGTTGCCTGGTATGATAAATCACATTTATTTTTAGATCAGGTGGATGGCTGGGTGCCTGTGCGTTGTTTATCTGGGGAAGAGATGACAGCAGGAGGCACTATAGGAAGAAGGCAGGTCAGCAGAAGCAGTGTTATGCTGGGAAACGGTGGGTTCTGGCTTCATGTAGATGTTAAGTTTGCATGTACTGCCTACATACAGCATGTTTCTGACCATGTACACCCACTCATGGCAAAATTGTTCAGGAATGGTTTGAGGAACATAAAGAGTTTAAAGTGTTGCCATGGCCTTTCAAATTCCCCAGAACTCAATCTAAGTGAGCATATGTGGGATCTGCTGGAACAACAAATCCTATCCATTTAATCCTAAAACTTGATGATTTAAAGAATCGGCTACCAATTTCTTGGTGCCACGTTCAGAAGCCTTCTGGAGTCCATGCCTTGACTCTGTAGAGCTGATGGGCAGCACAAGTATGATTTTAGGCAGGTGGTTTTAATGTTGTGGCTGATCAGTGTGTGTTCTGATTTACCTGTGTTTTTTTCAAAGATCAATAAAAAGCGGTTTAAAAATAACCCACAAATTTAGCAAAATTAGCTTACATTAAATAACAGCAAAACTGAGCAGGAAAAAATAATGAAATTAATAAAAGTCTTAAACACTGGAGAAAAAAAATGAAGTACAACTGCTGTTACAAACAATCCATTTATTGTGTCTTAAAATAAACTAAGTATACAATTGAAATAATAAGAGTTTTGGCACTACGCTATACAGTGGTTACGTATATGCGTTGACACCTGATGAATACTGTTCTAGGAACACTGCTGTGTTTTAAAGTTCTGATTCAGTCACTTAGCAGGTAAACATTTAAAAATGATCGTATTTTTCCTGCGAGGAAGACTGCACATGTCTTGAAATGGGATGCAGAGTTAACCAGCTTGACAATTATTTCAATGTACAAATGAACCTGCTAACCAACTGTCACCTTAAAACAGATATTAAATCGGCTTTAAGAGTGCACCACACACACACACACAAAAACACCCCAAAAACAAACAAAAAACTCTGCATGTTCTCTATATGGTATCGTTAATGGTTTTCGTTCATTGTTGCGCTTTTTGAAAACAAAAGACATTAAAAAACAAAAAATGCTCTATCATAGGAGCAAGAAAAAACAAAAAACAAAACTAAGAAAATAATTTAAAAACAAAAATATGGCATTTGACTTGATACAAAGCTTTAGCTTAGCCTCAGTGTCCACACTGACTTTGTTACAAGCCAATGCCTGAAGCATTTTCCTGCAAACTGTACAATTTATCTACTGTAAAGTCTCTACATTGTACATAGTCATGTAAAACATTAGCAAAAAAAACAAAAAAAACGTATCAAGTGCTAATGTGGCAAGCAAACCTATACAGACCGTCCATGTTGGTTTAGAGACTAGTCTTTTTCAATCAGTACATTGTATCCACTTCAGCCTGTTAAACAGCCCAAACTCTTCAATTAAAATTAAATTGTCTTCAAAGTTTGTGTTCTATGGTTGGCTTAAAAGGAAGGAAAAAAACAAACAAAAAAAAAGAATGCTAAAAAAGTCCCATCCATTGGGGTAGCGAGAATTCAAAAATGTAAAATATTCCCACGTGAGGTTTTTGGACCATCCTTCAATTCCATCAGTTTATTCCGGAATATGTTCATACGCTGCACAAACAGAATACAGAGAAGGTCGGTTTAATGCTCTCCTCGACTGCTACATGGTTACTATGCATCATACAAACGGTGCTTTAAATGAAATCTATTGACAATGGTTTGATTCAACGAGAAAAAACAAACAAACAAACACATGAGTCAACCCACAAACCACACACTGACAAGACATTACAGGTCACCTTCTAAATCAGGTGTCCCCGAACATGTCAACAAATGATCAATATCGACATCAGCCATACAAATTAACACCTGTTTATAAAGACATGACATATTACTTTCATAGTATGCCAAAGCAAGGAAATAAATTATGAACATAATATTTGTTAACGAAAATCAAAGTGGGTGTTATTATTCATATGGAATAAGTTTAATTTAAGAAAAAAAACACTGCTTTGAATTTAAAAACATATATAATTATATACATACGCACAAAAACACTTTTGAAATCTTAGATATTAGTGTTAAAGTATTTTAGTTTATAAATTGTTAGTTTACAGGGGTTTAAACAATCCTTTCTTTAAGTAAACTATGTGAAAGACCAACAATCCTTAGCCTCCCATTTCAAAATCTACTTCAACAGCATCCAACAGTAAGGTCTGAATACACGAAGAAGGGACAACAAGAAATCAATTTGAGTACCTATCAGGTGCCAGGGTGTTGGTAAAGGATGCCTCATGTGACATACTGTAATTTAAAGCCGACCGTAAATTGAGTCTTGAGACTTTTTGTTCGAACAGCACAACAATGTTTCATCAGTTATCACAGGATTAGTTACCAACTTGTGAATTGTTGGGAGTTTTAAAAGGACTGTACAGTAAATTTCAAATCTCAGGACAAATTCCAATTTCAGTTCCTTAAAATTTCTAGTATAATGAAGAACCCTATTGGTGATGTTACATGGCAGTGTGTAAATAAAACAGACCGATCCCACTCTGCATTTTCTTTTGTCTTGGCAATAGAAAACCGGAATTAAAGTTAAAAGGACACATCTTAATTAAGTGGTTTTGGTGTATTGACCCTGTCTTTTTTTGAAACATTATAAAAAAACATTGCAGTTTCTGAGAAATTGCAATTTTAACATTTATCTGAAACCACACCTCCTGGCAGTCACAAGAGGATCTTCCTTCTAAATACATTTGAAAATCAAAGATCTTTATGTTCAACATCATCATGCACACCATTACATCAAACACAGCTAAGGCTTCTTACAAAGAGAAATTGTATTTAATTCTTCTCTATGAGAAACATTTGACTGGTGGAGTTCCGTAAACTGCCTCGAATGCATGTTGTGTAGACAATGCTTCTCTATGAGAAGTACTGGACAAAAGTCATCACGACTGACAACTTCATCGGAGGTAGATTGACTCCCGAGAGATGATTGACCTGGAACTAGATTACAGGAAAGGTTCATGGCTTTTTTTTTTTTTTTTTTTAAATGGTAACCTAAATACCAATAGAAAGACTGTCAAATATACATTATTTTAGCATTAGAGTGTTACTCTCATGTGAGAGATGTATTTTGTTAGATATATTGGGGATGTTGCTGCCTTATAGGGTGATATTTTTCTCTTGGGCAATAAGTGGGTGCATATATTTCTTTACACTGTAGATGGGTTTTCACGGCTTTCTTTGTCGGTGCATGGCATTAGATGGTAAACACTGCTCACCTTTTTACGCATAATAGCACGGGGAAACCAGAAGATCTGTCAAAAGCAGTAACTGGTCATCTGTGAACTGCTGTTTGTGCTCCTGCCAATTGTCAAGATGTGTTCTTCGAAAATTAGATAGTGTTTTCTTTACAGTCATCTGAAAGTAAACATTCCACCAATTTATTAGTAGAATTACATACAGGTAGACTCCACAAAACAGATTTTGAATGCTAAAATGCATGTCTGTCAGCTAGTAAGGAAATGTAGCCAGAGGCTAAACGCGATGGGGGAGATTTATCAAAGCGACCTGATGTGAATAGTGTTCCAAAGTTCTCAAAGTGGGGGATCATCACAGAACGCAATGGATCAACAAGAGCAAGAAGAATACACCGTCAATTCCTCTATTTTTACAAATTAGTTTTTAAAATTCTGTTAAATTTGGCACTTTATAGAGTTAGAAACACAGGTTTATATTCCTAGTGCTATAGCGTTCCTTTAGTAATAAAATGTATGTCACACATTTAGAAAGTTTATCATCTATGGATCTGAAAGTTATCTGAAAGAGAAAAATATCAAGCTATAGAAAGGTAAAAATGTTACCTCTATCGGCTGAGGGTCATTTAGATGTGCACTAAGATCCATGAGAAGTTGTGGCATCCATTGTGGTACCTCATAAGGACTGGATAAAATACATGCACTGAGTCCCAATACGCCAGCATGACGTTTTACCAAATCTAGTGGAATAAAAAAATAAAATAAAATTAGACATTTTAAAGTCCAGTATATTGATGGCTGTGAAGCCACATTAAAACATTAAAGACAACCGCAAATAATGAATTATTGGGATTCCAAATTTTAATAGATTTTACAGTGATTCTGGTGTTCTGGAATTACACAAACAAATACAGTCAGGTCCATAAATATTGGGACATCGACACAATTCTAATCTTTTTGGCTCTATACACCAACACAATGGGTTTGAAATGAAACAAACAAGATGTGCTTTAACTGCAGATATGTGGGAGGCACATATACAAACTGTTGTAATTCCTACACCGTTCACCTGATTTGGATGTAAATACATACATTAAAGCTGAAAGTCTGCAGTTAAAGCACATCTTGTTCATTTCATTTCAAATCCATTGTGGTGGTGTATAGAGCCAAAAAGATTAGAATTGTGTCGATGTCCCAATATTTATGGACCTGGCTGTACATAATTTATAAGAACATCATATACAGAGAGTAGAAAAAAGATAGCAGGATATTTTTGTCTGTTTTATTAATTTAAGAATTCATTGTTGGGTCAATGGGTTCAAAGCTATAAAAATAAAATAGGAGTACTAGAGTATGAAAGATATACTAAAGTGACTTAAGTGGTCCTTTAAGGTGGCGCTATAGGCTGCCCAACCTATTATTTTCTCACATTTTGAGGCCACTGCATTATCTGTAAGCCACAAGGATTTGCAGCATCTGAAGTGAGCACTCCCCAAACCAGGAACTGACTCAGGAGAGGATTATGTGCATACAGTATTTATGGGAGCCAAGAACACTGTAAGTGGAGGGTGGGCGTGTTTTTCAGGGAATTACGGGGCATTTGAAATATGCACAAGCCATGCCAGCACAAGCTTGCACTTAATGCAAATGATAAAAAAAAAAACACAAACGAGAAATAAAAACCATAAGTGCTTCGCTAAAAAAGACTTTCAGCTACAGTAAGCAGGTTTTCTTTAGACAGATCTTTTGAAATATTTCTATTACAGATCACTAAAGTCACCAAAGGATACCTGCGGAAGGAATGGTATCCACAGCCATTCCGGAATCTCTCTTCCGTTTCTTGGGTAATCTGGTTTTGCAAAGCTCTTCAAAGTGAGTCTGCATTGATACATCCATCTGGAGGAAGTTGCATTGCAGGAGCCCACTCAGTGTAGTAGCAGCCATTTCTCGCACCTGGTAAGAAAATGAAATAAAAACCAAGAATCAAATCAGCCAAGACAAACACCCATTAAAGGTTTCCCAAGGAAATAACCACTGGGCAAACGATAAAACGTACACGAGAATTGGAGAATCAATGGGATTTCGTTTTTTTAAAACTAAACTCTATAAGTCACAGGTATAGATGCAAATGCAATGTTGATTCATTAGTTTTAGACCGATTGGCAGTCACTATGTGTCCGCAGTATCCCAATCTGACAATCAGAATACAGTTTTTAAAGTCAGGGAATGTCACTGCACAACTACTTAATGTTTTAAAGGGGCCTTAAATTTAGAGACTGCTCATGGACAAACCGCACTGGTAAACAGAAGAATTAGCAGGATTCCAAAGACCAGACGGTGTCAGGCACTTTACAGGAGAGTGTATAAATGCTACCAACATAACACAATTAAAATTTAAGTAAATCAGCAAGTCACTGCTGTGCCAGAATCAGGACAGGGGTTTATATTCGATGTAAATACAATGTACCAATAACTAAAAGCAATAATAATATTTAGCCAGAAAGGCTACAATTAGCTGATCATAGTTTATGTACGTCTATCATTTAAATCTGTAAGGATTAAAGGCAGAATTAACCATGCAAGGATGTGGATCGAACATGTGCTATCAAGAAATAATGCAGTTGGTGCACTAGCCAAACCATTTCTAAAGCCCACCTTTCAATCACGCTGTGTAAGCAGTCATTAAGACTTGAATCCGATAGGCACCTTCTATCCATCAGTACAAATGACTGTGCTGTAATTCACAAAGTACTCTGACTCCTTGTAGTCATGAACTAGTTAACAAATAAACAACTGTGGCCCCGTCTTGACGGAGACAAAAGGCAAAATAGTCAGAATGCCAAAACACTGGACAATAAATTTAATTCTACAAACAGATTTAAAGTCTGCATTAATTATATATTATTCATTAAGCACATGTTGCATTTCCTACTATTAAACAGGAGAAAATATGGCCAAATATATGCATAGCATCCACCTCGCTTCAAGAAGAGGGGTAAGTATATCGCGCAATAACGATCATTAATGACGGGCCACATTTGCTAATAGGTACATATTGTTACATGTTAAAATGTAAACAAAGAGATACATCTGTTTGGTGAATAAAGCAGGGTCCACCGCATTGCATGTAATGTGGCGTATTACATTAAATTAGATCTTTGAACAGAATGTTCTAGAGCGGCACAAAGCAATAAGTGTGTTAATTAAACAGAGCAACCAGACAATAAGCTCATTTGCACGTCCGTAGCACATTATTAAAATATGATCAAATTGATTAAGAATTGTCAAAAGTATGAAGTGAAATAGCATGGCAGAAATTCTACTGGCAATTTGTGGGGCACTCTGGGAGCCGGCTAATAAACTAAGCATGAAGAAATAATGTAAACGCCAGAACGGGAGGCGGCACGGCAGTAAAATGAGCACACTCACTGGGGAGCCTGACATTAAGAACTGTTCCCTGCACTGAAATACATCTTCCATACAGTCACAGCGCTCGCTGGCACATGGTAGACCTGCTATTTCAGTGTTTGTTTCTTTATGAAACAGATAAATGGTCTGCTTTGTGAACATTCTGATTAATAAAGTTCAGTCAGGTTTGTAAAAAAGAATCTTCTTTACCTCCAGTCATCCATTGGGGTTTATTCACTAAATACCAGACTGCAGAAAATTCAAAACAGTCTCACATTTGAGGTTGTAACAGCCATGCTGCGACTACAGCGGATTTGCAGAATTTGCATGAACTTTGCAGTTGATTTTTCAATTACAATTCTGTGTTTAGGCAATAAAATTCCCTGGGTTCCCATTATACATTCCAAGGGGCGACTCACAAAGCATCATGGGAGTCTATATTTCCTCTCAAACACTGGAGTTTTATGGAGGGTTCCTTGAATCCTCCTCTCCCTCAAACAATTTATATACCCCAAAAAAGATGTGTGTTATCAGTTTTACGTGGTTTCTTTGGAGTTATTTGGAATATTGCCTTGCCACAGCTGCAGCTACTGAAAGCCCTGTCCTTCCCCAACCCAGACTGACTGACTGTCCAATACAGACTTCCCAATGAGAAGTCTTTGCACGGCAGGTTTTCATGACAATTGCTGCCACTTCACAGAGCCTATCCTGGGCGCTCTGTAGATAGAGGCACATTGGAAAGGTGTGCGGAAATAGGCTCCATCCCTCACATTTGGTGCCAACCCCTCTCATTGGGCTCCACCCCTTCATGGTCAGCCGAGCCGGAAGGCAAATGCTACAAGCTAACAAGCTGTTTGAGAATAAAAGCCAATTTCGGTTTCAAACCGCCTTACCAGTACTAAGGCACAAATTACCCATTTGGGCACAAAGATGGCACTGATTAGCTATTTTGAGACAGTAATGGCACCCGTTAACTGTGTGGGGACAGTGATGGCACTGGGAAGCAGTGTGGTGACAAAGATGGTTCTGACCAGCTGCAAAGGGGGCCGAGATGGTCTTGACCAGTTGTATGGGGACAAACATGTTACTGGGAAGCTGGTTACAAAGATGGTGCTGACCAGCTATTTGGGAACAAAGCTGGCACTGTAGGAACTTGGGAGGCCCAAAGTGGTTAAGGGATTTCCATAAAAACTGGGTGTGTCTAAAAGTGTTTGTGAAGCGGAAGGCGTTCACAATATTGCCACACCCACCTGGGGCACCAAAAATGTTTGTTCAGAAGGTATCAGTGACCCTCCACTGAGCTAAACATCCAGGAAATAACATAACTGTTTGATTAACAGCCAAGGGTGTAAGTAGGTTAAATTTATAATAATGCCAAATTTCTATTGCAATTTATGAAAACGAGAGGACATACTCTTCACATATAAAGCACTTTAGCAAAGTGCTTTATGTGTATGTGGAATGTCCCTTAAGAGTTAATATGCAAGCATATTGTTTTAAAAATAGCTAGCCACTCAGGTTACTAGCATTCCCCCAATGATGGTAGATTGTACACTTAGTGAATTTATACTTTTTTTTGCGGGGGCATACCAAAAAGAGGATTAGGGGTGAGGCACACGTGCATATAAAAGGAAATATATTAATTGTAAAATATGCTAGAAAACCCCCTTACGCCAAACGTTTGCATTGATGAGAAAGCTCTGTTTTTACAATGCTATGAAGAAGTTTCACATATAATCAGATCACCGTACTGTCTGATTTTCAGCCAGGTGACCCCAAGTTAAAATGCTCATGTCTGCCGTCTATTAATGGTCATGATGCGTTATTAAATGATCTTCTGTTTCAGCCTGATGTTACAGAGCAGCATTTGCCATTTGAAAAAAAAGGAGGTGTTTGTATAATGCAGTGTGTATTAGGCTTGGTAAATTCAGGTTTAGAAAATAAATATGAAAACAGAGCACGTTATTGTTCACATGCATACAGGGCTGAAAAAGGAGTACTGGGAGATCTGTGGGCACCAAATATGCGCACTTCCTTCTCCAGAACTTCATCATAAGATCATTAGCAACTTCAGAGGCCATGACTGGGATAGACACCAACACAGACTACGCAAATTCAGCGAAAAACCGTGTTCAGCACCCATCACACTTCGCTACATCACAAGTGTAAAGCATTGCATATTGAACTTTAGCCACCTAGACATGTAGCCCCCAAAATAACATCACACGCGCGTAGACACACTTGGCTTTTACACAAACAGAACCCTCTCCACATAACACCCATGCCAACTTAAATACACCAAGCAATATACGGCATATGATATGGAATGATTTGTCAAAACGAAAATGGAGTACAGCATTTGATAGTTATCAAATGATGAATGAATGCTACAGGACACAAAGGGTGAAATATAGCAAATCAGTACCTTTGCACTAATCGTCATGCTAATCCATGCATGCGCACAGATTGCCTTTGGTAAACACCCACATGGCAATTTAAATACAACACTACAACCTTCACCTCTCCCCCCTCCCAAAAAATTTAAATAAAAAAACTTCATAAATATTTCCACTAAGAGGAACTGGTTTATAAGCATTTGTGGCGTACTTGGGTATTTTTTCTTATTACAGTCTGTAGCACCACGTTATAGGCACACAGATTTGCAAGCATGATTTATTGATTCTCCCCATTTTACAATCCCAAGCATCCACATTCAAACTAAGCATTGTGGGATAAGCCCATACATGCTTATATGCTTAAAACAATGGGATCTATAACCTCCGTACCAGCAGCACTGGCTGACCAGAAAAATGCTCTCTGGCTCTACAATAAATTATAAATTGTATTTTGGCTGAATTTTTGCAAATCAAGATTTAATGGATAAGCATTTGTTTCTGTAGAAAGAAGCCAATTTATGCACCTTTCACACAAACATCTTACCTCTAACTGTTCGTCAGCCATGAGTTGCAGAACAAGCCATCTGACTCCCTGCACAGCTTCTTGATTGTGAAGGAAAATGAAGAGATTATAAAATACCATGTTCTGGACATAGTTCAGAATGGTATATCGAGCATGCCATGAACTGCTTCTCGATGTCTGGGGGGGAAAAAATAAAAACAATAATACATCCATAGAACATTTAAATGCAATATTGGGAACAAAAGGAAATAAGATTTAATTAGGGACAAATAACAAAGTTACTGAAATTGTGTTGAAGCATAGCTAAAAACAAGACTTACTTGTCTGAGTACATCAAGAACCAAAGGCACCTGCTCTGCGTAGAGCAACCCTTGTGACATTAGGGACAAGCACAGCTTTGCATCTCTTTTCAACTCATCGTAATTGTTGTCGTTTTCAACAGGAGCGATCTAAATGAAAAATAGTCCGAAGTTAAATAAATATCTTATTAAAAGAAATAAGTTTAAGGCCATTTCACATTCGAGAACAAAAATAAAAAAAATAAAAAACCACATAAGACAACAGAAAAAACTAAAAACCTTATCTGCAAAACAAAAAAACTTTAAGCATGCACAATTATTATTTTTTTTTTTTACAAATTAAAAAACAAAAACAAACAAACACATTTATGAGAAATCCTATTTGAATCTTACATTTCTTTTGCCATGGTAACGCTGTGATAAATAAATGCCTGAATAATTTAAGACAACTGAAAACCAAAGAGTAACTAAACTTTGCAGAGTATCCACAACATTTAATACAGAAGGTTCGTGAGATGAAGCCTATAATAATAATAATAATAATAATAATAATAATAATAATAATAATAATATTTTTTTAGATGTTTAAAGTTTTTATTGTGAGAAATGGAAAACATTTAAAAACTGAATTTAATGCAATGCCGAAACATCAGTGCTTCATTTTACATAGAAAATGACAAGTGCAAAGCGTAGAATCATTCAGAGCTATTAAAACATAACAATGCATGGCGTAGATCATCAACATCGTCGTATTGTCAAGAGTAAATTGTAAGAATGTTCTAGGGACAAACTGGCAAGATTATTCTATATTAAACTACTGCTTAAATAGGACTGGCAGATGGATAATACAACAGCAAACCAAAAAAATAAATAAAATATACACACAAAATTACATAAAAACACATCTCAGTGTACACATTCCAAAGAAATAGCCAAGTTTGAAGCAGTTCAGTGGCAAGATATACTATGATATGTGGATCCATATTATTGCTTTATTGAAAAAGATGTTCCCTTCGCTACGAAGATAGCTATTGCAGGTTACTGTAATAATCCAGAGGAGAACTGACAGGTGTGTGCGTATCAAGAAATCTGAAAATTCTGTTAATCCCTGTGATGTCAGCCCTTTTACACAATACAGAATTTTCTTAGGATGACTCTGAAAGAGTAATGAGTCCATATTATAATTAAAAACTAGAGAAGGTGCATCTATTGTTCTATTATTGGGAGTTTAATACATTTAATTTGTGGTCACAGAAAACATGGAATTAAAGAATTACATCGATCTTTGCAGGGCCCTTGGATTTACAGCTAAAACCATGTAGATGCACATTATGTATTATGTAGGAAGAGACTATAGGAAGAGAAGTGGGGTAATCACCATGGAAACTAAAGAAAAATAAGTACTATTTATATAGCGTATTATTCCGCAGCAGTTTTACAATTTTAGAATGGGGATATTTAACAATAAGTATATATATCAGACACAAGAGGTGAAGAAGGCCCTGCTCAAAACAATTCTACAAACTATGGGGAATGGGTAAAGAAACAAGAGAAAGACCATCTGATCTGTCTGATCATTAATTTGCCATCTCATTTTGTGCCACATCCTTGCCTCTACCCGTCTCAGTTGGTGTTCCCCAGAGCTCTATTCTTCGTCCTTTTTTATTCACCACTTAGTGAGTTGCAATAGTCAGGAAATGAGGAGTACATTAACAAGTGCCTTCGCAGTGTCCATAAGTTAGAAAAGGGCAAATGTGGACAATATTTTTAAGATGCAAGTTGCAGGATTTGAAGACAGACTGGATGTAAAGAGAAACGATAAAACGTCTTCAAATCCTGCAACTTGTACCTTAAACATGGGGCCCATATTTGTCATTTTCCAACTTATGACACAGTTAAGGAACTTGTTCATTTACTCATTTCCTGACTAATGCAACTCACTAAGTGGAGAAAAAAAAAAAAAAAAAAGGACCAAGAACAGAGTCTTTGGGAACACCAGCTGACACAGGTAGTGGCAAGGAGGTGGCACAAGACAAGGAGACACCAAATGAATGTTCAGAAGGATAGGATTGTCCAAGGTTGTGGAGTACTTAAAAAAGAGCGTGGGCACCAGTATCAAAAGCATTAGAGAGGCTGAAGAAAAAGGAGAGATTAAAGACCTTTAGATTTAGCAGGGATTTAGTCCCTTACGGGCGGTTTCAGTAAAATGGATTGAGCAGAAGCCATATTGAATAGAGTTTGTATTGAGAAAGCGAGCTTGAAGGAAAACCACAAACCGCTCAAGAAGATTACAAGTGAGGGGGAGTAATGATATGGGACGGATTGCATTGTAATTGCTACATTTTTAAAATGTTGCCGGCACTTTTGTAGAGTTCCCTGGAGGTCTTTATAGTTGAAACATTGAATTGAGAAAATCCAAAGTCAAAGTAATAACATGTCTCCATATCCAGTTTTATTCAGAGATAAAATTTCCCCACCTTCAGCACACCCGTAGTTTGATGCTAAGCCATTATTCACATATATGAAACTGTATTTAACTACAAGAAAAGAGGTAATATTCATAAAATGACCTTAAAGAGCAACGGTAGGATCTGCATCTGCTCTGGAACCGCCGTACAAAACGATCTGCCAGCACTTGCCATTATCCACTTCAATACTGAAAAGATAAAATAACATGAACACTGTCACGATAACATTGGTATTTCAAAATTATGGTTGAAGATCAACCAAAATGTCTAACTTCATGAATTGTCTGACGTGGTGCAAACATAAAAACAAAAGATCTACTTTTTAATTTAGCTTTAAAGAGTTTATAACTTTATAAAGACCTTCTATAAATCTCAACGATCCATTTCTCTTGGCACAGAAAATTATTGTTATAGAGGCAAGACATACATCAACACTGTTAAAATGTTGCATGTGAGGATGGTTTTGAGCATTATAGCTTTCTGTAGCAGCTGTTGGTTTGATAGGATTTAGGATAGCTGTGCTGTTCTAGTGCATACTTCACACACACACCTTAGAATATTAATTTATATAGCGCCATCAAATTCCGCAGCGCTTTACAATGGGTGGACGAACGGACATGTAGTTGTAACCAGACAAGTTGGACACACAGGAACAGAGGGGTTGAGGGCCCTGCTCAATGAGCTTACATGCTAGAGGGAGTGGGGTAAAATGACACAAAAAGGTAAGGATAGTATTAGACTAATGACAGTTGCAGAAGAGGAATCAGTCAGGAGCTATTAACAGTTTAATTGATACGCTTTTATGAAGAAGTGGGTTTTTAATGATTTTTTGAAGGAGTGGAGACTGGGTGAGCATCTAACGGAGGAGGGAAGCGAGTTCCACAGGAACGGTGCAGCCCTCGAGAAGTCTTGAAGGCGAGCATCACAGGTGGGAGTATATAAGTAGACGCAAGTCTTCAGCAGATCGTAAGGGATTAGACGGGACATACTTGTGTATAAGGGAGGATAGATAGGTGGGAGCAGCATTGTGTAGCGATTTGAAAGCAAGAACCAGAATTTTAAATTGAGCCCTATATTTTACAGGAAGCCAATGTAGGGACTGACAGAAGGGTGAGGCGTGGGAGGTGCGGGCAGACAGGAAGATGAGCCTCGCCGCCGCATTCATTATGGACTGTAATGGCGCAAGTTGGGAGCACGTAAGACCACCGAGAAGCGGATTACAGTAGTCAAGGCGAGAAAGGACAGTGGAATGGACCAGCACCTTAGTTGCATCTGGCGTTAAGTAGGGTCGGATGAGCGCAATGTTTTTGAGATGGAAACAACAGGATTTGGCGATAGACTGAACATAAGGGTTGAAGGAGAGGTCGGAGTAAAAGAACACCTAGGCAGCAAGCCTGCATGGTGGAGCTGATGGTAGCACCGCTGACTTGGAGGGTGACAGACGCAGGAGTAACAACACTTGAGGGAGGAAAGACCAGAATTTCGGTTTTGGTCAAGTTGAGTTTAAGGAAGTGGGCAGCCATCCAGTTAGAAATAGCAGAGAGGCAGTCAGTCAGAGACACTAGTCAAGAGGGACGGGGAGAGATCAGGAGAGGACAGGTAGATTTGTGTGTCATCTGCATAGAAATGATATTGGAAGCCAAAGGAGCTAATGAGTTTACCAAGGGAGGCAGTATAGATGGAGAACAGTAAGGGACACCAACATGCTGGCTAGAGGTGAAATATGCTTTAGAACCAGAAAGTATCAACTTTATTATGCACAGGAAACTGAAGTTTTTCGTAACAAAAATATCAGTTTATTGGGTATCCAATGCAGACTTTGACTTCACTGAATATCTCACTGCATTTTTGTATTGATGCATTTAAAGAAAAAAAAAAAAAAGAATTTGTGCAATATACTCTTTGATCACTACATGTGCCAAGCTAACAATTTGTCTGCAGACATTTAATTTGATGAACACGAAAAAGAACATATAGATTTGAAAGCTAAAGCTCTTCCATACATGGGAAAACCCTAAAGGATGAATTGGAGATTCTTGGAGAAAGCTTTGTGGCGTCCAGTTATATTACACTAGCAATACAACTGGGCAGCTCCTCATAGCAATAAACAGAAAATATTACATCATAGCCAGATGGGTAACTATAAGATGAATGGCAAATCAAGACAATCTCAACAGGACACAGATGCTGACTCAGGAGAAGTGTTGAACAACAAACTGACAACATCCTTATCGAGATGCAAAAAACACACCTCGACCAGTATAAATTACTACAGATGGACTTTGCTGGTTTGTGTGTCAACCTTGGTCATTCATCTGATATACAAGGGGAGTAAGAACTCTCCAAGTTACACACAAGAGGGACATGTTTGTTGCTTTCTCACTTCTGCGGAGGTGAAAAATGTATTTCAGTTTTGTTTTAACTCAAAGGAAACAGATAGGGTCAGGAACACAAACCTTTATTCCCTATAGTGTTAAAAAAATGTATTTCAATAAATGAATAATGTCTCCTTGGCTGACATTAGAAGTGATGATCTGAGCCAATCACAATGCTCTCCCATAGGAAAGCATTGGATTGGCTGAGCTTGTCAAGGAGGCAGACCCAGTACAAGCCAAGCACAGCCCTGGCCAAACAGTATCTCTATGCGGAAACTTCAGCATCTCCATGCAGAGGGTGGAGACACTGAATGTCAGTCACAGTGTGCAGCACTGGCCCGGAAGCACCTCCAGTAGCCATCGGAGGAGTGATCAGTGGAGGTAGCCTTTTCTCTAGGGGGAATACAAACCAAACCGTGTTTACGGCAAAAATCCTGAAGGAATGATTATGCTCACCAGAAAAAATACAATAAGCCGTAGAGTAGCCCTGGTGACTATAGTGTCCATTTCAATATTCTTAGGCTATTTTTTTTTACTTACTTGTCTTCATCAGTTTAATGGCCTGGGTTCTTTCATCCTGTTCCCCTTGTCCATTCTCTTCCATAATATGGTTCTGGATTTCTTCATCAGCCTCCATAAGAGGTTTGAGTTTGTCCATGATCCTGGCAGTGAACTCCGAGATGTGAGGAGACTTTGTTGACATGGTGTTTGGTAAATTGATGTCAATCATAAAAATATATGTAAGGACACTGGAAAGGAATGAAAAGGTTAATCAGACTTCATTTTAATAATACGTAAAGCCATTTTTAGTGTGTTGAAACAAATTACACGCTGTAGTATGAACAAAAGGTAAGAAAGATTTATTCTTTAACAGTCTAAAAGCAGAAAACAAGTGAAACTTATGTGAGGTCTTCATGTGGCCGAACAATTTAAAGGTACTTCCTTCAATGTTGGTCATTTGATCGGACTTATTTTAACATTTGAATTAAGTTTACAAATCACTTCTGATAAAGTTTTACCCATTTCCAATAATTCATACCAACCTGTGAAATTTGGGGTTTATAACCAACTCTCCTACTTTCTCTAAATTTTTCCAAATTCTTATTTTCACTACTTTGTCCATTGGTTTTTCCCAGTTGAGCAAGCATGAAGGAGCTTATAACCGTAACCTCATCGTCTCCACTCCTATGTTAATTGGCAACTTTAATGTGCTTCTCAAGTCGCATTATTAACCTAGACCACCTCACCTCTGAAAACGACCTAACTCTCTCGATATGCAACAGCCATCCACTGATCTCCATCTTCTCATATTTCAGTCCCAATCTGGTAACTTCTCTTTAAAACTCTACTCTTTCTTCTAACCTGGTGAAAGAAGCACTAACCAAAACACACCGCTTTTTGCAGTCACAACCTCAACGTGACATAAAAAAAAATAATATTCTGCCACCTCCAAAAAAATGCTGAGTGTTTGTGGAGATCTTGAAAGGTCTAAATACAGCAGACTTCATGTTATAAATTCAGGCTATATTGCTACTGCCTAGCAATGCAAACGTCCATACTTTTGTCATCACTACCTTATAACTCCAAGAATCTTTTCCCACAAACATATTAATTATTGATAAAATGTGTTACCACAAAGGCATTATTCAGATGTCTCTTGTTTTCAAGCATGTACTTCAATCTGTACATCCATGAATCCTACACAAAACCTTGTTATTTGTGGATGGACTAGCAACCCAAAACCGTATTATAAAAAAATTTAAGCGGTTAGAACGGAATAAAGTGGTGTGATCCATTCAAATGCTTTTCAATCTGCCCATATTAAAGAAATACATTGTTTTTACCTTCCAATTCGTTCTCGTACGTTCTTGTACACTTGGGTGAGTTTAGGTTCCAAGTATTTGAGCAATCTGTGTAGCAACTGTGGGACCCTCCATTCCTGCTGTGCAAGTCCTCCCTGAAGCACGTACAACCGACTGTAGTGAGATAAAAAAAAGGCAGTTTTACCACTAAAACTCACGGTTCCAAATGGTTTTGATTACAGGTGGTCTTCATTTTATGACGGCTCGCACTGACGACCAGCTCTCTAGCGTGGGGGTAAGTGTGAGCAGTCGTGGGGATTAGAGGGATTCCCTGCTCTGGTGCATTTGTCTATGTTTGGGGAAATTTCCCCGAACATAGACAAGCGCACCAGAGCAGGGTATCCCTCAACTCCTCACTTACCAACCAATTCGTTCTACGACCAGGTCAGTTAGTGAGGAGTACCTGTATACAGGTTTTAGTTTTTCTTTTTCACAAAACACTTATTGCAGCCCCAGATACACATGGAAACTATTCCAATCTCAGAAGAGATCTGAAATTGCATTTGTACCATTTCAGCAAAATGGGGAGAGAAAGTATAACATTTTCTTGAGTGATAAACATATGGGCATAAAGAGTCTGAAAACTTCATAAGAAATGGAGTTTGAAGAATATACAAGTCAGGTGCAACCACCATCATGGCCATCTCACACCAGACTAGAAAAAAAAAACCAAAAAAAAAAAAACCAAACACAATTTAGCAAATTAATAACTACATAAAAGTAAAAAAAATTAAAGCGGTCCCTTTTAGACAGGCACCAGTATGCGGGTGTCTACCGGCAAATTTGACCCCGGGTACAGTCACTATTCAGGACACTATAATGAACGAGTTTAAAAAAAATACATAAATAATAAAAAAAAAAAATGATACAGTAAGTATGATTTGGCTGCACCGAATCACCATTAACTCTGTCAGAGATACCAGACTGACACAGACCATCATGTTCTTTTTGATAAAAATGAACACTTTATTACATGACTGAATGTGCTTACCAAGCATCAACAAATGAACCTCCTTCCCCACTGACTGGGGACTCCAGAAGCAGCTCAAAGAGCCAGTGCAGCTTGCGGGGATCTCTGCTTTCCTAAATTCAAATTAAATAGCCGGACATTAACATAGGCTTCCACGTCCAAGGTCTTTTTACATTGATGGAAACATTTAGCCAATTCAAATACAGAACATGGAATTCTATATTTAAAGCAACATTTAATCAAAACATTTCAATTAAATTACATATGCGACCAAGCTTCTCCAAATCTGCACTAATTCACCATCTGTGTTATTTTGGCAATGTGATCTTGCTATGGGAAAGCAATGTGCTGTATCTTTGAGCATGACTGTCAGCTAGTTACAATGCAAAGAGTGGAATAGGTCCACAGCAAACAGGGAGCAGAGGTCGCCCACAGTAAAATATGCGAGGAGTAACTCAGCGTTTATTAAAAACAAAATGAAAATGAATGTTATATATCTGAACTGCTTGCACTCATTGCATTTCCATTGTGTGGGTTAAGATGTGATGAGATCATTCAGTTCATTACATTTTGGATTGCCATTAGAATCCATCTCTCTGTGTTAGAGCTCCCTCACGTGGGGATAATCAGTTCTCACTACACCCATAATATTCTATTAAAGGGATCCTATAGTTTCAATTGTTCAAAAGACTTTGCTGCCCCAGATGCCTTGCTAATGCCTGCTCTGCCATCTAACTTAAATTCCATAGAAGCGCTTGCACACAGAATTGGCACTGGAAGAGTTAATTTGCATTCTTTGTCTGCTGTTGCAATTGTACGTTGACTATTTAGCATTTTTATTTTTTGAGAGCCTTAAACACAAAGAGCTGTTTACAAGGTTTTCAAAGAAAGTGGATAGATGTGCCTATTGATAGCTTTGGTGTTCTTTAGACACCCTTAATTAGGTTCCTTCAGTGTGAACGACTGACGGGTAATGCTTACACAGGCTGTTGCAACGCATGTCCCCCAGTCACTGTAAGATTCCACTGTGATATTTGCCAACGCCGTCCTCAAAAGCGGACACACCAAACCCCACATGTTTTCCACCTGTTCAAAACAACAATTAGTCTTTATTGAATATGAATATAAGCAACAGTAAAACAAAAGACAGTAATGAAATAGTGTTCCCACCTATCCCTTGGGTATAGTCACCCTGTAAGGTGCAACACTGACAGGGTTAACTCACAAAAACCTGCACTTTAGTGAATTAAACATAAACTGACAATTTGTGGCTAAAATAGCCAAACCATTACTAAAGTAGAGTTAGAGGTTTTTCCAGATCTGCCATTTTCTCCTATAATATTGCAATTTCGCTTTAAATCTCTAATATCCAGATTTTAGTAAACAACCCTGAACAGGTTTTCATTCCCGAAGTCAAACTCCCTAATTGGTTTCACTGCGGATACTAAACGTGACATTTTCTGTTTCATTGACGAAGCACTGGTAATAATTCCACAAAAGTCGATAAATCATAAAAACCGTAACAAATTAAGTCTCAAAACAAGTTTTTTTTATATGGAATTGACAAGTTTACAAAAAAAATAAAAAAAAAATAAAAATGATTTTTTGCAACGCTTCACTTGCTCTTCAGCAGATATGGAAATTAGGGAAGCTGCATTCCAAAACAAAAATAAGAACGAAATACAAACAAGCTATTATTGTGCAATAGATTTTTAAATGAGTTTTTATTTGAATTTGAAATTTTCATTATATCCCATTCTGTGTCAACACTGCCTTGTATCTACCATTATTCCAGGTACGACCTAGAACAAGTCTTTCCCACACAAAACATCAGAGTTTAGTGGACGTCAACGTGTTTTAGAATTCCTTTCTGATGCTGAAAATGTTAAGTGATTAACCCCTTAAGGACACATGACATGTGTGACATGTCATGATTCCATTTTATTCCAGAAGTTTGGTCCTTAAGGGGTTAAACAACCAGAGTCGCCTCTCCCCCCACCACCAAAAAACAAAACAAAACACAAAAGTTTCACAAACCCACAAATGTTACAAAAAGACAGGTGACATTTCCTGTTTAAATGGCCAGTAACATATCAATGTATGGAGAACACAGACACTGGATTAAATCAGAAGTCATGTTACAAAATGGAATGTGGAGAGGAAGAGCACCTTTTCAAATGTCCAATGTTTAGAGCCTCGAATTATGCCGGCAATGATTTCAGCCACACATCTCTGGGTACTCTCATGGGAATCTGCAACCAATCTCTCCAAATGAGGTTTCAGTACTGGCAAGAAAGCATCATCAAAGTTCCTGAAGATACCCTAAAAACATATCCATATAAGTTACTTCCTTCTGTCCTAAAGTCAATATTGACACACAATACAGGTGGGGACTGTGCAGTACCGCTGTGGTGGGCCAAGTTTGTTCCCATTTGCTTTACAATAGACACTTCACAGAAATATAATATGATGTTTATAATTGTTTTACTCTAAAAACAGATGTGACAAGTATAGTACTATGTAGATTTTATTTGATCGGTCAAGAATTTGAAGGTTATCGAACAATATGCAATGCCTTCTATAGCAGATTAATGGCAAGCACTAATAGGATGGGGTCATTGGTTCCCAAATGATCTATGATTTCAGCATAGCTTGAGTGAATTATGTACGACAGAATTCCATAGATAGGTTTTCCGAAGCGGATTGTTCTAAACAGCCTTTCAAACCTTCTACCTTAACTAGCTTACATAATTAAAAAGTAAAAAACAAAACAAAAACCACAAACCTTAAAAAGGCAAAATTTGCGAGGATTAAACTTGTCTTTGCCCTTTCGGTCTTCTAATGACAGAAACTTTATCAGCTGGTCAACAAACTTCTCATCAGTAAAATGATCATATATTATTTGTTCTTCCTGAAAAAACAAAAACAAAAAACAAACCCATAGGAAATAAAGAAACTATGCGATCATATTTAGTATAATAAAGTGTGCACCCAAATCTACACTATCCAGGCACTCAAAAGTCCTACCCAAGACATAGTGGCTTTCAGGGCCGGATTGGGAAAAAAATTCGGCCCAGGCATTTTTTTTTATCACAGCGGCCCACTAAGAAGGTGGCGGGGCAGAAAGGGTGTGTTTTGTCATCACTCATGACAAACACACCCCCTCTCAAAGTGAGCATGTTGGTTCAATGCTCTTCCAGGGCAGACCATGCTTAGAGCTCTGCTGAAGAACTCTAGCATGAGAAAAAAGCCCTGTATTTGTTCTGCACAGTACAAGCAAATTTAATAACATGCTTGCACTGTGTTTCCTTGCAACTTGTCTCTATAAATGGATACCAAGAGACAAAAGAGTATTGTGCATGTGTTTGGAGCCTGCTTGTGGTATTGCGTGTGTGAAGAGTGAGCTGGTCATGGTGTGGTATTGTGTAATAAGGTCGGTTTTAGTCGTGCTGTGTTTGTGGTGTAATGTAATGCATATGTGGCTAGGGGCTGTAGAGAATGTGTGTATAGAGGATGTAGCAAGTGTGTGCATACAGGCAAAAATATATATATATATTGTATGTGTAGATGATCCAGAGTTGGGTAAAGGATCTAGTGTGTGTCTGGAATGTAATGTGTTTAGGGGTGCAGTGTGTGTGTGAGGGGTATAGATATATATATATATATATATATATATATATATATATATAGATATAGAGATATAGAGATATATAGATATATATATATATAGATATATATAGATATATATAGATATATATATATATATATATATATATACACACACACACACACACACACACACACACATACATACACATACATATATATGTTTGGAAGTATTGTGTATGTGTGTGATGCAGTGTATCGGGGGTTGTGTGTGTGTGTATGTGTGTGTGTGATGCAGTGTATCGGGGGTTGTGTGTGTGTGTATGTGTGTGTGTGATGCAGTGTATTGGGGGTGTGTGTGTGTATGTGTGTGTGTGATGCAGTGTATTGGGGGTTGTGTGTGTGTGTGTATGTGTGTGTGTGATGCAGTGTATCGGGGGTTGTGAGGGTGCTGTATGTGATTGATTTGTGTGAGGGTGCTGTATGTGATTGATTTGTGTGAGGGTGCTGTATGTGATTGATTTGTGTGAGGGTGCTGTATGTGATTGATTTGTGTGAGGGTGCTGTATGTGATTGTGGTGAGAGTGGGTTGTGTGGTGAGAGTGGGTTGTGTGGTGAGAGTGGGTTGTGTGGTGAGAGTGCCGAGTGGTGAGAGTGCCGAGTGGTGAGAGTGCCGAGTGGTGAGAGTGCCGAGTGGTGAGAGTGCCGAGTGGTGAGAGTGCCGAGTGGTGAGAGTGCAGAGTGTGAGAGTGCCGGTGGTGAGAGTGCCGAGTGGTGAGTGCCAGTGGTGAGATGCAGTGGTGAGAGTGCAGTGGTGAGAGTGGGGTGAGAGAGTGGGTGAGAGTGCCGAGTGGTGAGAAAGAGTGCAGAGTGCAGTGGTGAGAGTGTGTGGTGTTAAAATGAATAGTTAAATATACAAATAAAAAAAACTAAGGGGGGTAAAAAAACAAGAAAAAAAACTAAGGGGGGTAAATAAACAAAAAAAAAAAAAAATCAAGGAGGCATTAAACCGGCACTCGTTCATCATCCCTGGTGGTCCAGTGGTGAGTGAACGCTAGCCTAAGCGCTACAAGTTCACTCTCGCGAGATCGGGGCGTTGCCATGGCAATGCTCCCGATCTCGCGAGAGGAGCCCGGTGGAGCTGCAAGATAGAGCTCCGCTGGGTCCTCTCCCTCCCCAGCCGCAGGTCTATTTAAATGGGCCGGTGAGGGAGATCTTTGCCTGGTGGCTTTATTTCTCAAATGCACAAGGCTTCTGTAAAATACTGTTCATTATATTGCCAGATATTAAGGCAATGGATGCCTTATTATGCATGAGATATAAAGCTGGTTAACATCACTGTTCTGGGTGCTACTTGACTTTTAACCCCTTAAGGACACATGACATGTCATGATTCCCATTTATTCCAGAAGCTTGGTCCTTAAGGGGTTAAAATGTACCAATACCTAATAATTTCTTAATCTGCTGATAATACATCAATATCCTTTAACGCACAGAGCTGAACAATGTTTCACTGTCACTTTAAACATAAGGATGCAGCCAAACACTGAATTACATGGTTATGAGTTTCTTACATAAAAATATCAAATATCCTATAGTACATTCATTGCCTTCCAAACACTTTATTCTGATACATCATAGCCCATTTATCATCTTACCTCTGACATCTCTTCTCTTGTTCTCCCAAGTTTTGGTTGCTGATCAGCAGAGGCATACACCAGCATGTTTCTAGGGGAAGTAACAGACACACAATTCATTACAAAGCAAAGAAACAATATACACGACAGACGACTCTCTTTATAATAATCATACAGTGTTAATACTTCACATTTGGAAACGATGCGTCCCTTCTAGAAACCAAACCACGCACTCAATGCCTGGAACCTGGTCAGCCAATAGTGTTGTACTGGGAGACCATATAGGACCTCACTACAGTTCCTCACCAAGTCTTTTAAAAAACCACAATGATAATTAGGACTGTAGAACCAATGAGTTAAAGGTGTGATCACTGCATTGGCCAAGAAATGTTTGTCATTCTCAAAGGAAAAGCTATGCATTGTAACATTGCAAACCCGGTGTGGATAAACATGAATACATGCATAGGAAGGACAATGCGTTAAAATGATGACATGAGGGCACTCACTGAGGCCACGATGAATATCCCCAATGTGTCTTTTCCACAAAGCAGCAAGATTCCCAGGTCACTTTAGTCTTTGGTAGATCTGCACTGTCATAAAGTAACCACTGGTTGTCGGGTCTGTCACCTGCCATGATGCGCTCTGGTTTGCTACATCCACCTTTTGTAAATGAAACAAAAATAAATAAATACATTTACAAATATGCTTTTCTCATCTTTTACAAGCATGTATCCTCCATTACTTTAACATGCCTCTAAAGACAAACATCTAACCTTCGTCTCTGTAAAGATCCTAATCCACTTCTTTAGGTTGAAAATGTATGCTTCTACAAGAATGCTCTACAGTAGGCCTCAAACCGTTAATGCTAGGGCCGGATTAACATAGGGGCTGATGGAGCTGCAGCTCTAAGATTTGCCATCTGGCTGGTATTTTACCGGCACAGACAGCTGCCTGGCCGGTGCCAGTATTGCAGTAATACCGGCAATAGAAATGCTGGTATTTTTCTCAGTATAAATAGAGATTACTTTGCAATACCGGCGCCAGCCAGTAGGGGGTCGATGTATGTGGAGAGGCGCAGGGATAGGAAGTTACAGCAAATCCCTGCCTCTCTCTACTCACTGGTCCATGTGGGAGAAGCTACAGAGCACAGTGAGTCCAGGCTGAAGATAAATTCTAGTACCTTCAAATCAGTCTATATATAGATAAATAACTTCACTATTCACTATTTAATGTATATATACAAAAATTGGCTCTAAAGTCCTGATGGTTTACTACAAATTTCAACTAGTATATATTGGCCATGTTGGCTCTATGTATCTCTGCAGAGTTAGTAAATCGACACGACAGGAAGAGGTAAGCAAAATAGATTAAAAATAAAGTGAGGAGGCAGTAAAAAGGGTTCATAAATAAGTAACCCTAACTACAATCAAAGCATTATGTGGAGTGTGAAGAAAATCCCCCCCCCCCCTCCCAAAAAGCCCAACGCGCGTTTCGGCGATATGTCCGCCTTTCTCAAGGGCATAATAGTGTGCAAACATCCTCCATTCATCCCCTCCCCTATATACACTGATATTGGCGCCAGAAAACCCGCCCGCTGTAAATGGGCTGGGTTTCTGTTTCATTACGCCAAACGGATTTGCCGGTGGGAGGTCCCACACTCGTGTGTAATCAGGGCCATTACGCATGCGTCAAACGTCGCCATTCAGCCGAAGAACGCGCATGTGCACAGTCCATACCGGCACGTCCGGAGTCCCCAGTGCTGGCAACAAGAATGCGCATGCAGCCTGTACGTTGATAAAATCTTGAGACCCTTGGTGGAGACTTTGCCATAATATATAAGAGATACTAAGCAAGCTTTGTATCTACTTTCTAATCTTAAACTATCTCCGAGTGCAAATCTTTGTAGTTTAGATGTTGAATCACTCTATTCATCTATCCCTCACGATAGAGGTTTAGAACATGTAAGATTCTTCCTAAACCAAAGGACATGCAGGGACGACTTTCATGCAGACTTTGTGGTACGCCTTTTAGAATTTATAGTTACATAGTTACATAGCTGAAAAGAGACTTGCATCCATCAAGTTCAGCCTACCTCACATTTGTTTTTTGCTGTTGATCCAAAAGAAGGTAAAAAAAAAACAGTTTGAAGCACAATTTTGCAACAAGCTAGGAAAAAAATTCCTTCTTGACCCCAGAATGGCAGTCAGATTTATCCTTGGATCAAGCAGTTATTACCCTACATTGAAAGATTATATCCTTGAATATTCTGTTCTTGCAAGTATGCATATAGTAGCCGTTTGAACATCTGTATGGACTCTGATAAAACCACTTCTTCAGGCAGAGAATTCCCCATCCTGATTGTTCTTACAGTAAAAAAACCTTTCCTTTGCCTTAGACGAAATCTTCTTTCTTCCAGTCTAAACGCATGGCCTCGTGTCCTATGTAAAGTCCGGTTTGTGAATAGATTTCCACACAATGGTTTGTATTGGCCCCGAATATATTTGTATAATGTTATCATATTCCCTCTCAAGCGACGTTTTTCTAAACCAAATAGGTTTAAATTTGTTAACCTTTCTTCAAAGCCGATATGTTCCATTCCTTCTATTAGTTTTGTAGCCCGCCTCTGCACTTTTTCTAGTGCCATAATATCCTTCTTTAGAACAGGTGCCCAAAATTGCACAGCATATTCAATATGTGGTCTTACCGGTGATTTATAAAGAGGCAAAATGATATTCTCATCCCGAGAATGAATGCCCTTTTTCATGCATGACAATACCTTACTGGCCTTGGCCACTGCTGATTGACATTGCACATTGTTGCATAGTTTGTTGTCGATAACAATTCCCAAGTCCTTTATCCTGTCACATAACTATTTTCTGTTTAACACTAAGTTCTATCACCAGGTGAGGGGTACTGCGATGGGGACGGCTTGTGCCCCCTCGTATGCAAACCTCCACCGGGGGTGGTGGGAAAAAGACATCTTCTCCTCAGAGACTTTGAAGGACTACCTTCATGGTGGGAACGCTATATTGATGATATTTTATTGATATGGCAAGGGTCCCCACACGAATTTACAGATCTAGTGGAATGTCTAAATCAGAATACCGAGAACCTCAGATTCACATCTGAATTTGGAGGACGTTCAATTAATTTTTTAGACATCACGATTTCCATCAATGAGGATGGGATATTTTACTCCACTCTATACAGAAAACACACTGCTACAGATTCCTTGCTCCATTGGAGAAGTTATCATCCAAGGCCCCTTAAGGCGGGGATCCCGGTTGGTCAATATCTTCGCCTCCGGAGAAATTGTAGGCGATGAGGCTGATTTTAAAATAAAGGCAATTCAACTTCATTCTTATTTTAAGGAGAAAGGCTACCCAAACCGTTGCCTTAAGAAAGCCGATAAGAGAGCCCTTGAAACGAATAGAAAAGAACTCCTTTGTGACCACCCTGCGAAAAAAACCTCTAAAAATACGGGCGATATTCGGATGATTGCCACATACGATACAGGATGGTCTGAAGTAAGAAAGTGTCTTAATAGATTTTGGCCGATTCTTTTGAACGATACGCATCTGAATGAAATTTTAGGCCCATGTATTAATATCACGGCTAGAAGAGGTCGCAATATTCGCGACCTATTAGTACCAAGTCATCTATCTATTAAACCACAGCCAAGAGACACATGGTTGGGCAATCCTCCATGTGGTTCTTATGGCTGTGGTAGATGCGTAGCTTGCAAGTATATCTCTAAAGAATCTAAAATAGTGAATGACAGCACTGGCCAAGTCTCTATTAGAATCAAAAACTTCTTTAATTGCAATACAAAGGGTTTGGTTTATCTATTGTCCTGTTCTTGTGGACAAAAGTATGTAGGGAAGACTTTTAGAGCCTTTGAGGAAAGGATTATGGAGCATGTAAGGTCCCCTAGGAACCGCCTTGAAACACCCATTTCAAGACACCTTAAAGGACCACTATAGTGCCAGGAAAACATACTCGTTTTCCTGGCACTATAGTGCCCTGAGGGTGCCCTCACCCTCAGGGACCCCCTCCCGCCCGGCTCTGGAAAGGGGAAAAGGGGTTAAACTTACCTTTTTCCAGCGCTGGGGGACTCTCCTCCTCGATCCTCCTCCTGGGCTGAATGCTTGCGTGCGGCAAGAGCTGGCGGCGCATTCAGCGTCTATAGGAAAGCATTCATAATGCTTTCCTATGGGCCGCTAGTGCTCTCACTGTGAAAATCACAGTGAGAAGCACGCATAGCGACTCTAGTGGCTGTCAATGAGACAGCCACTAGAGGAAATAGGGGAAGGCTTAACCCATTCATAAACATAGCAGTTTCTCTGAAACTGCTATGTTTATGAAAAAATGGGTTAACCCTAGCTGGACCTGGCACCCAGACCACTTCATTAAGCTGAAGTGGTCTGGGTGCCTAGAGTGGTCCTTTAAAGAATACCACCAGGGTGATTCCAGTAATTTGAAATTTTGTGGTCTTGAATGGGTTAAGAGACATCCGAGGCGTGGAAATTATGATCGGCTACTAAGACAGAGAGAGTCTAGATGGATCTTTAGACAAGACATTACAACCTCTAGGTTTGAATGAGGGGTTTTCTTTTGCTCCATTCATCTGAGTTAAATACATATATATTTGAGGCATATACATATATGTGTGTGTGTATACATATATATATATATATATATATATATACATATACACACACACACACGTATATGGATTATGTTCGGACTATGCCTCCCAATTTAAGTGAATTTTTGACTTATATGAAACTGTTTTATTATTATCAGTCAATTTTGTCTATTATTGGATATATTTTCTAATGTCCACGAATATGTCTGACCAGAAAGACCCTTTGGTACCTTTTGGGTTTACTTTTTTTGAGTCTTTGATATTAAGTTACTTTCATAGATACTCTATAATCCAATTTGACCTGCCTTTTTTCTATTTTTACTTGTACTATTGCTACTATTCTTGATTTCTCTCTTTTCTGTTCCCTCCATATTGTTACCCTTGTTTTTTATAATACTCCCTATTTTTCTGAGTATTATGGGAGCATCACATATAGTATTACATTACTTATTCTTTAAATATGTGTTGTCTCATATTTAACCTTAAGGAGTGTATGACTTTAAATGGGATGGAAGGCAGCTTAGTTTGATGTATTGAATGCCGCTGAGCGACAATTCAAACTATACGCATGCGCGTCCTTTGGCAGAATGCCAAATTTGGCACATGCGCAACAGACTTTATTGGACGCATGCGCGTTCTTGTTGCCAGCACTGGGGACTCCAGATGTGCCGGTATGGACTATGCGCATGCGCGTTCTTCGGCTGAATGCCGACGTTTGACGCATGCGTAATGGCCCTAATTACACACATGAGTGTGGGACCTCCCACCGGCAAATCCGTTTGGCGTAATGAAACAGAAACCCAGCCCATGGGGGGGTGTGGGCGATTTTCTTCACACTCCACATACTGCTTTGATTGTGGTTAGGGTTACTTATTTATGAACCCTTTTTACTGCCTCCTCACTTTATTTTTCATCTATTTTGCTTACCTCTTCCTGTCCTGTCAATTTACTAACTCTGCAGAGTTATATAGAGCCAACATGGCCAAGATATACTAGTTGAAATTTGTAGTAAACCATCAGGCCTTTAGAGCCAATTTTTGTATATATACATTAAATAGTGAATAGTGAAGTTATTTATCTATATATAGACTGATTTGAAGGTACTAGAATTTATCTTCAGCCTGCCTCTACTGTACTATAATGTGCTAATCCTTTAGATACTATTGCTATTTTGTTGTATTTCTAAGTAGCTATTTTGCTACTTTTTTTTTTTATTGGAAACTTTAGCTACAAAGTACCGAGGTGTACAATCTGTACATGTGCATGCTGGATTGCTTTCTGTATTCCTTCATCTCTAGTCCTAAGCAGTTTGGTGTATTATAGATTTTATATATGGGATTTTTGATGATTTTTCTTCAATACATTTTTTTTATTTTTTTCACTTTGTCTAATACACGGTAGTGGGCAAACATTTATATTGCTCCAGAGGGGGGACTAGTTTTGAGGGGATTTGTTCCCGTTCTTTAGGAATACCTCCTCCTCATTTCTGTATTTTTTGTATAGAATTAAATGTGAATTATACTCACTGATTGTGTACGGACAAATTGTTTTCTTCTCATGTGGTCTCTTCAATTGCTTTAGAATTCCAGCAACGGTGGAGATTGCCATCTACAAAACAAAAATTAACATAACTAAGTAAAATGTACAAAATAAATTAATGAAGGTGGCTTTTGCCAATAAAATATTCATATTAAAAAAAACAAAAAAAACAAAAAACAAACACATGGGAGGAAATTTCAACAGACATACATCTTTAAATATGTTGTGCTTTGATTTGATTAACCCCTTAAGGACACATGACATGTGTGACATATCATGATTCCTTTTTATTCCAGAAGTGTGGTCCTTAAGGGGTTAAACATAGGCCATTTATAGTTATTCTATAACATACTCCATTATTATTATTTATAAAGTGCCAGCATATTCAGCAGTGTAGTACAATTGGGGTAAATGACAGTCGAATATAAACATACCAATACAAAAAGTAAAGAGTGCCCTGCCATTAGGATTATGAACCAAACCGAGAATTCAAAGTGGAAACATTCTCCAAGTCTGCTTCTTTCAGCTCTGCTACAGTGGTCTTAAAGTTTAAACTCACTTTAGTATATAACCTGACATGTCATTTTTTTTTTCTACCCAGAAGCCCTTGCTTAGCATCATGAACAGGATTTCAAATGTGACCCTTAGGACACTATGTGGACATATGATCAGTGTTAAAGTAGTGTAAGGGCTAATGGTTAGTGTAGCAAGTTAGGGTAATGATGTCACCAGTACAGGATTCTAGAACTGACCTACACGATGAAATAACAGGCAGAGTACGAATACGAGCATACATACATATATACCTACATGGATAGTCACTAAAGGGACACTTGTCAGGAATTCAAAGTGAATTACAAAGTTTAGACCAGAACATCTAAACTGATAGCACAGCTGACTTGGGTTTTCTTCCCCAGATTGAGCTATTTTGTCGTCAAATTTGAAATTCACTTGCAATTTCTGCCAATTTTCGCTTTAATAAACAACTGCTCATAAATAAAAACTATTATCATTAAATAAACTAAACTCCAAATCCTTTAAAATGCACAAACAGTTATCACTGCCTAGATCAGGGTAGTTCACGGTCATGGGCTCGACTTCCCATGACTATTACTTTTCCTATCTTCTCTTGGACTTGAAAAATAAAAAATAAAAATGTATGTAAATTATAATTCCAATGAATGCATTTAAGACTTTGTGGTTCCTATGAAATATATGTATATTTAAACACAGAGTAGACTGTACCTTGCGCACAATGAGGGCATCATGATTGAGACACTGCACCAAGTATCTGATGGCGCGCACAGGAAGTACATGATCTTCTCTCAGCAGCAATGTAAGGAACCCGATGCCTATGTGTTCAAACTTCCAAGGACTGAAATCGGGACAGTAGAGATCAGAAAAATGGGAATCACAATTAACAGACAAATGCTCAAACAGGAGATTTAAACTTAACCAAACGCTAAATTACAAAAACAGTTTTTGTGTTACAAAATATTTGAACCCAAGTTTTATACAGTTTAATGCTAGCAAATATACTGTATTATAGTAAAGGCAATTTTTCCAACTACTGATAAGGTAATAAAGTATTGAGAATTTCCCCACCCCTTGTTTATAAGTTCCTAGAGACCCACATATTCGAACATCCTGCAGAATGGGATGGGAGAACAGGTGTACAGTTTTCGATTTCCCCATCCACCAAATTCTGTGTTAATAAAAGAACACTTTAAGCACTAAGACACTAGAAAGTTCCCTGACATCCCTCTAAGGTAAGTCCTGGTAATATAACCAACACAACACACTGCAATGGTTATGGTGCATTGAGTGTTCCTTTATAAATCTGTGACAACACCGCCATCTTGTGGTAGATATAAAAACAACATTTTGCTATAAAAAGTAGTGTAAGCATTGCATTTTCGCACATTGCATGAACATTCATAGTGGGCTTTTTTCTAAAATTCTGAGATAGAGATAAATCAGACATCAATACCTGACATGCACTTAACTTATGAAAGTTTTAAATAGTGCAAAAAAGGTGCTACTTGGTTAAAGTAAAACATAAAAACAATGCAGAATACAAGTCGACTAAACTTAAAAACATATAACCTAATATTACAGTCTCCAGCTCGTGGGTACTTACAGGTTTCTCTGGTTAACACAATCTAACAGAGTGTTGACCAACCGCTCATATTTTCTGTAAAACAAACACAATTAACAATTAACTCACTACCTAAAACGTCTGGTAATCCTAAATAAATTTACGTCACTACCTTTAAAAATACTTTCCAAATACCATTATACATTATATACATAAGAGGATAAATATGTATGTTCATCATGTAAGTAAACGTGTTCATCGGTCAGTGAAGAGCATGTTTGATAGGATGCTGGATATTATCACACATTGTCCAAGATTCTCCTTCATCCAGAAGGCTGTCCAAGCTGTATGACAGGACTGTCACATGACTTATGCAGTGTTTATAAAAAGGAGACATCTAACTGAGCAACAGGCGACCTCTGGAAAGTTATAAGTATGCCGTCTGCGGTCTACTAGATGGTGCTTGGTAATCAATGCAAGCAACAGTGGTTGCTTTACATTCAGATCTGTGATGGAGAATTTGCCCATATTTTGTGAGTGCTCTTCAAACAATCTTTCAGGACACATTTAAATAAACGCCTTGCGATATGCAGATGTAGTACAGCAGTATATTAAAATAAATAAAACATTCAATTAGGGAGGATTGTTTAAAAATCGATTTTATTTTATTTCTGAGGTCTCACTGAAAGTATAAAAACAAAAAAACACACAAATAAAACAAAATAATTGCAAATGTATGATTTAAACAGTAGGCATGTTTTGCACCTTTCAGGATTACACTGCTAAAATATGATGTTAATGAGGCTTTATAAAAATACCACTTACTGTACAGATTCTGAATTCTTATCCTCTTGCCTCTTAATGGCTAGACAGATTTCATCAGGAGGAGGCAACTGTGAGTTTGTGGGTAGACCTTTTGATTGCTGTAGGAGAATTCCAACATGTACACAGGACTCTGGTACCTTGAAAAAAAACATTTGTAGCATCATTGTTAACAAGACATCAAAAGGTTATAACAAGATATCAGAAGTGGTTAAACCCAATAAAAGTAGAGGCTTAAAAAGTCAAGGAAGTTGAGCTACAGCAGCAATTCATAAAACATGTCCAAATGTGTCAGTAAGAGGCTGCTTTATTCAGTTTTGCTGGAGAATCCAGCAAGGCGACCGCACAAGACCAGGAAAGTTGTCAAACCATTCTTACACGGTTTGCTTATTACTCTGGGAGGGAGCCATAGGACTCCTGGCACGATAACCATTACAGAAGACTACTATAGTTGCTACATTGATCAAAGTGTTCCTCTGAAAACAAATATTCCAAGCAGTTATTGAATGCTTCTAAATGCCACCAAAGACGATATAAAATCTTACCGAAAAATCCAAGCCAATGGTTTCATATTGTCGATGAATCCTCTCAGCCAGATCATCAAAAAGGCGGACAATGGATGGTTTCTCCAGAGACATTGCTTTGCTGAGACCAGAAGATACAATTGCAGGCCATGCTTGCACAATGCAATCCCAGTCATGAAGGTTTGCTAAGCAAGACGTACCATTATTTCCAAGTAGACAGTACAAGGCACCCTGTTATAAAATATATGCATTATACATATTAATGTCTAGGTAGATTTATTGAGATCATGGAATATAATAAAAAGCTTTTATAGCAGAATAAAGTATCATTAACACGGTCAGCTTGCAAATGACTCGTTATCATGCTCCTTACTTTGAATTGTTGCTGAGTGACGTCAACCCTCTCGGGGCGCAAGTATTCAAGTACGAGAGGAATTATATCTCGGCAGCAGAAACTGTAGGTTCCCAGAGCCGTGAAAAATGCTTGTTGGGCTTTATTTCTCACCTGTACAATACAATCATAGGTTACAAACATCTTAAATTAAATAGAAAATAAAACGGATCAAAGCTCAATATAAAAAGAACATTTCCCGGGTGGGAGAATTCAGAGAAACACTTCAAAACACTAGATGCACATTGATAAGAAGTCAGTTAACCGTCCATGATGTGAAAAGGTTTTTAGGCCTGGTAAGGTATGTCCACCACTGGTATCATCTCAAAAGAAGTGAATAACAAGGCCCACTTTTACAAACCCATCCAATGCAGACACAATCAAGAGGCCAGATCAACTTGTTAATGCAAGTAAACCACTATAAAATATACTAGTGCTCATGCAAGAAGATTTCATGAGGCTGTAGGTTTCAAGCAAGCAAGCTTCTCAAAAATATGCTACAGATCATAAACATTTAAAGGAACACTAGTCACCATGTAAGTAATTGATATCCAAAACATTGTATATATGATATCTATATATTGTATGGTAACTCGGTGCGTGTGACTGGTTTCACAAGTTGGGGTTATCTATTTGATAACAGTGTAATAATGATGAAAGCTTTCAGTTGCATTTTACAACACCCAGCTAAAACAGAAGCTTCCATCCCTCCAGCAGTTCTCCTGCCAACCAGTTTTCCATGCATGTTATCTGGAGATCAGAGTAATGAACATCTAGGTGTAACCATGGAAGTGTGTGTTTTCCAAAGCTATCCTGTCTCTAAAAGAAGTACAGGCCTGCTCCCACCCTACCCAGAAACCAACCCTAACTGGTCACATCTTACACAATGTTACAGTATAGCTGGAGGGAAGAGATCAATGGGAAAGACTTGTGTAAAGACAGAACTCTCTGGAAAAAGGACTGGATAAACCACTTTTTTATGGGAGGGAAAGGGGATTCTGGGACTTGTAGTTAATGACTGCAAGAATCAGTCTTTAAAAGAACAGCAGCAAGGAGGTTGGGCTCCTCTCTTTGGGAAGGAAAGCGCAGCAAGCAGTGGTGCCATGGTGGTAGGGAGGAAGGAAAGGGAAGGGAAAGAAAGACTGTCCCATACTACCCAAGATGAAGGCGCAAGTGGGAAATTTAAAAGTCTACGTATTGCCCTTTTACTATGTATCTTTTGGTTTTGGACTGGATGTGGTTATAATGTGTATTGTGTATATCCTTTTTAAATCTATAACAGTATCCTAAATTAATATTAACAATACATTTTATTATACACTTGTGTTTGTGTCTTGTCACTCATTCCCTAAAAGAATATCCTTGTAAGAGGGTCATAATTTCTTACAACCAGAACAACTACATCTTATTGGAATTGTTCTGGTGAGTAGAATCATTACATTCAGACATTTTGGCATTAAACATTTATCATTTCAGAGAAAATGCAGTGTTTACGTTACAGCCTATGGATAACTCCACTGACCACTCCTCAGATGGCTACTAGAGGTGCGTCCTGGGGCAGTGCTGCACAGTGTGACAACCATTCAGTGTCTCCACCCTCTGCATGGAGACATTGACCTTTCCTCATAGAGATGCATTGATTAAATCACGAGATGCTGATTGGCCAGGGCTGTTTGGCTTGTGCTGGCTCTGCCTCCTTGACAGTCTCAACCAATCCCATGCTTTTATATGTAAAATCATTGTGATTGGCTTAGATAAACACTTCTGATGATGTCAGCCAAGCAGGCAAAGCCAGCAGCAGCAGACTGCAATAAAAGTAAGATTTTGCAATATTTAGAGGGGCAACGGAGGGTAGAGGGTGGTTTTTAACACTATAGGGCCAGGAATACATGTTCGTGCTCCATACCCTATAGTGTTCCTTTACCAACACTTAGAGGAACATTCTGAGCACGGTACCCACTATAGCTTAATGAGGCTAGAAATTAAGCAGGATCCTAACAAGGGCAGATCAAGTGTCAGTGAGGGGGAGGCATTACATGTTAAATTCCAAAAATGCTCCAGAACTGCTGAATGCTGCTGGAAAAAGTCTCACTCCGCATCTGACTTTCTCCACTATAAATTTATGCTGCATTCTTACAGCTTGGCTCTTTTCTTTTGCAAACATAAATTACTTTAATATCTTCATAACCACTCTCCCGCGAACCCACAATGACCATTTTACAATTTTAACGCTCTTCTCTGCCCTGTTGCTCCTCCTACCGACTTAACTGTCACAATCTTTGCAACTCACTTGACTGACAAGATCTCTACAATCAGGGAAGAGATCTCATCTCTCTCCTTCCGCTTATAATACTTCCCCCAACCTCACCCCTTTTGCTGTTCTATTTTCATTCACACCAGCTACAGCAGAAGAGGTTTCTGATCTGCTCCGGTCCTTCCGTCCCACTACCTGCTCCCTTGATCCTATTCCCTCGCATTTCATCCACGCTCTGTCTCCATCTCTTGCTTTGCCTCGCACTAAAATTCTCAATCTCTCTCTCTCCTCTGGCATATTTCCATTACCCTTCAAACATGCCACTGTAACCCCGATTCTAAAAAAGCCCAACTACCGCCCTATCTCGCTACTGCCTTTTGCATCCAAGATCCTTGAAAGACTTGTGTATGTGAGATTGACAGACTTCCTCGACCCAATTCAATCTGGTTTCCGCGCTCAGCACCATGGAAACGTCTCTGAGAAAAGTATCATATTTTTAGGCCTGCAAAATGTCATGGTCACTACTTGATCATTATTCTCCTTGACCTTTCTGCGGCTTTTGATATCCACAGTCTACAAGATATTGCGCTCTCCTGGTGCTCCTCCTACCTCACCCAGCGCTCTTTTAGTGTTTCTTTCTCTGGCTCTGTCTCTTCCTCCCAACCTCTCTCCCCTGGTGCCCCTTAAGGTTCAGTCCTTTGTCTCCTACTGTTCTCGATCTATACGGTCTCCCTTGGTAAACCTCCACGTTAATGGTGCTACCATCAGCTCCACCACGCAGGCTCGCTGCCTAGGTGTTCTCTTTGACTCCGACCTCTCCTTCACCCCTTATGTCCACTCTATCGCCAAATCCTGCCGCTTCCATCTCAAAAACACAGCGCACATCCGCCCCTACGTGGTCCTCTCTCGCCTTGACTAATGCAGTCCACTTCTCAGTGGTCTTATGTGCTCCCAACTTGCCCCATTGCAGTCTATAATAAATGTGTCGGCGAGGCTCATCTTCCTGGCCATCTGCACTTCCCAAGCCTCACCACTCTGTCAGTCCCTGCATTGGCTTTCTGTAAGATATAGGGCTCAATATAAGATTCTGGTTCTTGCTTTTAAATCTCTACATAATGCTACTCCCACCCATCTACCCTTCCTAATACACAAGTATGTTTCGTCTAGGCCCCTACGCTCTGCCAAAGACCTGTGTATCTGCTGTTCGTACTCCCACCTCTGATGCTTGCATTCATGACTTCTCTAGGGGTGCACCATTTCTGTGGAACTCCCTTCCCTTTTCCATTAGACGCTCACTCAGTCTCCACTCCTTCAGAAAAAAAATCATTAAAAACTCACTTTTTCACAAAAGCATATCAATTAAACTGTTAATGGCTCCAAAAAAGCCCACACTAAGTCTTCATTGAATACTATTCTACCAATCTACTTCCCTAATACTTTCCTTACCGTTTGTGTCACTTTACCCCACTCCCTTTAGTATGTAAGCTCATTGAACAGGGCCCTCAATCACTCGGTTCATGTGCGTCAAACTGGTCTGGTTACAATTACGTTTGTTAGTCCACCCATTGTAAAGCGCTATGGAATTTGTTGGCGCTATATAAATATAATAATAAATTCTGGCTGTAATTCCATGCATACTATACAGACTTTCTTCAAGAGACTCACCTGACCATATGAGCTGGTTGACAATCTCAGAAGATCCCTCAGAATGTCCTGGTGAACAAGCTTATATGCACAGCCATCGACAGTCAATGTTCTCAACTATAAAAACACACAATACAATTTCACAAATTACTGTTACACATACTATATAGCTACTACCTTAATGTGAATGATAACCTTTCCTTTAAACAGTCATTTACTTGTGTAGTACTCAGGAATTTGATTGCCAGCCTAGGGTACACCACACAGAAGAGCAGTTTGCCAATGTGTGTGGCTATTCTTCATATACTAGAAATAAAACTGTGAAAAGTGTCTATTTCTGATAATTATCTTCACAATATAAGGGGTATCAAGCAATATAGCTATAGAGTAAAATCATTGAGTGTGCTACATAAAAACATGGCAAATTTATATATAGTTTAATGGCCATTCGTGATAATGTACATTATTTGTGTAAATGGATTGTGTAAGTGGATACCATTTCTCTGAGAGTTCACAATATATACCAGAAATAAAGCAAACATGTAGGACACAATTTTAGAAGATAATGTTTGAGTGAATGAATAAAAGTTGTGACCTTTCAATATTGCAGATTTTTGTATGTGTGGTGTTTGCAAATGTACATTAGAGATTTTGCCCAGTAAAATGTTATGGGATCCTATAGTGCTGGGAAAACAAAGCAGTTTTCCTGGCATTATAGGGTTAACAGGTGACCCCCTCCCTTGAGTGGGGCTAAAACCTCTTCAGTGCTGGATTCAGGTAAGTGGCTTATGTCCCTCGGGCTCCGCCCACACTCCTCCCCCGCCATCAGCCGGCGGGGGAGACCTAATGCTCATGCGCAGCAATGGCTGCGCGCGCATTAGACCGCCCCATATGAAGGCATTATTCAATGCTTTCCTATAGGGAAAATCTGACGCTGGAGATCCGTGAGGACGCCCAGCGTCAGATAACGGGCCAAAAGTCAGTTTGGATTCAGGAAGTGCCCCCAGTGGTTGTCTGTTAGACAGCCATTGAGGGCAGACTTACAGCTGCAATGTAAAGTGGTCGGAAGTGGTCTGGGTGCCTACAGTGTCCCTTTAATGCAAGTTGAATAACAAACTTATGTGATACTACACTCTTGAAGTTTCTGCCATGTGCAAAAATACAATATCTATAATAATATATAATTTCCGGTAAAATGGCAAACCATCTGATACACAGAAACCTAACATGTGTGCCAAATTCACTTGTGCTAAAAAAGTGCTTAAAAAAAAAAAATATATATATATTTAAGGAGAACAGTAAAAAAAGTTTGCAAACACAGCGTGGAAGAATGGATAGGTTTGACACCAACGTGTTCTACGAGGGGCTGCATTGGACACATACCTCATGCTGAAGCATGACTCTGTCAATTAGGAGCCCTCGAAGGTGCTGCTTCTTACCCTGGAGCTGAAAGAAAAAACAAGTGGAGAACGTCTGGTGACATTGCACATTACAACAAACTTTTAAAATGATAATTCAGATACAATTTTTACTAGTGTACGAAATGCAGACAATATTAGCATATGATTACTTTGCAAACTAGTAAATAACAAAAATCAGAAAAAAAAAACCATACAAAATTCTTGTTTGGTAATTTTTTTCCTGCCTTAGCCACTGCCACTTCAAAATTACTTTCACTTTGTTATAGTGACTGCAGTGTGTGTAGTGCTGACCACTGCCAGAGATTCCTAACAAAACTTACTGGCCCTGACATTACAGCAATGTTTAGTGTCCACTCAGGTGGCACCATCAGTTTGTATGCTTGTTTGAGCAGGGCCCACTTTTATCTACTATTCAAATGTGTTGTTAGAATTTTTTGTTTTACCTCTTGAAATGCAGAATATGTTGGCGCTATGTAAATAATGCACTGCACATATCACCAGGTCATGAAAAATGCACCTGACCTCCAAAATGTATGAAACCATTTTAATAACCTTACAAACACATAACGTATTCATTTATTTCTTGCAAATAAAGCTGGCATATCCTTCTTAAAGTGAAATCAGGATTAGGTATGCATGCAGTCCATCAACACCAAATAAAAGGGCAGCATCCCATAATTCTTAGCAAGCAGACGCCACAAGGAATTGTGGGATGTGAACTGTTCACTTAGAGAGGGTGAGAGTTGAGCAGCTTCAATTTCAAATGTGAAATCCCATCTTGTATTGTACTCTCAGGCCTCACTTCACAATCAACTCAGTGAAGACTGCATTTACCATCCTGCAGAAACACCCATCACTCTCAGGCCTCACTTCACAATCAACTCAGTGAAGACTGCATTTACCATCCTGCAGAAACACCCATCACTCTCAGGTACTGACTGAAGCTTGGAAGATACTCCAGCTCCCGTATTACTGGATTGCTACAAAATTCTCATGTGTTACTATAGAGTTGTTACAATTGATACCTGTAGTTTGCCACTGTAATGTTATGTGCATGCAGTGTGTACCACTGTCATTTAATGGTTGTGACCAATATTTCATGTAGACAGTTATTAATATTTTGGGTGATAGAATTTGATTGCTAAACTTTTCAATAGTCTATAACACATGCCTACTCTGCCCCCCCTCCCCCTCTCACACTCTCCTTTTCCCCTCCCCTGTCGTAAATACCTTCATTAATTGTTCTCTCTCTATTCCTCAGGCCTCGCTTCACAATCAACTCAGTGAAGACTGCATTTTTTTTCTCCCCACTTCCCACCCACCCTGGCTCCCCTTAAATATATAGCATGCTCCTCCAGCTGTTCGAGATTCTCACCCAATTACCTGTTCATTCCCCTAACATCTTACCAATAGCTGCTTCTCTGTTAACTCTTTCAGCCATCACCTCCAAACTTCCCCTGCTACCTTTTGTCTCAAATCCCCCTGGTATCCTTTAGATTGTAAGCTCAAGGGCCATCTAGCTAAGCACTTTGTATAAAAGAGCTCCAATGGCTAGATATCAGCTTACGGGCAGGGCTCTCTTACCTCTTGTATTTGTTTGTGTATATTGTACGTTTCTCTAATTGTACAGCGCTGCAGAATCTGTGTGCGCTTTATAAATTGCAATAATAATAATAATAATAATAATGAAATTCGTTCAGAGATTACAAAGTTACACAACGCAAGAGAGAATTTTCTAGTATGACTGCGGCTCACAAGAAGTTCTACACACCCGGTTTTCCATGGACTTTTTGACCATTTTAAAACTCTTCCATCGAGCGTCAAACTCATGTTTGTGGGCTCCCTGAAACTGCAGAAGGTCACCGATAATCTGCCAGGGAAGACATGAACCAGAAGAGATTAGACAGAAAAGATGGATTCAAAAATCAGACTAGATCAGGTTAATTCCTTTCTTTTTACCTTTATTATTAGAAATAACGACTTCGTATCATCTTCTGAGTGATCAAGGATATAGTCTATCAAGAAGAGAACATCATCAAGCACCTACTTTGCAGCCGGTTTTGTACAAAGCCAAAGGTCGGCAGTTTCTCAATACTATCCATATTCTATAGTAAAATTGTAATAAACCTATAAGGCAATACTTACGCAAGAGTTTCCTGAGTGTTTTTGTAATCAATTCTCTGTAGTTTTCTCTGGAATAGTCTGAAATAAAATTTTTATTTATTTATATATATCTGAACAGACTGCCAATCTGTAAGCACAATAATCTATAGCTTAGTATATTGGTCATTGGTCTATGAATCTAAAGACGCCATATCCTGTTGGACACAAAATTGTGGCTCTCTTGGCACGTACAATCTTTGTCCTAATGCGGCCGCACAAAGAGCCGCGGCAAGACTGGACAATTTCTGCCTTATTGGTGTAGTTAAAGACAGACTGGACTATGGGTGCTGAAAGAGCCCTGGTTTTTATCAAAGTGCTTCAGAAGTATTTGATAGAAAACTGTGAAACAGCTCTCATATACTCGCAGCACCATAACCACTACACTGAGTTAAAACTGGATTCCCCCTATACAGTACAACTGCACATTTTAGAGTGACCTTTTATTGTGGCCAGCCTAAGCCACACCTGTGCAATAATCATGCTATCTAATCAGCATCTTGATATGCCACACCTGTGAGGTGGATGGATTATCTCGGCAAAGGAGAAGTGCTCAAACACAGATTTAGACAGATTTGTGAACAATATTTGAGAGAAATAGGCCCTTTGTGTACATAGAAAAAGTCTTAGATGTTTGAGTTCAGCTCATGAAAAATGGGGGCAAAAACAAGAGTGTTGCGTTTATAATTTTGTTCAGTGTTTGTGTAAGCTAGAAATATACAATTTTCCATGCTCATAAGATTTAAATATGCCTGTGACGGTTTGCAGATTTAGCAATGCCTTTAGATGGTTGATGTGTACGGCTGTCATAGATTTGAAGTACACAGCACACTTGTCAGCTGCAATGTAGTAAATGCCCTGTGTCACATCTAGAAAGCAATTTTTAGAGTCTTAAAATGTTAAGTTACTAGAAATTTGAAAGTAAAAGCAAATAATTACTTTCTGGATTAGTCCCATAAAGACCAGTAAAATGGACATAAATAGATCACGTATCCCACTGAAAGAGTAAAAAACACCTACCGTAATCTGTACCAATGAAAGGTTTCGTCTCATCCAAAGACACCATGCTTGAAACCCTATACAACAGAAAAAGATCAATAAAATATATGAAAAAATGTCTTTCCTTAACTCCTTAGTTCTACATTTAGCAGAGTGAAGGTAAATGAATAAATAACTGGAGGACTGAGACTGAGGAACCACTAGAAGAGCTTGAGGTGAAAACATGTAGTAATTCCTTGTTTTTATGTAAAGAACAAAATCCCTAGAGCTACTTAATACAAAAATTAAAATGCACAAAGCAGTAGTCAAATTCCTTACAGGTGTGGAACTCGCTCTCCACCCAGAGGAGGTAGAAGATTCCCGGAGCCAGTGAGACAGTTTTGCACGATAGTCAGACATTGCTGGACATCATCCCTGAAAGAAAAGGAAAAAAAATACAAATTAAGCAAGTATTTTATAGTGCATAACATGTATATTTAAAGGACCATCCGAGGTACCATAAGCTTATTAAAGTGGTTATGGTTCCAAGGCGCTGCATGTTTGACAAAATGTGTGTAAAACTGACAAAAAATGGCTTGAAAGAGGAGCTCGCAGTTCTTGCTCTTTTTCTGACAGAGCTTTAAAGCAGAAGTTAAAGTTCCTACATAGCAGACTGATGTGCACAAAGACTTGTGCATGCTCTGGTGCTGGGCGTAACTTCTATGTCACTACTGCGTACAATTCATGGATACGTTTTGTATGCAAGCTGCCAAGTGTTCTGACTAATAGGGCTTGTAGGTAGTGCTACAAATTCTGCTTTCAAGTTCTTTTTTGTAAAAATAAAAACAATATATATATTTTATAGTTTTTTATTGTTTTTATTTGTGGTCAGGGAAATAGGCAGAGTTAGCGTTAACTATAATATTTTTACTAAATTTGGTTTTAGTGTGCTTTTTAAAATTGTTTTAATACACATATATACACCCCCCCCCACCCCACACTATAAATATAATTTGATATGGTTTCATATATAATTTGTCAAAGAAAAAAAAAAAAAAAAAGTGTGGTTCAGATGAAAACATTTGTTTTATAGGTACAAAAAATTATACATTATTAATATGGTAGATGTCTACGCTCGCTTGCTGAAGTGCCGTACCTGTGCATACGTTTATATACAAGTTAACACGCTGCCCATTAAATTAGGAACTAAAAATATCCCCATCACGAAGAGTAACCATAATATGCACGCAGTCCATTTACCATCATGGTAAAAATACCTTGACATCTCAAGTTCTCCGCTTCCATAAGACTCCAGTTTTTGCAATTCTGGTCGTAAAAAGTTATCTAGAAGGTAGTAAGCGAAGGTGATCTCTTCAGCAGAAGGAACGTGCCACTGTATGTTCAGGTTCCACAAATCGCCCGCCTTTCCCCAGTCCTTAAGAAGACAAAATGCAAAAATTATTTCACAGGAAGAATGTAAGCCACTGATGAGCCACGCTTTTGAAACACTGTTTTGTCACTTCCAAGTAACAGAATATTGCATTAATTAAAATGGATTTATCTTGTAGTTATTGTACCCCGGAAAAATCATAACCTGTACTACCACCAATATCTAATACACCTTAAGCTCTGCATGCAAGTTCTAAAGATCATAATCCTCCATCCTAATATAGCCATACGTATCATGCCCCTTATTAAGATAGGTGTAACTTGTGCAGTAATGTACCCTTTAAATTGCCAAATAAAGCAAATTATTAGTAAAAAAACAAGTTAGCAAAACCAGTCTTCACTAGGAAGCTTATGCAGATCTGAAGGAACATTTGATTAAGGCTCTAGAGCACTTTTTAAAAATTATTTTATTTTTGCACTGATAGATATGCATCTGTACGACATTCTAGGCATATGCAAATGCCAAATCACAGTAGTTGCATCTTTTGGGTTACAGAAAGGAAAAACGTGTTGTTAGGGCATGTAACACTTCATACAGTTGTGGTTCTAGAGCACTTTATAAACTCCTTTTTCAGAGCAGACTCCCATATACTCTTCACTCATCCAGCATTCCTTTTTCCAGGGGAACTATTGCTTGAGCTTATAGCAATTGAATACAGTGACAACACAGTCTGGTGTTTTGTACACAGTGGTTTCAACATAATGCTTTAATGTATATGATCTGTAGTTTTGCTACATAGTGGATAGATTAATCAGGCCAGATAACCCAGAACCAGCAGCATAATTCTGAATACCTCCCGTGTGTGTATGTTAAGTGGAAAAATTAAATTAGAGATTTGAAGCAAAGTAGAGATGTAAGGGAACACACATAATCATAACCTATTATGACATGGACCCTGTCAGGGCCGGATTAACATAGGGGCTGATGGAGCTGCAGCTCCAGGCCCATTGATTTAAAAAGAAAAAACAGAAAAAGAAACGCCTCCGGTATTTGAGGCTGCGTAGCAGGTGCCGGTATTGCAGTAATACCAGCAATACAAATGTCAGTCTCCGTATAAACGGAGATTAGATGCAATACCGGCACCAGCCAGTAGGTGGAGCTGTGTGTGTGGAGAGAGGCAGGGATAGGATGTTACAGCATCTCCCTCCCTGCCTCCTACTCACTGATCCGCAGGGGGAGCAGCTCTGCCCAGAGAGTCCAGACAGAAGCTCCCAGCCTGCAGAAACCACCTACACCTCAAGTAAGGGGGAGGAGGGGGGGCTGCAGAGCGAAACGGGGACATAGAGCGACACGGGGAGATTAAGGGACTAAGATATTGCAAGACATCCATATATACACTAGAAGCAAAAGTTTTTGGGTGATTTTACAGAATCTCTTATGTCACTCCTTGTAATACACATCATGTGATGTCACATACAAAATTTATTATGCAAATTAGTAAGGCTAGTATTTTTTTCCCCAAGAAAGGTGGCAACACCAACTACTTTTCGCATACTCTTGCTTAAGTATGGAAACTTAAGAGGGATGTAGAGGAACAAAACTTGTGTGGACTGGCTGACAATGAAATTAGTTTAGGTAATGCTGACTTTGGTCTCCAACACTGTGGCACGTTCCCTTTCTTCTACACTCACTACATCCAGCTTTTCTCTGTCTCAGACTGTATACCAGGTGCTTCTGCTTGCTAGTAAGAAGGTAAGGAGACAAGTGGACATGTGACTGCTAGGGGACAGTCTTTAGAAAGAGTGGAGCGAGTGCATAATTAGAAACATTTATGCCAAGCTCAGGGTGCTGTCTTCATAGTATGCCCTTTGTTGGCCAACCTGCATGATTGGCAGGCAGCCTGACATGCATTTATGCCAGGCTGTCCTTAAAATTCTTTGGGCATTCTTTTTGGGTGCGTTCGCCCCTTTCGGCAGTTCTGGTTACGTGATTCGCGTGAGTGGCCCACCCTTTTACCTTGACTTCCTGCTTCACTGGACACTGCTGTTAGGGGGTATAGAATTACTTGAAAGGTGAAAGCGTGAGATTAGCATAGGGTATGTGTTTTCCCATAGCTGCATCCTATGAGTTTCCCTCCAGCACCATCTCTATCAGATACATGACGCTTGGGAGGTAGGACTGCTTCAGTGTGTTTGGTCGATCAGATTTTCTAATTAGGCACATCATAATTGTCAGCACCAGGCCCATTGGGCTCTTAATCTGACCCTGGACTCTGTACATAGCATTAGCTCACTAACCCACTCTTCAATATTAAGATTCTAACCTATTCAACTGTTGTGCAATGTACAACAAAACAAAATTCAGCAAAATTGGTCATTACTCAAAGTGTCAGAAGTATTAAGAAACACTACTATAATGGAAGCTTATGGGTATGGCCTCGTAACAGCAAGCAGAATCAAGTTCTGTGTAATAACTTTTTTAAAGTTTTGATATTTTTAAGGAAAAGTAAATTAAAAACTCAGTAAAGACAGATCTCATTTCATTTAATTAAAAACACACACACACACACAAAAAAAAGAAAACAGACACAAAACTTGCCTTTAGAGGTAAATATTGTGAGAGAGGCTTATCAAATCCACCAGGTACACTGCAGTATTCCTTGGGGTATATAAGTGTGCTGGATCGTAGCAGATGGTGCAGTAGGTTACAGGACAGAGTGTAGCCCTGCTTGCATTTGAAGTGCAGGGTTCTCTGAAGAATCTTTACGAGCTGATCTTTGTAGGGAAGCAATTTTGCTGCATCAACTCTTGTTATCTATGGGAAAAATAAAAATAATGTCAAATCTAGTCATAACCATTGCTAAAAATAAGATCTAATGATAATTGCAAAACAAATGGCTCCCAGTCGAGGCACAATAAATGCATACGTACAGTAAACACATTACTTTATATAAAACAAAGCAATGGCAGACTTGTGATCTTTACAGTCAGTCAGTTTTAGGTGCATTTTAAGACCACTGTGATTTCAACAGAACATTGCTAAAAAAACAAAAAAAACAAACTAAAAAAAAACAACTTATTTTTAGAAGACCAAACTGAAAAATTCAGGTGCAAAAAGAAATATAAAAATAACCCACAACAGAATGGGGAATAAAAAAATGCTCCGACTTGGCTGTAGTAAAAGCATGGCTATTTTAGTCTACATATAGTAATCTGATTTTCACCACAATGCTTTGTTAACTTGAAAAAAAAATAAAATAAAAAAAAATAAAGTTTAAACAGGTTTGCAAGAAAAAAAAATGTGTTTTGCAAAATTTAGGCAAAAGCATTAAGGGAAATGCTTATATTTCTACTTATCCCTTAATTTTTCATGCCACTACAATTCACTGCTTATTGAGTACACCCTTAAATCATATCAATGCATCCCTAGTAGACTTGTACATTAAAAGGCATTGGATTTGTTCGAACAGCTTAACCCCTTAAAGACACATGATTCCCTTTTATTCCAGAAGTTTGGTCCTTAAGGAGTTAAACACATTATCTGTTCATGAACTAACCCATAGTTCCAGGATCTCTATGAACAAGACCCCACAAATGATCGGTCATCGAATCGCTCTGGCGCAAATTAAAAAGGCATTTGATTCGCTCAAAGCAGGTGAAACGTTAATTTACAAAGTCTAAACCCTTGATATACTGCAAACATGGCACATACCTGAGGAATTTATTCGATACTGAATTTTGATTCATTGAAAACAGATTAACAAAATCTCACCTTATGAGATGGAAAAATATTTCAGTTGGGTACCTACTCTGCAATCAGGCATCCTTACAATAGTCTTCAATTTGCCACAATTCACTGGTTAGTTGGTAAACCCCAGAGTGAGGGCTCAGTATCATTAGGGGGTGGAAGTAAAAAATGATACAGGAAAACTAGTGATATATAGCAAGTGTAAGACACAGATCAAGAGTTATGCAGGGGAGAAGGACCACAGGCTAGGTCATCAACAAATACATTCGTCACCACCACTAAATATTATTGCAGTTAGATATGGAGAGAGACACACACACAGAGATAGATATATCTATCAATATAGATTTATTTACCTCAGAAAGAAGCTGCAGGTTCCATAGTAACTCTTTATCCAACTCTTCCTCACGTAGGACATCATCATCTGAGGGAGAACATGAAATATACATTAGATTCTACTTATCTGAAGTACAAACTCTAGTCCATGTTCAATCATGTCAGCACACTACATGGAGAGTTACGACTTCAAAATTAGGCTTCTCTATTTAGGATTTTAAGTAAATATCTTATACATCACATTTTAGATACAAAAAGGTTTAAATTGTACTCTGGTAATTAAATAATATATTGTGGTTAGTGTATTTTTATTCAGGTTCCTGAACTTGAAAAGCTCATATTCTATAATACATTGACTAGACAAGCCCTCTGAACGTGCCCTCTGGTATCTGGCACCAAGACGTTAGCAGGAGATCCTTAAGTCCTGCAAGTTGCGAGACGGGGCCTCCTTGGATTGGATTTGTTGTTCTAGCACATCCCACAGATGCTGCTGTTAGCAGCTTTGAATAACATGCTGAGATACTTAAGTGTACCACTGGCCACGGGGGCAGTGAAGTTGAAACATGCAAACTTTAACATGACTTAAATGGCCACAGGTCGTATTACGTATAACAAATTCTCACTAGGTCTGGTAGAGTAAGTGGTAAAGGTTATACACTGCTAGCCGTCTTTTAGAGCCCGTCAAGTGCTATGCATCAATGAAGTTCTAAATATAAAAACCATATCTAAGTTCTAGGCTGCTTCCTTTACTGAATGAAACCATGCATACATATCTAGCTTAAAAGTCTCAGGCCCTTAGATTATATGGACTCATTTTTAGCTAGTTTCACAGGTCGACTGACTGACTGTTGAGCCATAGTGCCTCCCTGCCAGTCTGTACTGTAAGTTGGTCAGCCGATACCCACGACTAGCAGGCCGCCGGTCCAGGCAGAGAGTGCGTGTGTGCTGCCAGACCCGGAGTTCTCTGCATCGATGCACCGGCGTCAGGTATTTTAGTCTCCGGCTCGGGTTTGAGCCCTTGGGTCTTTTCGGTGCCTGTGGTTGGCTCTGTGGTGCGCTCTGTGGTGCGTGTTTCTTCCTCCGTGGTGAGTTAGTCGCAAGGGGTCGGTCTCTGCCCGGTCGGGTTGTGGTGAGGCCATGGTAAGGTGAATAGGCGGATTTGCGTAGGCGCCATGCTCTCCGGGCACCCGGATCGGGAGCTTGTTTTTGTGTGGTTGGGCGTCTATTGCCCTTGTGCAGACGGGGGGCCCGGAAGTTTTTCTGGGGCGCTTATTTGTGTGGGTTCTCAGTGAGGCTGAGTGTTGCTTGTGGTGTATGGCGTCGGGTGGTGCGTGTTGTGGCTCACCTACATGCCGCCCTTTCGTTCTCGTGTATTTCAAAAGGTGTGTCTTTCTGCTCCCTGTGCCCTTGGTTCCGCACACCCTGAGGTGGCGGTGCTTGTGATTTTACCTAAGGCATTTGCATAAGGTCCCATAGCTTGGTCCAGAATTGGTCAAAGGCTGCATCCAGCTGCAGTTCTCTGTCCCTTGTGTGTGGTTTCTCTAGCTTGTCGCCGCCATCTTAAGCAGGCCATGTGCTTGGTAGCCCTTCTGTTTCTTTTCTGTGATCTGCGGTTTCAGGCTTCGTCTGTTTCTCCGATTGCCCACGATGGACCGAGATGACCCCCATCGGTCCAAAAGGGGGGGGGTGGTAGGAGCTGGGTACCCCTGGAAGTCCATACTCCGGTCCGCAGCGTGGTGAGCGGCAGTCTTTCCACTGCCCGATCTCTGGTAGGCCTCGGGTGGTAATGCAGGGTCTCGGTGGGTTACACGTTTAATTTTGGCACCCAAGGGTTCACCCAGGTGTTCCCTACTTAATGGCTCCTCTCCTGCATGCTCTTGTGCAGTTTTGGGGGGGTTAATTCCCCAATTTGTGCCGTTTTGAGCAGGAGCCGAGGTGCAGCACAACCGCTCCGTTTGAATGCTAGGCTCCGCCCCCCAGCATATATATTTAAAAAATATAAAATAAATACATTTGTGTAACCTGGAGAGGATCGCAGACATTAGAAGAGTGCCATTATTTGAAAAAAAAAAAAAAAAAAACAACATAAGCCAGTCTTATAAGTAGTTTGTTCACAATCAACACATAACAATGGAAACGGTTGAGATGTAATATTTTAGGAAACTATTCATCTTTGTATATATAAAAAGGTCCGCAGGCTCAGAGAATGTAACAATAGGAATTGTGAAGGAGAAATAAAAAGGGCAAAACTTACTGAGAGTGAGCTGAGTTATAATATTGCAGCAATGTGGCAGAAACCACTTCAACGATTCCACAGGGTGACACTAAAACAAAAAATAAAAATTTATTAAAACACACATGTCACCAACAAACGAAAAGCCACCCATTTTAAAGTAGACTTGCCATCTATAAAATGGTTTTACAGCATGGCTAACTCCAGAAAAGCTTCCTTTAAGTAGGCAGGCAAGTGAAGACTCTGCAAATTCACAAGTGCCAATTATTTTCATAGGGATTGCTAGTTGGGGGTTTTAGAGGCTGAATTCCTGAATGTCAGCTAGTAAAGCCCCACATTTCTTTAACTCCTTTTATATGGTCTGCGGTCCCTCTACATCTCTACAAATCCCAGCAGCCTCTGCGGCTTTACTGGCTGCAAAACTACTGCATTGCTATATCTGTCAGGTCAGACAGGGACTCACCCCCTCTTAATTAATATGTTTGATAGGGGACAGGCAGTAAGGGGGCAGCTTTCCCAGTATGGCAGTCTCTGGGCACTTGCGGTCAATGCTTCCTCACAGTGTGTGAGGTTTGCAGATGGACCGACATTTAGGTGTGTGAGGAAATCACACTCTTGTCCTCACCGAGACACATCCAAACAGCAACAGAGCAAGCAGTGACAGCAAGGGCTGACAGAGGCACAGTTCACTAGATCACCAAGACTGGGATAGGAGAGGGAGAGAGGAGGAGATATAGATTAAATCAGGGTAAATGTGCAGTGACTGGAGGTAACATAAAAAAAGGGGTTCTATGAAAATACTCAGGGGTGTGGGTATAAAATGGAAGGGTGTATGACAAATAACATGAGTTCAAATTAAGGAGAGATCCTAAACAAGAGGTATTAAAAATGTTTTGTTTTTTTGTTTTTAAATATTCGTGTTTTTGCCCATCCTTACTTGCCATAAATATGATTATTACTAATACTCTCAATTCCTTGATAGCCAGGACATTAGGGCAGTATGTGTAAACATCACTTTTGGTGAACTGATGTAAATGAAAGCTAGTGTTTGCCAGTGATGGAGCTAAAAAACAAAAACCCAAAAAGTTTAAACAGCTATTTGTAGGATAAATAAATGAATACAGACTTTAACACAAAGACTATAAGTGTAAAATAAATATTTGCACCTTAACAGCAGCCCGGCATAAGTCTGCAACCATTCTGCCCGAAACTCTTGTCTCAAACAAATTGGATACTGCAAAATTGAAAACCTTTTCCAGGGCTACCTGTAAAGACATCAAAATGTGACAAAAAGTCAGCCAAAAAAAAAAAAAAAAAAATCACACACACACACACACACCACATGTAAAAGTCACTATTTTCTACTAAAACACTTGTCTAAATATCCTGAAAAATAAAATGATAGAATCTTCAGTTTGCTTGTATTTTTTAGTAACCATAAGGTTCAAAAGCAAAATGACAACTTCTGGTCCTCTGACTAATCGCAAAAGCAAAAAACAGATTTGTGATCGGAGTAGGAATTAACTGTAAAGCAAGCTTTGGCATTTTTATCTTATTGTTCCCGGTTTTGTTTACGTATTCGCCATTGGTTTGGTTTAACCCCTTAAGGACACAACGTCTTGAATAAAAGGGAATTATGACGGAATATTTCCTTTATGTGTCCTTAAGGGGTTAAAGGATACCCCCCCCAGATGAGGCATGTTGGTATTTTGATTCTGGACTGCCCCTGTGTGCGAGGCCATTCTGATAATAAGCACAGGTATAGGTTCACAACTGTAATAAGATTTATTAGCAAAGAACATTTTACATTTGAGCAGGACTAATCAAGATTAAAACATTTTTGCCCATTTTCCATGTTCTCTAAAGCTTATCTTTTCATGTAGACATTGGTATCGAACTGAGTTTGTGAAAAGACCTGAGCTTTCTACACAGCCTGGTTTCAAAATTTACACTTGCCAATAGCCAACGGTGAATGAGAATGTATTTCTAGCATGGTGTGCCATGGGTCATCCAAACTTGCAGAAACCTTTAAAGCCTGGCTAGTAGTGTAGAGGATATTTTAAGGCATAGTGAAAGTTTGCTCACTTGCAGTTCTTACCAAATAAAAATCACAGTACTTGATACTGGCAAAGTATAATCCACAGCAGTGCTTTACAGGACGAACTGAAGGTGTTGGGAGGGGGAGACTGTCCGCTCTCTTTGGTGTCCAATGGACATTTTATTATAGAAAGTTCTCTCAGGAAGATAGAGTTAGATAATGCTCAAACACATGAATAGATATACCGATTACTCAAGCGGATTGTACTTGGATTATAGAACTCGGAAATTAAAGGATTTACGGACTCTGCGGTGCTGAGGTTTTTAATTGGTGTATTTGCCATCTTAGTTACCAATAAGTTTGATAACTGTGCAGGTTTAAAATCAATTAGTATAACAAAACATGTGCATCTCAAGCAGGATGATGGTTTGTACAAAATCTGCACAGGGTCTTAGCGTAATGCAGAATAGATTTTAAAATCCACAGACTAACACGCACTCAGAATAGAGAATTATGGCATTACTGCAGTCCATCTTGGTTTCATATTTAAGTGCTTTTTATACTCAAAACTACTTAAGTTTTTTTTGGTTTTGGTTTTTTTTTTTTTTAAACATGGCCAGGTTTACAGAGTAATAGGTCCTGAAGAACAAACCTTGAAGATTTCACTGGAGCACTGTGTGAATATTGTGCTGAAAGTAGTGGTAAGGCCCAGCTCCACCAATGTCTCAAGCGTGGTCATTTTCTCCGTCTCCGTCTCCTCACGGGTTTGTTCCAGAGAACTGCTTTCAATGAGGGCAAAACACCTGGGGGGCAGGTTATTTTATTTCATTAAATACAATGTTATTAACGTTTTAATTAAACACTTTTGCATTCAGCATGAAAGATGAACATAAGTTAGAAAATAACCCTCTCTGTGTCACACATTTTACCATTCAGTTAAGAAACACAGGCACGCAATCCACATTCCTATATCTAAAGCCAATACCAACAGGACTGTGATGGATCTCCAAATGGTTCCGGCTTCTTTGACGTTTCCTAGCTACAGCACATTTTGTTCTGTAATAAGCGCATGGAAACAGTGCACTCAACCATAAACACCTAATGCTACCCAGTCTAAACAAAGCATGCAATAAACAAAATAATTAAATTTTTTACTAAATACAGAACACCAAAACTATTTTTTATTTAGCCATATTATTTACTTATACATTTTATATGAGAGAGAGAGAGAGAGAGAGAGAGAGAGAGAGAGAAAAAAAAAAAATTTGCACTGATTTGAAAGAAACCAGAGGTAAAAACCAAACAAACAAAATATATACCTGTCCATGAACTGCAGGACAAAGTCTTCAAACTCTGCAGTAGCTGAGCAGAGCTCCCTCTCCGCCTTACAGAAAAATAAAGGAAGTCAGTGACCAACAGCAATCACACAACTTACTACACAGACTGTAAAATAAAATCAAACAGTTTGTAAACAAAACTTTTACTTCCATTACAGTAGAAAATCTACAAGGTTTACAGACAATTTATTGAAATTCCATACCATAGCTTTGTACGTTACTAAACCTCTATAGAACTAATGAATCCTAAAAAGGGAAGAAAGTTTGAGGTTTAAGAATCAACACTAGAGACACCTATCGTCACACATCCAACAGCCAATCACTCATTCAGGTTTTTGTTTATTTTAAAAAAATTTTTTTAACTCTAAGATAATGTTACCTCGGAAAGATCACTTCTCTCTTGCAGCAGTGACGAGCAGTCTACTAAAGGCACCAATGTGGAAAATGTTGAGATAAACTGGAATGTGATCTGTTAGGGGTTAAAAGGGATTAGTACAAATCCTATATTGAGAACATACAGTTAACAAATGTACTGAATGAGTCACAAAGACATGCTTCGTTAAAGTGACTGTCACATTATAGACTTTTTACACATTTTACAAAGACCCCCGATGGCGACATCGCCGCTCTGAGTGTCGAGGCCCAGAGATTCAGCAATGGTGAGCTATATTTAACTGATGCTGTACCACACGAACGCCGCTATATTCTTATTTCAGCTCATGGCACTTAATCCACCAAGAGCAGACATCAGAGCTGTACCCTCGGGCATGTGTGACGATACAACATTGATATCCATTGAGGTTCCTGAATGGGCATGAGAGCCTCAATGGATATTATCTAACGATGAGCGAGTTAATATTCTTATCGCCATCACTGCTATGGAGGTGACAAAACTTGATGGTGGTAACGCTGCTTCTGGTAAAAAAGTTTAAACATGGTCTTTACGTTTAGGGATAGACCAATTATATTGGCCGTTATGCTGGATTTTGGCAAATATTGGTATCGACCACTATTGATACCGATGTTGCGAGAGGTGGCAACGGCTCAAAGCACACAGTGCCAGTGAGTCCTCAAGGCGGAACACGCGGCATCATTAGGGCGCAAGAATCTAGTGATTGTCAGGAAGGAAACGCACAGCGCTCCCCCTACCAGTCACTTGAAGTAGCGTGGTCGAGAGGAGCAGAGCGGACCATGGTACAGGAGCTTCAGTTTCCTGTACTCTGCCAGATTGACAGGAAATGCTCACAAAGAGCACTTTCGGTCAGTCCGGCCGGGTACAGGAAACTGAAGCTCCTCTACCACGGTCCGCTCTGCCACGCTACAAGAGGACCTCAAAAGGGGGAGGCGGGTGCGGGGGTAGAGCCTTAAGGGACAGAGAGGGGAGAGGAACACTAAATATTATTGAAAAAAAATCTGACTAGCATGTATATGTTGTGCATTTACCACTGCATTAAAAAAAAATTAAAAGATTTACAAAAATAAATAATTAACATGTTCAGTTAACAGTAGATTTGTGTATAAATTGTTTCTTTTTTTTCACAATGGTAAATGTACAGAATATCGGTAAATTATCGGCCATCGGCCTGAACATTCACAGATTAGCAATATCTGCTCAAATTTGTTTATTTTTTTAAATCAATATTGGTCGATCCCTACTTCCGTTATCTTAGATCTTTATCCATGATTCCTTGTTTAATAAATAACACCATTATCCGCTTATCACAAATGTGTACTAGGCTATTAAACACGTTTACATTTCTATTTCGCTCATAAAGAAATACTGTAAAATACTTCTAACACAGCTGGAACAAAGTATAATCACTTTAGTACAGTCACTGCCAACATGACTGGCACCTTGGGTTAAGAAAAGTGAAAATACAGTAATACATGTAATAAATAATATACATTTAATAAAACATGGAATATTGTATATCTGTCATCTTGTAATTCATTAATTATGATTAAAAGAATTTGCCAAAATTACCAAGGGAAACCTTTTTTAATTTGAGAATCTTTAAGTAGAATTATTTACAGGATTATTAAAGGGACACTATAGTCACCTGAACAACTACAGCTTAATGTATTTGTTCAGGTGAGATCTATAGCTCCCTGCAGGCAATCTAATGTAAACACTGTATTTTCAGAGAAAATACAGTGTTTACATTGATTGATCGGAATACCTCCAGTGGCCATCACTCAGACGGCCACCAGAGGGACTTCCTATCATGTAGGGCCCTAAAAAGGCCTTGTACATGTCAGACGTATTAAGATACGTCTGATGTGTGCAGGAGAGAGAAGGCACCGTGTGTGCACCTTCTCTCTCCTGCCTGTCAGCAGAGGAGAGGGGGCAGGCAAAGACCGCGAGCTGAGCTGTCAGTCAGCTCAGGGCCGCACACTCCGCACGCATGCGCTCAGGACTTCATAAATGCCGCCCTATGAAGTATGTTCGCATGTGCGGCAAAGCCGCGCATGCGCACGCGGGAGCAATGACACTTCCAAATGGAAGCGTCTGATTGCTCCCTGCTCGCAGCCGCCTATTTCGTCATTTTGACGAAATAGGGGGCGCGGCTTCACGAGGCTCCCGGCGCTGGAACCAGGTGAGTAAACAACTCTGCCTGGAGAGTCCCTTTAAAGAAAGAATCATTGGGAATTCAAACAAGACTTTCACATTTAGTGTCTAAAAATTGCTTTAAATGTGCAGCACTGACATTCAGTGTCTCCACACTCTGCAATGAGGTGCTGAACGTTGCTCAGAGATACGATTCATTGCAACTCTAGCAGGAGATCCTGAATGGCACAACGCTGCGTTTTGCCACGCACATTCGATTGGCTGAGGAAAAAAAATTTACAAAAAAAAAATGATGATCTTGTAGGCAGAGTCGCAGAGCTGGAATAAAGGCGAGTTTAACGCCTTTTTAATAGTGGACAAGGGGGCCAGTGGGCTAAATAGCAATCTTAGAGCTGTAGTGTCAGGAACACAGGTTTATATCCCTGACATAGTGTTCCTTTAGGTCTGCTATTATTCCAATTCAGCCATTTTGACAACTCTCCCCTCTGTCAATAACACTGTTAGTTATCTCAGCCTTAAGGAACTGTACTTTGTTCTTACATGGTTTCCTAGATCCCGGTTTATATGTGATCAGTTAGTAATGAAAAGAACAATTTATGGAATTAAAGTGTCAGTGTTTAAATACAATGTTGAATTACTAAATTAAACTCCAGTTTTAGATTACATACAATTAAACAAACCATACTCACCATACATTTGCTGAAATCATTTGGATCAACCCCAGGAAGTGCTCTCATCAACAGAGGTAGCATGTGTGTTGGACCTTCTGGGAACCACCTGCCACCGGATACAAGGCTGCGTGCCACGCCAATTACACACGTTAATGTTGCTATAAGCTGGTGAGGCTCAGTTAGAGTTTCCAAAGCTGGATATGTTCTGCACAACAGAGAAATACACAGGATTTAACAAAAACACTGTTGCAAACTGCTTGGGCCAAGTGAAATTGGGTTCTGGTGACATCAAACTAGGGGACCCACGTTATTTATGTAGACAGAAATTCAGTATTAAATTAAGGAAAATCCTGCAAAACCGAGACAGAGACACTTTAAGACAGTCAGAGCTTTATCTCGTTTCAAAGCACACCTAATGTAAAAAATAACCGGACAACCTTCAAACAGGTAGATCAGCTGCTTGCGGCCAGTGATTTAAAATCTGCATTTTAGCCGTTTTACATTATATTTTTCTCTGTATTGGTTAATGTGATACACCGAGAACTGTAAACTAAGGGTTTGGGAATGTGGTTGTTTCTCTGAAACTTACCTTTCAAGTACTGGGGGAATAACAAGTTCCGGGCGCATTAGTGCAAGGTTCTGCAGGGCCTGGGCTGCATCACCACTTCCAGTTTTGCTGAACATGGCCAGCAGTACAGGCTGGATTATACTTTCCACAAAGTCTGTCACATCTTGGTCACTAAGCTTGTGACTGTCAGGAACTGGGGTCAACCAGGAAGGCTTCTTGTACCTTTCCCTGTGCAACCTCCGGACAAAACAGCATGGCAACCTCTGAAGCAGTTTCATTAGTTTTGCCTAAAGTAAGAAGGGGGGTGCGTGGAGATGGAAATAAGACAGTTTCAGAAATTGAATTTAATACAGATCTGCTCCAAAGGCAGTTTTAGAGCAGTAGTAAACCATGCTACATTATATCACAAACACACAAAAAGTACCAGGGGTGATTAACATTACAATCCAGCTTTTGGTAATTGGTTGGAAACGGCTAATGGGCGGTTTATTTCCACTTGAGCTGATTAAATACATACATTTTGGTCACCAATGCACTACATTGTTTTTTTAAAGGAACACTATAGCATTAGTCCCCCACTCGATTTGCGATAAAAATTAAATGAAGGATATACCCCCCCTTTTTTAGTGCAGAAGCTTCCTCCGTGTTGCTTACCTTTCCACCTTGGGCATGGAATCCCCGATTGTCTAATCCAATGCTCCTTGGAGAACCTGAAAGCATTGCGTTACTACTCTGGGGCCTCTGCATCACATGACCAAGTTTTCCTCTGTCACACTGAAAGCCACTAGAGGCACTAACGTGGCACTGACAGTCACTCACTGAGGAATCAACCCTGCAATGTAAAACAGTTTCTTAAAAACTGCAGTATCTTACATTGCAGGGTTAAAAGGACAGGTCCACTGCTGCCAGGCCACTTCATCTTAATCAAGTGGCCTGGGTGACTTTAGTGGTCCTTACAAGTGTTCGGCAACCAATAGTGCAAATGGGACTTTATACCAGACATAAACCAGTCATGTTTAAGAGATGAAAATCCTGGCAAAGAGTTATTAGCAATGTATTAATAGTTAATGAATCTTGAATTGTGCTTTGAGAACACTTGGGCAACACGTTTTAAAAGTCAGAAAACATTATCAGTTACCAATGCTAAATTGTAATTAATACCAAAATTAGCAATTTATTATTTATTTAGATTGAACAGAGTACACTAGACAGCACAGAAACAAACAATCTCAAATACAAAGAAACCTCTTGGAAAGCTATAAACACCTGGTTCCTGTTACCGTGGACTGAAATCGGCATCCTTCTTAACAAGTAAGGAGATCAAAGACTTAAGAAGGGATTTAAAAGAGCAAGTCACTGCCTTGACATTTCCTAGAGAAGCAAGTATGCTGTATGACCAAATGCACAGCACCAAGCCCATTATCGGTCTGCCCAGGGATCAATTCTGAAGAGAGTATCTTGTGACTTTACTGCCATGATTGTTCCACTGTAAATCTAACTGTGCTCAGTGAGACTACTAGAGGGACAATATAATCCATTCATTAGACACTATGACGAGCAATCTCAACACCGGAAGCAAAGTCTTTACACACCGATGATAAATTAAGATGCCATTACTGTATTACTTACCAACCACCTCCCATTGTTGGATGGATGGTAAAAAGATGCTATGCTATTGAAGAGCCCCGTTAAGTGTGCCTGCGCAGTCTTGCTTGGACCGCCCTAAATAAAATAAGGAAAAACATTTGAAAAAGCAGCACCTAATTGTTTACATGTGTTACAAGCATGCATGAAGTGAATAGAGCAGAACGGCAAAACAAACGGTAATGGTAAATCTGATGGAACGAGTAAGCACTAGGTTTACTGACCAGCACAAAATAAATAAATAAAAATGATTGATCCCACATTGGCAATGTGAGGTTTTTATTTTAAGTATATGATCAATTGAAAACCAAAAATCCACAAAATTTAGATAAAAATATGAAGATGGAAATCTAGCCATTTTAACACTTTTTTAAAAAACTTTATTTTTAAGATGTCATTTTTAAGTCACCCACTTCCACTCATTCCTGCATCCATGCCGCCTGTGCGCTCCTTTGATTGGGTGCACGCCATTAAAGGACCACTATAGGTACCCAGACCACTTCACCTTAATGAAGTGGTCTGGGTGCCAGGTTCCTCTAGGATTAACCCTTTCTGCTGTAAACATAGCACTTTCAGAGAAGGGCAGAGAAACGGCTATATTTACAAATGGGTTAATCCAAGCTCTAGTGGCTGTCTCATTGACAGACGCTAGAGGCGCTTCCGCGCTTCTCACTGATTTTCACAGTGAGAAGACACCAGCATCCATAGGAAAGCATTGAGAATGCTTTCCTATGAAACTGGCTGAATGCGCGCGCGGCTCATGCGCATTCAGCCGATGACGGGAAATGAGGAGGAGAATAATAAAAGAGAATAATAAAAAAGAGTAACAAATAGCTAAAAAGTCCCACTTTAAATATTACTTTTCTACTTATTTTATTTACCTTGGATACCTGATTCCGTTCAATTCCTGGTTACCTTCATATTCCCTGGTGGGGATGATACCACCTATGCCATACTGACTAGAGCAAGTTGTGCTCTAGCAAATGAGAGTACGTTACTATTGTATTTCTATTTCCCCACATATTACCTGTATCCTGCTCGGAACTGCTAAGACGCACTCTGCAGTATATATCCTGAGACAGGGATTGTACCGTCCACACGCATTAACAGCTGAGCTCTGGGATAGCTCTAGGAAATGTGAGTGAAACCACTTTAAAAAGTACCTACACAATCCGCTTGTTATATTTATGATATTGCACTATTGTTTCTTCTATGTTCTTTTACTTTGAGGTCAATTGGACATAGACCATTGCATATACCCTTGTGTACGTATACAATTTATTTGTATCACACTGTCTAGGGCGCGGTTTCCTAATCCTATCTGTCCACACTGGTATATTTTTCTGGCACTATAGTGGTCCTTTAAGCAGGGTGACCCCGGCCATGACGCGGACCTCATTGCCAGCATGCTGACCACAGTGCGACATCAGTTACTGCCTTCCTATAAACCACCAGTGTGAGGGTTCTCTGGAATTCTGTTAAGTAATCACATGGTTTAACATCCAGTAAGCCTGCGCATGATAAGGGCCCACAGCAACTATGCATGGATTAAGCATTCTGCACATTCGGAGAAACAAACATATATAACCCCCTGCTAGCAGAGGGGAAAGAACAAGGCAATGCCAAAAGGTACCAATGGCTGTGACTCACCATCATTGCTGTGATCCATACTACCACATGACCAATGTCATAGGCATTGGTGAGCTGCCTCGGGAGCAATACCTGGCTGCTTCCCACAGGAAGATTAAGGTTTCGCAGGATCCTGGTGAAGATCTGAAGTTAAAAATAAAATATTAAGTTAACATAAAACTAACAAATGTTAGGTTCTAATGTGTGGGGTATACTGATAACTCTGGTTTAAGACACTTTAAAAAAAATAAAATAAAAAAATAAAACAACCCACTAGATTTGATATCAGAGCACCTAGGAAATAAGAAAATAGAGCTTGCATGAAAACACAATTTAGGCCGACAAAGCCAAACAATGACTAGAGCAGAGAATTGTTCCAAATCAGCACTTTCTGCAATGTATTGTGTATCATTGCTGGTATTTTCAAACGCCACTGCCAATTTTGGGTTTCACCGGAAAATGGTTTGCAACATAAGCAAACATTGAAACGAAATTACAAAAACTGAAAATAAAAGGTTCTCCACACCAAACATATAAATCATAATAAATGAGAGAGCCTTTCATAAGAAAAATACAATTACACTGAAATAACTCCTGCGCGACAGCAAAGACTATAATACAAAGCTCCAATACATACAATTAAAAAACAAAGACAAAAGAAAAGCGTTACTTTGGAGTAATACTAAAAACATCCAGTTATTTAAATAAGCGTAGGGATATGAGAATGCAAAAGCAACGCTTTTCTTTTCCAGGTAGACTTGGTAAAACAAGGCACAAAGAACATCGTAACAAGGTTTTATACAGCTACCTGTAAATGTAATCCTATGGATTTCAATTTACAAAATGTCGAGGGAAAAAAAGCGATTTACCTTTGGTACATAGGGATCCCAATCGATGTACCCAATATTGTCATTTGCCAATCGTGCAAAGAGACTGACCAGATGCTGCATAAAAACAAAACAGACAAAATGCTAGATCTGTAAATTTAAAACAAAATAAAAACAAAGTAAAAACCAAAGTGGATAAAAGAAAAATTTGACCTATGATATTTTTAAGAATTTAATCTGTAGGTTAAAGATACACTGCAGAGCCCTAAAACACTTCTGTAAGCTTAAATGCCTTAAGAGGTATCTGTGTGCCCCATTATTTAATGAAATTGCCTTTTTGCAAGAGAAATCAGCAGTTTTAGAAATACCCTTAGTAACGTTACAGCCGGAAGGGTTTTAAATGAGAACAGAGTCCTTCTCATACAGAGTTATTCTCACTACAGTGCAACTAGTCAGGAATTCAGTGCAAACTTTACAACCAAATTAGCTGAAATGGAAGTATAGCGGACATGAAGAAATTTTTCCCAATTTGGCTATTTGGACGTTTCACTTTTGAATTATTCGTAGAAAGCCGGGTAGCAGAAACAGTAAGTCCTGGGCTAAACCATTGTCTTCCAAATTGCTACATAGAATACAAAATGATTTCAGAATCAGTAGTTATTGCCTAGGGGTGCAGAAAAAAAAAAAAAACTCTTACAGTGTGTCACTTAACATAATCATGAAAGTTGACTATACAAATGATCCTTTAATACGTACCCCTTCCCACTGAGGAAGATTCTGTACGGAAACCCACAGAGCCAGTAATTCATCAAACCAAAGCCTGAAAAGGAATAAAATTAGAAAACATCAAATCCATAAAAATAAGCACAAAAAGAAAAACAGGAGACAGAATAGAGCACTGTAGTGGTTATGGTATTTGTTCCTCTTTGTATGACATTAACTTGAAGTGGACCAGTCAGCTCTGTTTAAGGTCAATCTAGTAGCTACATAATTAAACAGTATAAAACTGACAGTGTTACAGAATTTCTGTTTACCTCCTTAAGTCACCTACAGACATCAAACACGAGAGTCAGCCAGAGCACTTGATCTCAACGAAGTAGTGTGGGTGCAGTATTTTGTTTTGAAACTGCAATGTTTGCATTGCATGAGAAATCCACCGCTAAAAGCGGTCTTCCTGACAGCCACTATTTTATTTATTTATTACAGTCATTTTAAAGTGCAGACATTATGTAGCGCTGTACAATTCAGGTAGAACATACAATATTCACAGACCAAAAAAAAAGGTAAAGAGAGTTCCAGCCCATGAGCGGAGATCTAGCCATTGTTGGATTGCTTTTATACAAAGTGCTTAGTTAGATAGTCTGTAAGGCGTTCCACCTTTTGGGAATCATATGCTGGCGATAGTAGTATTTAATTGAAGGAGGGGGTGTCGGCTGCATATATGCATTTCAAATCCATTTCTTCTCTAGGAAAATAAATGGATTGGAGGTTATCGTGTGTGAGGTCAGCTTGGAGGTGGACATAACCAAAGGAGGAGCTGGAGGCTGCAGCAAAGGAGTCCCATCGCTAGAAATTAGGTGAGCAACAGAGTTTAAATTCTTCACTAGCAAAGTGGGGGGTAGACAGAGGGGAACCTCTTCACTTATAAGGCTCCAGTGAGTAGCTTTATTTTACTTCTTTTTTTACGGGATGCTGTAGCTTTAAATTTAATAATCAGCACGAACAGTGAGGCAGCCTGTTCCAAATGCTATATTTAAACGGCTTATCTACCACACAGTCATGCCTAGTTTCTTAGCAGGCTTAGTATGGGATGTAAAATGCTCCTTTCACTGCTAATACGGGTCGACTAGCAGCAATAGACAGTGTTGCACATTGTGGAAAAGAGGTTCAAAGTGTAACTGTGAATGGTGAGGAACAAGAGGAAAATAAAATACGGAGTTACGTGCATTTCTTGATGAGAAATTTTGAGTGCTTTTAAAAAAAAAAAAAAATACCCACAAAACAAAAAGTTTTGCAGACACCCTACGGATTTTTACGGGTTAAAACAAATAAGCAACAAATTTAGGAAGCTATGTTGGGTCAAACCGTTCACATCAATTAATGCTAAATTACACATTCAGTACATAAATACCCAAAACATTTGAATGATGTCCTTCAGACACCGACAGACTGAGAATGGAACCTGGATTTATATGGTATACCTTAGCTATGCAACTCACCTAAAACCTTTACAATGTAGGTCTGGAGGTAGTGAGGTAGGCAAGAACAATTCAAGATAACTAATGGCCTTCTGCATGGTTACATCAAAAGGGCACATTAAAGGCCGCCATTCTTCCAACATCTCTGCTGTTGCATTATCTGGAAAATAACTTTGAAAGGGACACAAGACATGTGTTAGTCGTCTTTCATGCAACCAGAAAAGCATTAAAGGGACACCAGATTCAACTATAGTCACCAAAAGACCCCCATTTTGGAAGAGTGCAGATTACAATAGAAATGGACACTTCTGAATTAACCTGGTTACACCCACCTTCCCTGTACGTCCTGGTTTGGCTAGCTCAAGAGGTAGCAATTGCCCAGATAACCTGCATTGCATAGACTACTCATGCTGCAAGTGTGACTAGGGCTGCATAAACACCGTGGTTTAACTCCTAAATGACAGAGGATTGAGCAGTGAGACTGCGGGGGCATGATCTATAAGCCAAAACTGCTTCATTAAGCTAAAACATCTTTTGGCGACTCTAGTGCCCCTTTAATACAAAGATTGTTTTACAATAATAACAGAAAAAGTGCTTTGGCAGAAAAGTAAAATAGATAAAAGGAACCTTTGTATTTTTCTCTAAAACTATGCAGTTTGTTCCCTTGTATCGAAGCAATGGTATGTTTGGCATTTCTTCAGCAAGCAGTGTTAATTTTAGAACTTGTTTTAGCCTTAATTCTGTAATTCACAAATTCTCAGTAATGCGCACTTTAGTCAGTAATTTTGCCGATTCATTTAATATAAAATTATAGATTAAAGTAACAGGTTAGCACACCGTTTTTAAAGGGTTAATACTGAAGTCTCGATTGAAATTTGGGTTTGATTTTTTTTTTTTTTTTACCCTGATCTGACACAAAGTGCTTCATCGACTTGTATAAAAAAAAATAAATAAAATAAATCAATCCAAAATTACATTTCAGAATGTGCAGTTGGGGATTAATAAAAACTAAAGCGATAGATTTTGAATTGTATTTTTTACTAGTTTTTATGTTTCTTAATACTTCCACTTGAGGAATTCCTGACTGCAATAGATAGACCGGATTATTCCCAATGTATGGAACACTGAGAAAATTTAAATTTCATATATTAGCCCAAATTATTCAAATTGTAAAAAAAAAAATCTTCAAATCAGCTGTCCGCTTTTTATGATTTTGCCCTAAAATTTGAAATTCACTTTGAATTTCCGACAAATAACTGTTTGAGCATACCAAATGGAATATCTACTCTGGTGGGAATGGACAAACCAGTATCCACTGCAGCCGGCAAGATTTCATTTTTTTACGGCTATGTCAGGGCATAGCGAGACTAAAAAAGAAATACACCTACTAGAATTTTGGCTAGCAAAAAGTTTAGAATAAAATGAAGTTAATCACAAATGGCCTCCACGACCTTATTGCAAGAATCAGTGCGTGTAATATTTAATTTTTACATAAATAAAAACTTACGGTCGACAGGCTTTCACTAAAGTCTTCAGGACCCCCTCCACAGCACTGTAAAAAGGAGGAAAATAAATAAATAAATTGAGTAAATCCAACATCCAATGTTTATAACGATCGTGTTCTAGAACCGCAATTAATTGTGAGCATGCAGCTTACAGTAACCCACAGACTGCCCACTAAGTATTGGTTGACGGAATATTAAAGGCTATGTTATACACACACACACCATTTTAGTAAAAATGGATAAATAATTTCTATTTAAAGTAGGAAAGAAATATATACTATTCTATTAAAAAAATTTTTTTTTAAAAATGGTCCAGTCTTTGAGATTTCACAAAGTATGAATGAAAGTCCACCGCTCTCCAGCTGTCCCATGAACTTGGAAAGCCAGTCAGCCATTGATACCCAACTTCACAGGCAGAATACAAGTTTAATAGGACAGTAATGTGTCAACTTAAAGAAAATTTACACAAAGGGGCTTACACACAGAATGAATTTACATGTGAAACCTATAAACACTACGATTTTTACTTTCATGGCTCTGGAACGTTTTACCTCAGATAGCACCAATTAGTTTATTCCCTAATCATTGACGTAAAAACATCAAAAATCTAATGGTTCCCATCATCTCTTATTGAAGGAATAAATGCGTCCCATCATTTCATGTACATACTTTATATTAAAAAAACAAAACAAAAAAACATGCATTTACATTAATATTAAATGACAAGGTAAAAGGAATAGCTGTGGGTTTTTTGTTTTTTTAAGCACAAACTTGCATTTGTTTAGGAACCCACATAGTGTATCTACTCTACATGATCCTGCAAGCAGACTAAACTGAATAGCTTCACACCAGTGGGGATCACCATTAATACATTTTGTGCCCACTTTGAAGTTTTGAAAATTGCATTTAAAAAGCTCCCAAATGCCATGTTTGGTACATTCATTTTTTTATTTATTTAAATGTTATTTTTCTACAGCCAGGCTATAACATTAATTGCAGGGTTCTAAGCGACACCTAGGCACTTTATGCACACAGTTAGGCTCTCACGCAGCAGAAAGCAGACACGCACTCAAGCTGCATTTGTGACGTAAACACTCCTCTCACCAGGATTACATTTAACACAGAAATCTTTAAGGCTTCATGCGAAAATAAAATATATTCAGATGCAGTTCTGTTCAAACTGTAAGTGTAATGTGTAACGTTAATACTGGCAAGTCTAACAGCAGACTTTAGAAGCAAATATTGTCAAAAGGCAGACCCCAGCTGTTAAACTACATCTCCCACAATGCTTTGTCAACTGTAAGAGCAGTTTGCTGGTCAATCTTGATTTATTGTGTCCATTAGCACCAAAAGGAATACAGTTCACAGCTGAATAATCTTATTATATAAGGAATAGTTCCCCATGCTGTATTATGTCTGAGGAATGCCACAAAATTAAACTTGAAAAATAAATATATATATATATAAATAACATATCACATCACAATTTTCACATAAGCAATGGAGAATGAAACAAAAAGAAGGTATTGGCTTACTTCTAACATAAAATTATAGCCATGTCCATTACATATACACACAGTACATATACATTTTACAGTTACACACACTAAGAGTGGATCATCGTCTCTTGTGCCGTTTCTCCCACGCACCTGAAGGGGTTAGAACTTCTTCAGTTACTCACCTGAAGCCAGGACCAATGTCCCTCAGCGCTGGGTCGAGCTCCGCCCAAGGCCACGCTCGCATTAGGATTTCCCCCATAGGAAAGCATTAATTAATTCATGCTTTTCTATGGGGAAAATCTGACGCTGGACCAAAAGTGTTTCAGTTCCAGAAGTCCCTCTAGTGGCTGTCTGGTAGACAGCCACTAGAGGAGGAGTTAACCCTGCAAGGTAATTATTGCAGTTTCTCAAAAACTGCAATAATTAGTATTGCAGGGTTAAGGGACATGGGGAATTGCACCCAGATCACTTTAATGAGCGAAGGTGGTCAGGGTGCCTACAGTATCCCTTTAACTCCTTAAATGGCAGAGAATTGAGCAGTGAGACTACAGGGGTATGATCTACACACAAAAACTGCTTCATAAAGCTAAAGGTCTTTTGGTGACTATAGTTGAATCTGGTGGCTAATTATGAAGTCTCAGAAACCAGAACTGGCATACATTTTTCCACAGTTGTATATAAAGCTATGAAGTAACGCATAGCATACTTTTCTCACTGAGTTTTATGAATGGGGATTGGCGGAGTGTACCAGCTAATTCTTTTAGCCTATTAGTGGCGCCCATCTGCAGAAGTTGCCATGTAAAGTGGATTGGTGCTAAACTGTTTGTTAATGGCATGCTGCTCTGAGGCCACGGGGTGTAGGTGAAGGTAGCTTTTACTTACGCGAATCCCCCCCTCCCTTTCTTTGAGTAACTGTGGAGTAAATGCAGTGTCTGAGATTTTAGGGAGCACTGCCAGAGTGTTAAGTCTACTTTGGTATGTTCATTGAGGGACAAAGATAGCAAATCAAGTTATACAAATGGAGTTGTTTGAAATAGGAAGACTTCAAACATTTTCACTGGGTCTTAGTAAAAAAACAAAAAAAAAAAAAACCTCCCCCCCCAAAAAACCAAAAGAAAAATTAAATCATATGGTAATACTACAGTAACTTGAAAGTGGTACACAGACACAAAACAAAAAACATAGATCAGAATTAAACAACTTCCTCATAACCTAGCAAAATAAATACAATTTTGCAACAGAACTGCAAATATGCATTAAGAGTTTGAGAATTTTATACCTGGATAAAGCATTAGAATTCAGAAAGATGCACTTATGTGAGGTATAGATTCTACATGTTGGGTATATGGCCAGCTGGCTCTTTAGTCAATTCAGCAGGAAAGGTAAATCAAATATTGGATGACCGTGATAAGGAAAAATAGGGAACAATAGAAATTTGCCATTTACCTTGGAACATTGAATCTCTACTTAAAGTGTAATTAAAGTGGATTAACCGCAATTATTAAAAGTTAAGGGTGCTGTGAACAGTATGGTCCTAAATGGTTTCAATAATGTGACAATCTGGTATAACGAGGCAGGATATGGAGATTCACCAGGTGAGCGGTGGGTACACCCCCAGGGGAAGCATATAATTAGGCTGATGCTATCCCTCTTAAAATCAGAATATTAACCCTAGACCCAATGTCCAAACCAAATATGGGTCTGTTTTTTAGTGGGTCCCAAATGGTCACTAACAGGCAAATCATGTTCATCAAAACCCAGACAACAGCCCACAATAAGTAGAAAGTATAGGCCAATTTCACAATTAAATACATGGGTGGCCAACATAAAGCCATGTTCTGGTTTGGTCCCTGATGGGGAGGAGGGTGGGAGGGGGAGAAGAAAGTGGTCAAGAACCTTCCTTAAACTGGCATCCCTGGTGAATCTCCTATACATCTCTTCTATCGTATTGCACTCTGTGTAAACCACCTGTAAGCCAACGGGTACCAGTGGCAATCCTATTAATATGATTACACATGCAGAAAATCAGCCAAAAATAAAACAAAGATCTCCTTACCACCTATGTAAAACATTAAGCAAAACTGTTTTAGTGGAGGACAAGCCTTGATGACTTGAACTGAATATGGAAATGGAAACAAAAACAACAAAAAAATACAAATCATGATATGAGAAAACAAAAATGTCAGGTTACCCAAGACATGAAAGCATGAAGAGCTGGGAGTAAACATGGAGTCCATCTAGATAAATCTAGGACATTACGCTAAACAGAGCGGCCGTATAAAAATGCACAAATAAAGTTATTTAACTGGATACAATTGTGATTGTTATAATGAAATTCCCATCACGGTTGGTCTCTAAAGGCAGGACAAAAGATCAGAGAAAAAAAAAAAAATAAAGAAGAATTTATTTATATGGTATAACAGCCAGTCATTACTGCACATAATGGTTACATCAATCCCTGGATCTTTATAGCTCAGTGGATTTTACATTCATACATAGGGCTGCCCTGATGTCCATCCATGTCTGTCTCGCTAGACACTGGCTCAAATCTGCCTCTTACTATTGCTTTGCATTCCAAGTTCAAACTGTCCTTTAAAACATGAAACCTGGATTTTGCACTACTTTGACACATCTCGGATCAGAGGCAAGTTTCATATTGCATTTAGTGGTTCCCTGAAACTCCTCTTCCTTAATCTTTGTAATCGTGCCAGAAGCCACATATACACTGTAGTGGCATTGAATGTCCATTTTCAATGTGATTATGTCACAAGGCCTTTAGGTTACCATTTCCCCCCCATTGTGTTGACATGTTTACATTTTATAAAACACTACATTGCTGGCTAGTTACACCTCTAGTGGCAGTCACTCAGGCGGCCACTAGAGGCACTTCCTGTATCCATGTTTTCCAAGCTCTGCATGGAGGCGTAGAGATGCTGATCGGCTCAGCCAATGTTTTGCTGCGCACGTGTAAGCCTCCCACTGCTTTTAAAATGGATAATCTCTGGAGCAAACGTGAAGTAAACTCATCTTTAATGTCTAGAGGGAAGGGGGGCAGGGACTGTAGTGCTGCATTTCAGCACTATGGTATCAGTACCACAGGCTTGTATTCCTGGCACTATAGTGTTCCTATAAAGTTGTTTGCAACGTCTCTATCCAGTAATTCCTTCTCTGGAAATTACATAACTGAACAAAATACTTATGCTAATTTTTTCCTGTGAGGTTCTATTTTTGTTTTAAAGTGTTAAAAGCTTTAGCAAAATCACATCAACATTCAGTGCATTCCAGGCACAGTCAGTGTACACAATGCAAATCATGTAAAGAAACAAATGCATTATTTGTAGTACTCTCTCTCTCTATGCTACTACCAGGTAGAAAGGGCACAGTTTATAACAATGACTGACAGGGAGCAAAGATGTATGCGCTCAGTTCCAGGACAGAGGTTAACCCATGGGAAAAGTTCTACATAAATTAACTTCACACCTTACATACATGTAAAATACAAGGGATAAGTCAACAGAATATCAGAAATTCTGGAAAGGAACAGTTCCACTTTAATCTATGCAGAGTGCATAATAAAAAAAAAAAAAAAAAAAACCTTGAAGTTTCAAATGGTCTAAAAGTGATGAAGGCTGTGATGTCTGTTTCAACAATGAGCCTGGTTACATGCATGTCATTTATCTAGAGAGGAAAAAAATATAAATATACAACTAAAGCAACGGAATCTCAGGAGATGTCATTTCAAATAGGAAGTTCCTTTCTTCATTCATGGACTCAGACAATTACAAGATCACCAATGACTAATTAGCAGTTTTAATAAAAAATAAAAAAAATAATCAGTGCATATTGCAAGCAGCAACATTTTGACCACTTAAAACCGCTATTCAGTCATCCTCGAGTGCCTTGACCATTTTGGCTATTCGACATACGTATGGGGTTTGCCAGGCTCGGTCTAATGTTGCACCCTGTAGAGATAACTTTGAAAAGTGCAGAAGCAGCTCTTAAAACAAGACTTTTTTTCCATTCCAGAAAAGAGCGGAATAGTATTTGTGTGCAACATGGTCACATCCCATATACCCACTGTTGACACTACATTTGATAGGTTTAGACTCTATAGTCTTACAAACGCAACACTTTCACAAGCGTTCATGTTGAGACATGTCACCCAGGTCTGTCGAGCCATTTTACACTATAGGGTCAGGAACACAAACGTATGCCTGACCCTAGTACTGTTAATGACTATTTAACCACCTGCCTCCCCTCCCCCCCCCCCATTAGAAAATGTCAAAACTTACCTTTTTCTGGCCCTGACCCCAACTTGCCTCTTTGGTGGACATCAGAATTGATCATCTCAGCCCATAGGGAAAGCACTGGACTGGCTGAGATCGTCAAGGAGGCGGAGTGGGTGCCGGACCAAACACTGGCCAAGCCAAATCAGCACCTCCTCATAGAGATGCATTAAATCAATACATCTCTATAAAGAAAGTTCAAAGTATCCAGGCAGAGCGTGGAGACACTGCAGCAGGAAGTTCCTCAAGTAGCCATCTGTAATGTACATCCTGCCTTTTCTCTAAAAACAGTCCCTGCAGGCATTTTCATGCAAACACGGTCTATACTCCCCAGAACAACTACAATGAGCGGACATTGTTCTGGCAACTATAGTATCCCTTTAAGCAGAAGCAGATGGAATAAACTGCTGGAATCCCAAGATATACTGTGTATTGCGATTGCTCCTGACAACTTGCATGAATGCAAGGGGTTAACAGATGTGAACTAAAGTACCAGCAAGAGCCAGTGGGAGGTTTCAGTGCTATTTTTATTTTGCGCCGCATTGTGCAGGTTTACAGCTATAGCGGCTGCATGGAACATCTCTTTACAGATTAATCAATGTCATTTTTATTAATCTAAGTGCACAGCAGCGGCGATCATTAAATAGGCTGCGCCGTCATGTGCCTTGAGCTCTGTAGTTAGGGAAAACAGAGCAATACATTTCTGTCAAGGTTTGCCTTACTTTATGTGAGACTTCTCTAGTGAGGAAGTTAAATTAACTTCAGGAACACTGCATGGGGCCAACTGAAGTCTAAAAAGGTAAAGTGGAATTGAGTGGTATCTAAAATTTAGGAAATTCATACGAAAGGAATATAAATGCTTCTGCACGTCAGTGGTCCATCAATATGATTCACCAGACAAGCTGTATTTGTTCTTTAAGGGACCCTCCAAGCAAAGCAATGTGTACGTCTGTACCGGCTATGGTGCAAGAAGCCACCGTTTCTCCTGAATTACGATTGAAGCAGCAATTTAAAACTGTTTAAAGGGGCAGCATGCATATTCTTGTCACATTCGATCCAGTGCCATCATGTCCTTTGCTTTGTGGGTGTTAATCTTCTGTAGTATCCACCAGTAGTCTCATTTTTTCCTGCTTGAGGACGCTTCCCCAACCAGGTTAAAACTCCTATGTAGCGGACACCTCCACCCATGCACAACCTAGCTAGGGCTAGTGGCATTGGCTATGAGGTTACCACAGCAACCACATATGCGGCTTTTTAGAAAGCTAGTACAGTGCTAGAACGCCAACCCAGGTAAAGCCTTCTTCACACAAATTTACTTAATCCTTAAAAAAAATAAAAAGTCCCTTTCCAATCTTTTGGAAAGCAAAGAAAAAAAAAAAAATATTAGTCATGCTGCGCAAGTTAAGAACAATTTGAAATAAAATTCTCCAACGCCAAAAGTGAAAACAATTTTTTAAAATTAATTCTCGGTCTGGTTTTCAAATCCTGAAAATATCAATTTGAAATATATATTTCTTACTCCTAAAAGGACTTTTTTTACCCTGCTTTTCTGAGGCGAGTTATCAGAAAAAGGTCTGAACATTAATCGATAGCCTCAGATCATTCTGCCTACCAAGCTGCTCGGTATACAACGGAGGCTAGAAATAGATCCACAGAGCCTCCATGACAATATTTTTAGGGCAAAATAAGTTTGACATTTGAAAGTAGGTAATAACAGAGAGCGCAGTGTGGTATTATCACTAGCTTAGAAAGTTACAAAGTTTTTTTGCTCCCAGGAAAACAAATTAAAAAAAAATAAATAAATTCAAGTTTCACTTTATATGCTCTAGAGACATTGAATAGCCCAATCGGAATTACAAACCAGAAGAACGGATTTCACTTACCTGGGAAACCAATTGAGGCCAAGGTGTTCTGTTTTAGAGTACAATATTCTCTCCAATATGTCATAGAGTGGCCTCCAGGGTAACTGCAAATCCTCTCTCGAAAGAAGCTCTTTCTTCCTAGAATTGGTGTAGGGTGAAGTGTTAACTTCAGGTACAAGTATATCCCATTTTCTATTACATAAACTCACTACCATCTAGAAAGGATTTAAATGCAGCAAGTAGATCATAAGGTAGAAGGAGAGAAATGATTACAGAGACAGACAGGCTAAGAAATGCACTAAAAAATATACGATACGTTTTCTTTAAGGAGATTAAACCACAACTATCAAGACATGGCATATGAGGGGAGGGGAGGGGGAAAAAAAATATGCATAAACATTTTCTACAAAGGGATTGCAAAATGCATTTTCATATTACTTCTCAGAGATGTGGGAGTTACATATAACTATAGCCTTCATCTTAGAGTACACAACTAAATAGGCACATCTTTGAAATGGAAGGCGAGAAGGAAAAAAAGCCTAGCTGATCCTACAGCTTGTATCATCTGTTATTTAGAAGCAAATTCCCCAAGGTAAAGTTGTAGCAAGAAGTCGTTTGCCTTTTCAGCAAAGTTCAGCCAACAATTCTGCTTTCTTGAGATTTGTTAGAAAAAAAAACTAAATCTCCAAGTTTATTTGAGCAATCACATTCCTTGACATTTTTAATTTACTTCTAATACCTATACAGGTTTTCATTAGGGATAGATCTAAAAACAGCTTGCCAATGTATTTCTCCTTTTCTAACCCCACCCAGACTTTGGATGTCTCTCCAATCACAGCTCCCCAATGCAGCTCAATGATTAGCGCATTTAGAACGATCAACACTTGGTATGTGTAGTTGCTAAAGTGCTAATTGCCGGTAGAGATTAAAAGTGTATTAAAAATTAAAAAATAAATAATGATGCACTTACATGTCCCTATTTCAGCTGCACTTCCCCAGCCAGCCAGCAGAGAGCTGTGCAGAGACCAAGACCAGGCTCCACCTATCAGGAGCCTCATTCTTCTGTCGGGTGTCTAACATTAGCTGAGCTACCAACAGCAGCTCCGTTAATTAAATCTGTATCATGGGTGCCATCAGCGTAACAGGAGCTGAATTGAAAACTACACGATGCAGCCCCTACTCAGGACACAGCTGGGATCTTTAGGGCGAAGTATGACACATATGAAAATATAGCAATTTGCTGCTCTACTGAAACAGATTTTGCTACATTTGAATATGAATGTTATTCGCCTCAGGCCTGCCTTTCAGTCTGTGTAGTGAAAGGTGATAAAAGGAATGGTCTCTCACTTACTTTAATAGGTTTATTAGCAAACGTGCAAATCCATGCATCATACTGATTTCCAGTTTTGGGATAGTCACCATCTCGTACAACAGCTTGACAAAAAGCACATGGTCTTCTTTACTGAACTTCCGTCCATAGAGTCGAATATACCTAGAAAAGAACACACAACGCCATGAAAAAGCAGATTCATGCAGAACAGGTTTACAACGATTAGGTTTCTAGTATAAAAAGTACCACGCACACAAACACACTACTGTACATGAGCGATAATTACTCTAAGTAAATGCAAACTTCAAGTACAATACATTTCCCATGGTGCTAAATCAGCAGCCAGGCTGACCCATCATTGGGAATCTAATTCAGAATAACTGCACGTGGCAAAGAGAAATACAGCTGTGCCATCAGAACATGTTACTCTCCAGAAATGCAAATTCTATACCATCAGGTAAAAGGCATTATGGGGTTTTATTGTGCATTGTCAATGCTGTAACTGTAATCCTGACTACACTTTACATGCAGAGTATGCAAGACACAGCAACACATCCAGGGTTATTCCCGAATGTGAGAATTCACATTAAATCTCAAATTGAAAAAGACACGACTTTAGCTTAAAGGGATACTATAGTGTCAGGAATACAAAGCTGGATACCTGGCACCATCGCTCCCTGTGCCTCCCCCCTCCCATGTGGTCCCGCATGTAAATAAAAGGGTTACAAACTTTTTAGTTCCTTAACTGAAGCCAGCACCGATGTCCCTCGGTGCTGGGTTTGCACTCTGCCCCCTCTGACGTACTGCAAGGAGCAGGTGCTAATGTGCATGCGCGGCAAATGCCATGCGCGTATTAGACCTCCCAATAGGAAAGCACAGAATCAATGCTTTCCTATGGGAAAAAAAAAAAAATCTGTGCAGTGTCAAATACCAGACCAAAAGGTTTGTTTCAATCAAGAAAGCACCCACCCAGTGACCACTGAAGTCAGACTTTGAGCTGCAATGTAAACATTGCACTAGGTACCCTGCAGCCAAACCACTTCAATGAACAGTGTCCCTTTAATGAAGCAGTTTGGGTGTATAGGCCATGCATCGGAGGAATTTACTTCTACATTTGAATGCACATAGCATTCCTTCAAGGACAGTATAGCCGAATTGAAAGAATAACGGACAGAGATTTATTTTCCAATCACCTCTTTTGGCCTTCAATTTGAAATTCACTTTGATTTCTCACTTTTGTAAAATAACCCAAATATGGTCTCCATATTGCATTTTGAAATAAAATTCTCTGCATTAAAAAGGATCTCTCCAAAAGCTAAAACAGACAATCATATGCTTTAAACAAATTGATATTTGTCCCATTATGATCCAACAGCTGAAAACTAGAAACATCCCATGCCCTAGAATACCTAGTTTAAAATGTAAAGTACTAATATATCTGCTAATATTGCTGATCCATATATATATATGGGGGTATACAAGAAATTGTAAAACCAGATTTTGCAAATATTTTATACATCATTTAAAAAAATAAAGGGAAACAGGAACTTGTCAAATGGAATGGTGTAGCTTTATGGGAGGTTTATCATATGTCTTAGGATTAGAGTAAGTGTTCTTTAAATATAATTGCTTATAATAAGAAGCACCTTGCTAACCAACAGCCCTGAAAATATACAATTTTCAATAAGTGTCGGTGCTGAAACAAGAGATGCTGTCCACAGTTAGTCAGCAATGCAACAATAGAAAGTTGCCAGAAGCAGGTACAAAACTTATTAGAGTGAATGCGTGCAAATAAATAAATATATATATATATATATATATATATATATATATATATAAATAAATAAATAAATAAAACACAAGCTTTTCTTCCTGCAGGATTTTCCATTGAAAGAAATCCTGTTTAAGGTGTAAACATCCCTTATGAACAATAAAATAAGCCAATAAGATTAGTTTTAACAAGCATACATGAAGCAGAATACAGTGTGGGCCAATATGCCCTTCAGCACGTCTGGGAACTACGTGTCTGTTTAACATGTAAAGCTCAGTGCTAGATAACAAACAGTGCTGAGCTTTACCAAGAGATCACACTCTAAAGATGGAAGTGGTAAGCTCAGAAGGAATGGGTAGAAGAACCATAGTCAAATGGGCTATTAACATACAAATAAGTCCCTCATACAGGCAAAACCAGGGCAACAGAACAAACACATTCAACCAAGAATACACAAAACACTAAATTATGTCCCTGAGTTACGGGTTAACATATTAAACAAAGTAATCGGAAAGAAACAGTCATATCCACAGGGGTATCCTGGTACCCAGCTAGTACTACACATACAGAGGGAAGGTGAACAGCCTAGTCGCCACATCCCCTAAAGCGATTTGGAGCCCTCTTTGAAATCGGTGTTAATTTTGCATTCCATGGCTGATTTATTGTGTACAGTAGAACGTTTAGCAGCATCTTCATCTAGATTTGCCGGACGAGAGGTGTCCAGTGTTACAGTGGGATTGAGGATACAAAGTCTTTACATTCTAACAAGGATTATTTCAGTATAGCAAAAATGATCCACATCATCCAGCTATCCACACAGAAGTAGGTGCAAATGACTAAACAAAACGAATAATGAAAAAAAGGTCTCAGTAGTTATACATAAGTATACACAGAGTTATTCACCAACATGACAATTCAAAGTGAAAGTTTAAGTAGTTGAACTGTAAGCATATCTGACTGATATATTGGCCTTAAAATCTGAATATTCACTTTGAATTCTCATTTTAACGAAAAACACGGATAGCTATAATGGGCAATGGCAACCACAGATTACTGTGGTAAAATAAAAATAAAAAAAAATAATATAAATATACAAACACACACACACACACACACACACACACACACTTTGAGAAAAGGCAGTGTTTACATTGCTGCCTAGGTACACTTTCATTGGCAGACAGACAGCCCCTAGAGGTGCAGAACTCTGCATAGAGACACTGCACTTTCCCTATAGAGATGCATAGATTCAATGCATCCCTATGAGGAGATCAGAATTGACACTCTCAGCCAATACAATGCTTTCCCATAGGATTTTTTTATGTCAGCCAAGGAGGGTGATTGGGGCAGAGCCATCGCTGGCATTCCCACGTAGCACTGGAATTAAGGTTTAACATTAAATACATATACACATAACTCACACAGAGACATGTACATACTAGTATGGGGGGGGGAGGGGGGAATAAACAGATGGGTAAAAATTCAATAAGTGCAACATTAAATATTTACTAAACTATAAATATAACAGGAGTATAAATTTGTTGTTTTAAAACTGACTGCCTTCAAATATACATTAACTATTTAAATAATTAGCAATACGTCTAAAGCATCAAAAGGCTGAACTCAAAAAAAAAAAAAATTCAAAAAAGAAAAGAAAGGATTAGCGCATTGCAGAAAGCTGACACTGTCTGCAGGACTTTCTACAGACAGGTAAAAGCAAGAAAGCATGCAGGCTACATGTTATTTCATCTCAAATTGTTAAATCACTAAACTGAACTGCAAGGATGTGAAAACCGAACTGTAAAATTTAGACAAAAAGAGCAAATTTGTTAAAATTCTCCAGCCAAGCTATAGTTAAAAAAAAAATAAATAAATTTAAAAAAAAGAGTCTGCATTCGCATACTCAAACATAGCAGACACGCCGTCAGAGACAGCCAATTACAGACCAAGAAGGGTTATTTAAACCCAAATTACCTTTTTTTTGTCAGTGCCCTGTCGTGGTTTCCCTTTGCTTGTTATCCGAGAGAGTGTTTCTGATCATATTATTTCTGGTATTTGACTTTGGCTTCGTTTTGGACTTTACTGATTTTTGGTATCCTTGACTTTTGGCTTTCCCTCATCGTGTCTCATTCGGTTTCCCTAACCTCGGCAAGAGGTTTGACTATTCTGCAGTACATTAGGTCCGGCGAGACGTTACCCTTAGTCTTTGGTGTGATACTATTTCTGCATGCTGGATCAACTAGTAATCCTGACACTTTGTGAATAAACCCAAGATAGATGGTCAAACATTCCCAGCACTTTAACTACAACAACAAAAAATTCTCAGGTTTCCAACTGTACATGTCTGATGATTTTACACTTTTTTTTTTTTTAAATCACTTAAAATGTTACCATACAAACATTTCCAACATTATTCTATTATCTTGTGATAACATTGTTGTATTACCCACCGTCCCCAAATGTTTTGTCTCTTGCGATCCCACACGAAAAACGTCTGCCCAAACTCTAAACATAGAATCTGTACTAGCAAACACACCAGTTCACCAAATAACCACAAAGTAAGACCATGGGAAGCTTCATACATAACTTCTAAACATCTAACTTTTATATAATCATGTATTAACTGCTGTGTGGCTCATAATTCCACCACTCACATCATCATTCAAAATGTTTTTCGAAGAAAAATAAAAGAAAAGCGTATTTACCCCCTATGCAAGTGAGGGACCATAAACTGAAACAGGTACAGAACATGCAGCAAGCAGAATGCAATCACATCAGTTTGAATGATTATCTAAAAAATATATCGGCATGTGGTATTGCCAAACTAAATGAAAGGGGGTGAAAAGGTGCCAATGTTCCAGGTTCACAACACTGTTTGACCATTAACTTCACAGCGTATTCGATACAAAGACATAAAAGAGCAAATAACAGGCTTATCGAAAGTTAGAATGTCGCCCTCCCACACTACTTTTAGACCATTAATCTGAATGAACATAAAAACAACTAAACAAATTACACAAAAAAAAAAAAAAAAAGTAAACTGCCCACACATAATTATTAAATTGATGGAAGACTAGTGCATGTAGGACATGACAAAACATGGCTGTTCGCGTGTAGCTTGTACTAATGAAGAATAACGATTCCAGCAGCAGAAAGCCTCGAACAGTGTGATTTACGGCAATTTATAACTTAATTACGTTTTATTTTCCCTTTGTTCCTGGACTTTGCAGGATGTGGGCATTTGTCTAAACCGAGTGGATACTGTGAAGCCATGTATATTATTGATCCAATGTATCTCTATGAGGACATGCAGACTGGCAAAGTGTGGGAATTTGCCAAATATGTGCAATAGCCTCCCAAAGGAAAAGCATTAGATTGGCTGAGATCAAGATTGAGGTCTCAGCCATAGGGGAAATTAAGAAAAGTTAAGTTTCAACATGATCTGAGGGGGGCCTATAGTGTTAGTTTAACACTATAGTCTTAGGAATACAGGTTTGAATTCCTGACACTATAGTGTTCTTTTAATGTTGCATAAGTTACTTGACTTCTTAAAGAGGACTTGCTGGTCCCAAGTAATTGGAAGATGTACTTACTAGATATTTAGCAAGACTATGCTTTGATGCAGGGCTCGACAAATCCCAGGCGCCTGGGATTTGTCTGCCCTTTAGTGGGCGGCCAGCTTGGGAAGCATAGTAGTCGGCTGCACTTTCTCGGAGGCATGGATGCGGTCGGCTAAGGGAGCATTGGAGCTGCCCGGCTAGCCAACTGCCCCAGGGCGTATCATGGTGATAGGAAAAGATGGCGCGCGAGAAAGCTGTGATCTTCCTGGATCTCCTCTCTGCTCCCTCGTGCCATTTATTGATGTCGAGTACAAGAAAATGTAGTCATTCCAGCCTCGGCATCACTAGATGTAGCAAAGAGGAGCTGCAGGTGGATTACTACTTTCTCGTAAGCAAAAAGATACAGCAGTCCCACTGGACCCCAGGCAAAGATCCACTCAGCTCTCTCAAAAGGTAGGGAGGCTGGGTGGATTATATTTAAAAATGTAAGGATAAGTGTGTGTGTCTGTATATGTCTGTCAGTATTCGTCTGTTTAGGTATCTGCCCCCCTCTGAACAAATTAGGTGGTTTTACTCACCGGTTTCCCCCCCACACCGTACCGGTTGCCAATTAAATCCTATCAACCAGATTATTAATTACTACAGATAACTGCAACTACAGATATTACAGTAGTAAACTACAAGTAAAAATGGTAACATTGTAATAGGAAATTAATATGTAGTAAAAAGGTGGAAGGAATCCAATTAGGTATCTTCTGAATCCCAGTCCATACCTTAAAGCTGCAATTTTTAAATGCAGATTCTTTATTGCAAAGATGGAAGTTAATAGACAGTTTAAATGGATAATAAACTGTGCGAATTCAGGTTACATCTTGTAATAGTGTTGTTCTCTCAAATCGGTAAAAGGGGCAATATAGTGTCAGGAACACAAACGTGTATCCCTGACACTATAGTTCTAAGATCACTATTTAGGCCAAGCATAGGCAACCTTCGGCACAGATGTTTTGGTCTACACCTCCCATGATGCTTTACCAGCATTATGGGTGTAACAGCATTATGGGGGATGTAGTCCACAACATCTGGCGTGCCAAAGATTGCCTATCCCTGATTTAGGCAGTCAGGAGTTTTAAAGCAGGTTGTAACAAAATGCCTTTTGACACTGGAATTTTTTTTATTTTATTTTTTTTATGTTGCTTTATTGCTTTTTCATAACATAACAGTAGAAGCACAGTAACATACAGGCATTATTATACAATAGTACACGCTGTCTCCACGTATGTTTGTATGCTAATATGGCACTCTGTGAGTCTAATTGTGGCGAAATCAGGTAGCGAGTGTGAGAGTTGGCCGTTCTTCTCAAACGTCATTCTCAGTGAGCCGAGATCCCTCCCACCATTGAGGGGTACCCTTGCCTTACTTCCTCTGTCTCTTGCCTTCGTTAGGCTATCGAGGTTACCCCATTGTGTGAATCGTAGGGTCAGTGTTTCAGCCTACTGGTAGCGTCTGGGTCAGTACAGTCGTTGGTACACCCCACTAGGTTGTGTAGTCTTACATTCGGTGTGTCTAGTCAGTGTGTTGTGTCCTAGGACGTGCGGAATATGCTCGTTAGATCATTGTGTAAGGGCACCTGCTGTCGCTTATGTTGTTATAAGGTGTCTAGAGTAGATAGCCGCCTAGTACTCCCGGCTCATTGTCTGGGCTGGATAGGTTTTCACTGGGCGCTGAAGGGGTGTTCGTAGCGTCCCGGGCAGGTCTGTTTCCTGCCGTTATTCTTTCATACCCCTTTTGTGTCAGTAGTCCTGGTCCGTATCCCACTCGTCCCCCCAGGTCCCTTTGTCATATGGTTTTGCCCCACTGTTTTGGGGCGGGTGCCTAAGTATGTAGGCTATGGTGTTCGGGTTCTCAGAGGGTGCTGATCACCACCTCCGTGGTGGCAGCTGGCTCCTCTGTGGGTAATGTGGGCCCCCGGTGTACCGTCCATTTGCCAAACCTGCGCCCCCCTCCTCCCATCGCCTCCCCTCCTATTGGGTGTTTGGGGTTCGGGTATCTGCGTCTGTGGTTCAGGCCATGTTTCGTGGTCCAGGGCGTCCGTGTGTGAGGTGGCCATGCGGGGCAGTCGGTTAGGTGTAGTTTGTTCTGGGGGTGCCCTGGTGTCGTGTTGCTCGTATTTTAGGCCTCATGCAAGCTCCCGGTCTCCTCCCCTAAGTCTGATCAGCTGTATTTGTGTGTGTAGTCTGATAGTTGTCGGGTCTTGGTGGCACCACACCCCTCCACCCAGGCCAGGTCCCCCGTCCCGCCCCAGCAAGCCCCGGCCCAAGGCCCCACGCGGTCCACCTACCGCCTGGCCATGTAGAGAATCCAGGAAGTCCAGCACTGTTGGTATTTTTCCATGTTGTCTCGCAGGGCTGCCGTTAGTCTTTCCATCTCGTGAAGTTCCTCCACCTTATCCATCCACTGCCTGAGGGTGGGTACCTGCGTCGACTTCCATCTGCTAGGAATCAGGAGTTCCGCCACATTGAGAAGGTGTTTTGTTAGAGACTTCTTGTATTGTGAGAGAGGCATCGGGGTATGGTGGAGCAGCATTGGGAGCAGTTGGAACAGGAGGTCGGTGTCCAGCACCTCCCGGATTGTTTCGTAAATTTTTCGCCAAAACGGTGCTATCTTGCTGCAGGACCACCAGATGTGCAGGTCCGTCCCCCTCCACATCTCCAGCACCTCGGGAGGCATGCGGTGTAGCCGCACCGGGGTACAGTACCATCCTATGAGCAGTTTGTAGTTTAGCTCCTGCAGTTTTGAGCATATGGAGCTTTGGTGCGTCAGGATGTATATTTGTGTGTCCACTGAGCTCAGTTCCCGTCTCTCCCTCCCATCGGGCCGCGTGTTTCGCGGGTTCCAGCGGGACCGAAGACCTGAGGATTGTGTACAGAACCGAGATCCCGTGAGGGACGTGCGAGCCTGCTCTGCAAAGCTCTTCAAAGCTGGTGAGGGGTCTATGGAAAAGGTGTTTTCCAGTTTGGGCATTGTAGAAGGTCTTGATTTGGAAATATCAGTACCTATCAGACATCTGTTTAAATGTGGCTGCATCGCACCATTGATGCATATGGGTCCGGTCCGCGCCCCCAAAAGGCGGCCACGTCCTTGGGCCGAGTCCGCCAGCCACCTCCGGGTTGTACGTCACTGGTGTCATTGGTCCCGGGAGCATGGTAAGCGAGAGCTTCGTCCGTATCATACCCCATGTCTTCAGTGTGGCTCCGATGAGTGGGTGGTTGAGAGCCGGCGTGTCCCTTGTTGGTCCATACCTCCACACCATCGCTGGGATCGCCCCCTCCATCTGTGCTCTCTCCATGAGTATCCAGTGCTTGGGCGAGTGTGATATGTGCCATTCCACGATGCTTAGCAAGTGTGCTGCCCTGTGGTAGGTCCTCAGGAGCGGGGCGAAATTAAGGGTATATAGTTGGGATAGATCCGTCGGTAACCAGATACCTAGATATTTCAGCTTGGTCGTGCACCAGGAGAAAGAGAACTGCGTGCGTAAGTGGGAAGCCGCCCCGGGCTCGGCTGAGATGAGCATTGCGTCTGATTTATCGGTGTTTAGCTTCAGATTCGATATTTGTCCATATTCCTTGAAGGCTTGTAACAGGTTCGGGAGGGACACCAATGGGTTGCTGATGAAAAATAGCATGTCATCGGCATAGGCTGCTATCTTATGGGTCGTGCCCTTCAGGGCAAACCCCGAGACACCCCCGTCTCGTCTGACCGCCCCCAGGGAGAAGGCAAACAGGAGGGGGGAGAGCGGGCACCCCGCCTCGTCCCGTTTCGAATCTGGAACGGTGGCGATAGAGCCCCGTTGATCCGTATCCTGGCACTCGGATGTGTGTATAGCGATGTAATCCATGCCATTAGGTAGGGGCCGAACCCCATCCTCTCCAAGGTGGCCGTCATGTACTGCCAGTCCACGCGGTCAAACGCCTTCTCCGCATCAGTGGAGAGGAGAAGGGTCTGCTGTTTCCGTTTCTTCACCACATGAATGAGATTCAATGCTCTGGTGGTATTGTCCCTCGCCTCCCTCCCCGGGATGAAGCCCACCTGGTCCGGGTCCACCAGTTCCAGGAGGATCCCCCTCAGACGTGTGGCCAGGACCTTGGTGAACAGCTTCAAGTCTGCATTCAGGAGGGATATTGGTCTATAGCTCACGCAGTTCGTGGGGTCCCTCCCCTCCTTCGGTATTACTGCCACAGTCGCCATTAGGGAGTCTCTGGGGAACACGCCTCCGTCTCATACAGAGTTTATGCCCTTCAGAAATTGTGACAAGAGCACATCTCCGAACTCCTTAAGGTAGCGGACCGGTAGGCCATCCGGGCCTGGGGCTTTGTTCAATTTGGAGGACTTTAGGGCTGCCTGTAATTTTGTGAGAGTGATGGGTGCCTCTAACTGTGAGAGTGATGGGTGCTTTCGTGTCGCTCAGGGTCTTCTCCACATGCTGTTGTAGATAAGACGTACAGGTCTGCGTAGTATTTATGGAATTCTTCCGTGATTTTGTCCGGTAGTTGGGTTGCCGGTCTTTCTTTGGGTTTAATTTTGGCGATATGGCTCATGCGCCGTTGTTTCTGGAGTGTTCTAGCAAGGAGCCGACCGCATTTATTCGAATATTCATAAAAGAAGCGGCCAGATTTAAGAATCGTGTGTTGTAGCTTTTGTGTTAGGAGGTCTTTAAGAGTTCTCCTAGTTTCCAGGAGGGCTCTGTAGGTGTCATCCGTCTGGGCTGTTTTGTGTTTGCCCTCCAGCTCCTCCAGCCTCAGGTCTGCCATTTGTCTCTGTCGCTCTCTCTTCCTCTGCGTGCAGATAGGTTGAATGTGGGGGTTCTGTTAAGTATAATAGGAATCATGTATTTTTACTGTTGTTGTGAATAAAGACATTTTCTGTATGCTGGAGGTAATTGGCTTACCACACCCAAGCCATGCTTGCAGGTGGTCACAAAGGGACTTTCAACTAACTTTTGACCCACTGGACCAATTTGTATGATTTTGACGTATGTTTGTATTTGGAGTATGCAAATTCTGAAAAAGTTTTATGTGAATGTAATGTATACTTTTAGAGTTATGCATATTGTGTAAAACTGTATTTTCCTGCCTGTGATAATTAAGTTAGACCATTGTGTTCAGTAATTATATCACAGGCAGAGGGGAGGATTTTGTGTGGGAGTGTCTGAGTGTATTGTACGTATTGATTGGTTGTATTTCAAAACCCTGTGGGCAATACTATGTTTGTAGAATGTGAATAAAAGAGGCTGCATGTGCCAGTACAGTCAGTTCTACTTCACCCTCAATCTGAGTCCTGTCTCTTATTGGGGGAATCTGCTACAAGGGATTGCTATGCTCTGCATATGCCCTTGCTATAATCACTGAGCTCTTGTAAGAGCTTGTTCCTGTCTTGCTCTCTGAAGGAGTCTACGGTGGTTATGGTGTCGGCTGGAGTGCTTGGAGCCCTCAGGAAGCGCTAGGAGCATCCTTCAACGGAAGTACCCAGTCGGGGTGCCAGGTGATCCGTTACATGGGTATTTTAGCAAAATCACTTTGTACTCAAAATAGATCAGTGTAGTGGTTATGTTGATACGATTATCTGAATGCAGTTCCCTAGATTTCTGCCAAACCACTTAGGAAGGGTTTGACAAAATAAACAAAGAGTACGCAAACAGAAAGAGGGGAATTATGGTTATACAAACGACAATTACATAACACAACGCTCTTTAAAATGTCTAATAGGAGATTATATATATATATATATATATATATTAATTTTTTTTTTTTATTATGATGGGCGCTATAAATGCTATTTATCCAGACTAGTTTTTGTAAAACAGATGAAATTGTCAGTTCCTCAAAATACGTCAAACTGACATCTTGCCAAAACTTGTTTTTAATGTAATTACCACATTATTAACAATGTATCACACTGTAGGCCACATTTTCCATGCAGTCTTTAGTCATAAAAAGGGGGTGTGGGACACACAAAAGCATGAAAAAAATATAAATAAAATAATGAAATTTAGAGGAGACTGATCACAATTTCTTAATATGTTATATAGACAACACAATCATATTCTATATGAAAGCTCTTCTGAGGTCTGAGTCTCCTACATGATAAACTCCACAAGTTATTGTGCGCACCCCCCCTCCCCCCCCCTCGCATCTGTAGACCAGCATTTTCATTCACCCAAATATATCAGAGGGACACCAGTGTGAGTGAATGGAATGCAGTCTCCATTCGCTATCGTAAGATTTCCCGATTACAAACAAATGAGAATGTGAGATTTTGTATTGGTTTAAAAAAAAAAAAAAAAACTTTAACAAAATAAAAATAAACAATCATAAGGCCAAGCTTTATTGTCAGTCATTGACTTCCATTTAGATGGGAGAATGAACGGTCAAGCCAAGATGCATTAGCCCCCTTCCCCACCCCAAAAGAAGAGAAATCTTTTAGCCTCCATATTAAGCTAGGACAATTTTAATCACCCCAATGAATTATATTGAAACATTTACTGAAGCAAAGAATAAAAGAGGAAGAGGTAAGCATATAATATCACATGATGGTCTGGGTACATATGGGTATATGCCAGTAAAATGCCATGGGAACATGGGCAAAATGTAAAAACAAAATAGCGACTACTTTGCATTAAGAATAAATGTACAATCTGTCTCATACTTTCTTCCATGTAAGTTAGATGTCAATCAATGGCTGACGTGATCGTGAAAGCTACTTGTGTAGATCAGAATGGGAAACAAACAAACATAAAGGGATGTTCCACAGAGAAGTTCCGGCAACTATATTCTCCTCAGCAACGATTTTTTTCAAACAATGGCCCATTTTAAGATGCCCATGTGCCTGAGAAGGTTTAGTTCGTCCAAACAAGATCTCAACATTTTCCTAAACATAATAAAACCCTGGAAAACATGACTGCAAGAGAACATGTTGTGGATCAGCTTTGGTTTCAGATATTTGAAAAAAAAAAAAATCAGTCCCCAACTATGTCCATCGAAGAAAGTCAAATGCAGAAAACATCCGGGTTAAAAAAATAAATAAAAAAAAACACACACCACAGACCTCTGGCAAAGCAGGCTCACGATGTCAAAGTGTAATTCTATACAGCAGGGATTGCGTTGTATATCAGCTGTTTGTCAACATCTCACATGATGTTTCAGGTGATTTCATATGGAAGGCAAGTAATTCAAACCTATTTAAATATCACCTATCATATGCTTTTTTTACCCTCTCTGTGGGTTCGATATTGCAGAAAACACATTGCTCAATCTCACAGGGCGAGGGAACAAGTCAGGACTGTTAGAATAAAAAGTGCAGAGTAAAACCTCGTCGCAATGGGGTTAGACCATTCTGTGTCAAAGATTCTTACTAACAATGTAACATGTAAAAAGACAGGTTGTACAATGAGAATGTGTCAGCAAATGACAGACTATCCAATCCATCCCAAAGCTGCCATCTTGTCCACTTTATCAAGCCATTTAAACAGCAGAAGTCACGCACACATGATTTTTGGGCGTGCAAGTGGTTGGTACATCCCACGCTACTAGAATTGTAAAAGTGCTGTCATTATAACAAGCTCTGTAATGGCCCGTTGCTGGTCATAGTGGGTTAAAATGTAGGACAGGTATGGGGTGGTTTTTCCTGGAATTTCACGGTAAAAGTGGCACATAAAGAACGTGCAGCACTGCAGTTATATACAAGGCATCACTTTTCCCTCAGCTTGCCAAGACAAGCATCCACCCTCCCAATAGTCTGTCTAGGCATTGAAATCATGGTGTAAGGTTGCCTCCAATTTTGGGGTTGGACAGTGGCGCAATGATAATAATCTGGCCCGCAGTACAGATTGTATTGGTTTAAAGGGAAAACTATAGTGCCAGGAAAACAAAGTCACTTACTGGCACTATACAGCGGGCAGAGGAGAATTGATGCGGCTGTATCTACCAGACAGCCACTAGAGGTGCTTCTGGTCCGCTAACTGACACTGGACGTCCTCCCAATTGGAAAGTATTGATTCAATGCTTTTACTTTGGGGGGGCCTAATGCACTCGCTGTACATGTGCATTAGCAACCCCTCGTTGAGTGACGTCTGAGGAAGCGGAGCCGTGACCCAGCTCCAAGGAACATCGGTGCTGGTATCAGGTAAGTAAAGGTGCGGGAACACGAGGGAGGGGGGAGGCAGAGGGAGCTTTGTATTCCTGGCAATAGAATATCCTTTTAAAGGGACCTGGGACACTGGTCTGGGTGTCTGTAGTGTCCCTTTAAGCTTGGTTTTAACATTATTTTAAGGTTTATTCAATTTTGGTTATTATTGGAATGGTTATGTGCAATAAAACCTGTTAAATAAAAGCTACAGCCTTTATATTCATTCACAGTCTTTATTTTATGTTATTGCTATAATACATTCCATGCAATAGACATGTTGAAAATTAAATGCTTAGTATCCAGGAATCAAACACACACACACACACACACCCCAATTCTTCTTGACCCTTACAGCAGAACAACCACAATTCTATTTACTTAGTCCCCTCATGTGAGAAAAATCACTGACGGCTAAATAAGGAAGGAATTCTAGAGCAAAGTCTGTTGGGCACACAGGCACGTTGAATAAAAGTTTTCTCTAAGCATTAGGGCTTTATACACAGTTGTGGCTCTGAAGTGGGATCTGACTATATTTAGCATAGTATTCTTAGAAATGATTTGCAAGTAGTGCTTGTATTACAAGGAATTTGCCATCAAATATTACAAAAACAATATATATATTGTTATAGTGTAGGTGCTTTGAACCCACTAGTTTTAATTCTGCAGTCATGATACTAAACATTAAAAGTGCAATATAACAATCATATTACACAAACAGGCACTGCAATAGTAAATAAATGACATCAGCTGACAGTGACAGGGTTTGTGAGGAATTTTAAAGCATTTCCTCTGGTTAGTCGTTAGATAATCCAGTGACTGAGCAAAATCAATTCAAAAACAGTGACAGTGCAAACGCGGTGACCCTTAGAAACAGGAAGTAAATTAAAGAACAGAGTGTGCCCACACATGGGACTGGCTTATGGACCGTTATAGGCACACAAAACAGACACATTGGCATTTTGAATAAATGGTTGTCATATGCACACGGTATTACTCAATCACTGGTAGAATTCACAAGGAGGGGAGAGGGGAGCAGAAAGTTACCAGCATACCTACGGTACAAAGTAATGTAACCCAATAGTAGTTTTTGTTTTTAAAGAAATTGTGTGATTGCACAACAGAATGAGTAGCGGAAGACACCTTATAAACACAATCATGATATTGCTTTAGGTTAAGTACAACTTAGAAACATAGGGGTTTAAAAAAAGAAAACACACACAACTAAATTTCAGCAAAATCAAATTGTAAAACATGTCAAAGCTCAATTTATTTTTTAGACTGAGTTTTGCAATTCGTTTTAATTCACAGATTAGACAAACCCCACTAACGTGGATGTTTTTCCACCACAAACAAATCACATTTTATGTATGGGACTCGTGTTCATGATCCAGCGAATGCCTTTAATATCCATTGAGATACAGAAGGCGGGAGCACCCTTGGCAAGCAGAGGGTTAAACAGGAGCGCTATGCCTCTGTAAAGTTGAGAATAAGGCTAATCTAAATATCAGACAAATGCAAAGGTCACCATGATAACATATGTACAAAATCAAAGATGGCCTATGTGGGTCACTTTGAAAGCTGATCATCACACAAGCATCACGGTTTTAGACTGTTCTAATATGTGCACGACTCTGTATTAAAACAGAAGGTCACACATACAGACTTACGGCCTTCACATACAGAACAATACACGAACATCCATGTCCAGTTCAAACAGCTGTAATGATACAGGCAATATTACTTTGATTACAAAAATAATAATATATATTGTTCTAATTATTTTATACAGGACAGAGAACAAGCTCATTGTGGGATGTTGCAGCCACTCTGTTAGAGGTCAAATGACCTGGCACAGGAAACTACTGATGAGACATTTATATTACACAGACACATGCAAGGTGACCAGATGCCAACATGTAACCGTGATGCTTATAAACAAAAACACACACACCCATAGTGCAGCATGGATTTTGATGCCATGT